ATAGTTAGGTTATCTACCGTAACAATTTCTGTCACTTGTAACAAACAGGATATTCTACATCATATATTGAATATATATGAATAATTAATAATTATAGCTTCTTTTTTCTATAGAATTCTACACTATGGCACCATCTCAAATTTAAAACCTATCCATATTATCTGCATATCTCAACCCTCACAAGCCAAATAACATATTATGACTGTTGATGACAGATTTTAATATGTTGCTACTAACATATAAAAGTATCAAATGTTCTATCTTTCCATGATAATTGTTAATACTTCTTCTTACTTTTAATCATTTTGATATAAGTAAACAATCCTCTCCTTCATATACCTGCTTTTCTCTGACAACTCCCTTTATAAAATATTATATTATATTAATCATACTAATCAAAACTATTTATATTAATATGGGAACTTCCAAATTTAGTTACTTAATCTGTTTAAAATTATTTATGTTCCAACAGAAATATATTAAATAAATAATTTTTATTTTATTAACCTTAAAAAACCTACAGCTTTTTCACTGGAAAATTATCACCCTTAATATATTTTATTGAACAAACACTATACTCTGCTACTATAGAATATAAATGTGTTTTAGAAAGAAATTACCAAACATTAATCTAAAATTACATTAGCATCTGGAATAATACTTCAAAGTGGCAGGTCTTTTATCTTCCTTATATAAATGTTACCTTTAATAAGTGGTCAATTATAGTTTGATACTTCATCCAATAAATATTATGCTGTATGAATTACTTAATTACACAACTGTTTTATCTTTAGTCCAGCTCAAATTGAAAATTTCGTTTTCATCTATATTCAAAAAAAGATTCTCTGTTGCCTTACCACCTAATTTTGTTAAACATAATATAGGCTAATTATTTCATCCCTGAATAGCATATGTTTCGATTATCATGTTCTTTTCTGAATATTTATTTGATAAATCTCATATACTACAAGAATATTGGCTAATATTGCAACTCCATTTTAATACTACCTTTAAAACTCATCCATATTGAAAGGGTGCTTAGAGTTGTCACAACTGGGAACAACTTGAATCTTGCTCAATCAAAATATTACTTACGGTACATTAAATATCATGTAAATGACTAGAGTTAATCTAGTTTAACATATAACTTAATACATCTTATAATATTAAATAATAATTATTGTAGTAACCGTTACATAATATTATTTCCTCTTTCTAAAATATTTTTTATTAGCTCTTACTATATCTTCGTATAATATTAAATACTACAATTTTTAATTTTTCTATTAGATAATAAATGCTACGCTATCATATGTTGATTCTTTCATATAAATATCATATGGATATTTATTAAATGCATCACCATTTACTTTCATTATACATACAATAAATTATTATACTTGCATAGAATGTATCCCCATAATACTAATATGTGTACTGAGTGTTGTTTATAGCTAAGTTATAATTATTTAATATATAGACACGCATCTCTTAAAAGCATAATTAATTATTAATCTAATGATATTGTATCTTTTAAGTAAGATAGCTAATAGAAATTTTCCACGATAAATTATTAACAGTTTGTCTTGAACCTTATCAAATATCATGTTTTCATATTTACCAACACTTTATTATATAGAATAAATAATACTAAACTATTTTATACATATACAAAATGCTTATACCATAAAACTTAATCAACTATACAAATTACTACAAATATAAGATATATTCATTATTTCTTTGGGTTTTACTTTCTATCTTTTTGTTTACTAACTGATAATACCATCACAAATATATCATTAAGTACTCTCCATCTGTTAGTCGTAACAAAATGATATGGAAAATTGTATATGTTGAAATATTTCAGATACTTAAGCTTATTAACAGTAGTTGTGTTGCAAAGTGATGTAATAATCAATTTATAATTCTTAAAATCACATTGTTATTTAGTTATAAATACATATATTCTAATATGAATGTGTAATAGATAAACTGTAACCTATGTCAAATACACACTTAGCCATACTAAAAACCAAGAATGTAATAACAACGATAGAGTCATTTGTTTTATGATAAATAGATCAATAAATTTAGACCATTTTCTTTTCATGTGTAGGATGTAGAAAAAATGTAAACAACGTAAACTTAATACACTGGATTAATCTGAATCATCAATGATTACTCTATTACATCTCATACTTACACCCACATTTCTATGTTTAATATGGTAATATCATCTAGTAAATTTTATTGCTCTTTTAAACCTATAACATACAATGTTATTCACAGTATCTGCTATCATGATATTAACATGTATCGTTACTATAGATTTATACATAGTAGACTAAGTTCATATCAACCACTATTACTTTCAATTATGTTTTTATTCTTGAACTGCTTATTTCATTTAGACATTAATAACTGGTAGATTGTACAGTATCACTCTTAAACTATGAACTCCTCATTAATATACAACTTCTCTTGATATTATGTCTTAAACAAGAATGATACTGCACAAACACATCACACTTAATTACTCTTAGCATCCAGCTATCATGATCTCTTCACTACCCACCATTTTCCTTTTTTCAAAATTTGAAAAAATAGTTCGAAAAAAAAAATTAATTACAATAATAACCACACTCATTGACAACCATATAAAATACAGATCCATATAACCATAAATAAACAGTTACGATATGCTTACTATATGATATAACTTTGAACATTATTAAACCACTATTTAAGATGGTATAGTTACACCACTATATACTTAATAATCATTCATAAGTAGCTATAGAGAATACTCTCAAAAGAACTTACTCCATACATATATTGTAACTAGGGAAACTATTTATTAAATACCACTTTCATTTACTGTTTTACTACTACTTTCATAATAAATATGATTATTTAAGAATTCTCCAATAACACATGAACACTATCCCTTACTAATATTTTCAATATGAAAAATATAATTATATCTTCTACATCACTTCATTATCCATCGAATGATACTGTTATAATAATTTATGATCATATGCAATACTCTTTTGAAATTAACACATAATGATAACTGTTATAAACATAAATACAATTATGCTATATCCATAAACAAATTTACTATATCATCTTTTTACTCATATCTTACAGGATATTTATCCTTACTAATTCCAATCTATTATACATGGATTTGATTTATGTTTGATTTCTAGTGGTTATTGTAATGATGAAAAAGGACATATTGATTTGATATAATGAACAATATTTTGATTATATCTTTATTCTATTCTACTGTACTACTTTCCCTGTTCAATAATTTTTGTTCTATCTTTTACTCAAATGATCTTATTTTAATGTTTGAAAAATAACGTAATAAAAAGAGATTTTATCTCGATCTTTGAACATTGAACAACATTTAAGAATATACTATGGTGGAGTATTAACATGTTAATCTATCAATTTACTATTCAGGAAATCTACTTTCTTTAAGAATTAGTCTGACATTATTATGACTGGATGTCTAATACTGTATATGGATCTCTAACTGTAACAAAGAATCATGAGAAGATATTGAAATTCAAAAAAAAGTAATAAGAGTTTAATCCCATTATAACATTAAAATAACAAGACATAATATATCTATGAATTAACATTTGCAAAAATACGACTGTGTTATGATAGTTTTACGTGTTCCTTATTTAAAAAGAAAATTTTCACATTATCGGAATCCTTGGATAATTATTATTATTATTATTATTATTATTATTATTATTATTATTATTATTATTATTATTATTATTATTATTATTATTATTATTATTATTATTATTATTATTATTATTATTATTATTATTATTATTATTATTATTATTATTATTACAATATTTTTCACATATAGAGGGGACATTCTCCTGTATCTTGTAAATCTTGAAAGTTCTACACCCAGTAAAAGACAAGAAGAGATATCATATGTTTTCAAAAGAAGGTACATTACGAAATTCTGTGTATCTACATTTTTGTGTATTATATTGTTAATATGTAGAGTAAGTATAATATATCATCAGTGTGCAATTCTGTACATTTGAGAAATAGTATGTTATTTCTCTTTCTTTCCCTTTTTTCCTTTGCTACCTAAAAGGAGATTCCATTTCTTCAAATATTGTTAGAGTAATTCTATAATATGTCTCTACTGTTCATGTGAATACAATAGTTATTGTATATGTTAGCTTACGTACAATTGAATATTATACTACAAAAAAAGGAAGAAATAGAAGTATAACCATAAGTTTAAGCGAGTTAATAACAGTGACCATATTAACACAAATATATATATATATAGTTATTTGACTTAGCAAGATACAGTGGTATTTAATTAGTGTACATCCATGTATATATGTATGTATTATGCGTTCCCTATGGATGTATTTGTATATACAGAGGAGAGAAAGAAAATAATTAAGGAATGTAGGAATAAACGCATTTGTCTAGTTAACTTTTCGGGAAATGCAGGCAAAGAAAGATTGTAACTGTTTTTAAGATATGTGTTAAACCTTTTATTATGATCTTTGAATTAAACTAGCATCAAATCTTCACAATTACAATTTTTCTTAATTAGAAAAGATTTAAAGACCTTATATCCTTTAAACCATGATCAATCGATTTATGCAGAAGTAAATTTCCTAATCACAATCTCTTTATTAAAAATTGCCAAAACATGTAGCAAAAACATACATGTATTAAAATGTTTATATAGGAACTATTAGATTGTATAATTGTGTTGAATAATTTAAATTACTTAAAATTAGGAGAAGATACTATTGGCTTATTAGGAATGAGTGAATCTATTTGTGCTGTATAAGATATTTGAAAATCAAATAAATAATAAAAATACACAATATAAAAAATATTAGAATATTATATATGCTTGTATATAAATATTTAATCATTAAATTATTTAGAATTCTTTATTTTAAAATTTTTTGCCTTTAATCAATTTAAATTACCAAGAATAATAATAAACCAATGCAATGGGCAACACTCCACTTCATATACATGGTGCTACCCTTACCTTCATATGATGCAAGGGAAGGTATACCCCCATGAGATACTGTAACAGCAGTTGATGATGAGAATAGTTGTTCAGAAACATATTGGGAAACTTGTGGCACCATTGTAGTTAGCAATGTTTCTAGTCTTCTAGATTTAACAGTACCAACAACAGTACCAGTTTCCGAAGCAATGTCTGTGGTACCCTTTGTGAATCCAGCAACAATCGTTGTAGATGCTCTAGAATTTCTAGGCTTTGGTTGGTTTTCATTGTTTGTAAAGGCCGGACCAGTAGTGGTAGAAGCAATAGAAATAACTAGAGTTGCATTGGAAACGGCAGAAAGTGAGTTGGTCTTTTCTTGTTGGTTCTTTGAATTAGTATAAACAGATTCAAGAGAACTATGTCCAATGATAGCAGTCATACTTGTTCCAGAAGTTGCAGATGGTTCTGGACAATAAGTTGTAGTCATAGTGACTCTATTAAAAACCGTAGTCAAAACAACTAAAGTGTTACTTAAAGTATATTTAGTCTTTTCGCTAGGTATAGTGGAGTTTCTGTATAGAGGAGAAGATAAAGATACTGGTGATGTCGTGAAGCTACTGCATACATCCTATATAAGGATGATAGTAGCAATCTTGGTAAAAGAAAAGAACCATTGCTGTCAGTGAATATAGTAGCGTAGCTAGTAGATAGTGCAGGTATAACAACTTCATAAATAACTCCAGCTATATTATAACCGTACTGATTAGTTGTAGCAGTTATTATAGTTAAAATAGTGGTAGATTAAGTAATAAAATTCTCAGTAATTGCTGGAATTATTATTGTTGAAACATGGATAGTATATCTGTATACCCATTAAGTTTCCTTACTAAAGATTTTTTTATTATGTCATCAAGAATGATGATCAAAGAGAAGAAGGATCAATTTGCATTTATATACAAACATTCTTGGAAAGTGATGGTATTTTAGTTTATCCTTTTTTATAATTTAAATTATTAATAAAGTGGATCTCTAGTTTGTTAAAAAACATATAGAAATGGCATTCAATATTATATAATATGTTCATACATAAATAAAAATTGATCCTTCTTTTTTTTCTTGATTATCATCCTTAAGGATGAAATAAAAAACAGTCTTTAATAAAAATAACTTAGTGGGTATACTGTTCATTCTGTAATAAAAATAATATATAAGTTTGTATATTATTTTTATAAATTTTTTAATAAATTAGAGATTCAGTTTACTAATAACTTAAGTCATAAGTCTGGTAAACCACAATATCACTACTTTCCAAGAATTATCATAATTTTTGTATATTAAAGAAATTTTTTTATTAATTAAAGTTTTTTTTATGAGGACAAATTTATATGTGATGCTTGGATGTATAAAAAAATAATGGATGAAAATTTTTTTCAAAAGAGAAAAGAACAAAACCCAAGAAGTTTATTTACACACAACTTATATACGTATATGATTATGTAGTATGTACAGACAAAAGCAATCAAGAAACATGTGGACTATAAATCTAAGGAGTTCATTAGTTGAAGTCACAGGTGTTCAGTAATAATAATTATTGCTGACTTTATAATATCTCTATGGACAGATGGGACAATATTCATAAGAAGAATCTATATACGGATGAACTCCTAATTTGATAGAATGGCCTAGATGATGTACTAGAAAACTAACTACACACTCACTTTAAATTATGTAAACAACTAGCGTTCAACCAGTAACAGTAATTCTCTGTTGCAAAATTAGGATTTATAATACCTGGTAAGGCACAAGGTTTTTCAGCAAATTTTATATCATAGTCTACATCTAAGAAAAAAAATTTGATTCAATAAAATCCATACCTTTAAATGAACATGGCGCAACTTTTGAATTAATAATATGCGTACCCACGTGAACATTGGAAATTTTTTTTTCCAATAATAGCTGCGTTAAAGAGAATAGTGGCCTATTTAGTACCAATGAGTCCACCATGACCTTTGAGAGGAGTATTGAAGATTATACCTTTCATATCTTATTTATTACAAATAAAAAATTTTTAGTTGAATATTATTTGAGGAAGTCTACCAGAATTAATTACACCATTATTAGTTATAGTACCAAAATAAAGGAACTTATTTATGGTACCTCCTTTATCCGCTGTATCATAGTCAATAATACCTGGTACAATAGCAGCAATCTTTAATTATAAGACAGTAAATGTACCAGAGTTATCGATATGATCTGGGGCAATGACGAAATCAGTGACAGAATTTGCTGATTTAATATTTTCAATGTTGATGTTACCACTGTTTGTAATTGTTGTAGTAGAACCAAATTGTAGACTAGTTAACCCGTTTGTTGAATCACCAATAATGTCTAAAGAACCTTTAACATCAATATTGCCATTGAAGGAATATGAAGAACCTGATACTAATGCGAGAGTAGCACCTGATTCAATTACGATATCATCGTAAAACGTTTGATCACCAGACAAGGTTGTTGGTGTTGAAATAGTGGTAGTAGCAGCACTTGCTTTGGTCACGAGTAATCCTAGCAAGGACAATAAAATTAACGTCTGCATTTTAATGATAACAAACAAGTAGCGTCTAATTTTATTTTACTTTATCTTGTTTTTTTTTTTTTTTGCTGATTTTTGTTCGTGAATTTTTGGGAAAAACACATAGAAATAAGATTGACAAAAAAAATCTTACAAAATCTGTTAAAAAATGAGAGAAGAAATAAAGAGCAGCTTAAATATTGCACAACTATAAACATAGATTCACATATATATGCACGACAAGGAATTGACAATGATGCAATCAAAAAAAAAAACCTTGAGAAACTAATAAAATCCATATTTTTATTTCAGATCTATAATATGCAGGTATTTCAACATCATATTTCGATCATTCTGAATCGGTATCTCGATTATGTAAAAAATTTGCGTATCCTATTGTTCCCCATTCTTATAGGGTTTGCGAGCCCTTTAAGTGAAAATTTTGGAAAATATCTATGTCTAGAAGCAAACAAAAGTAGGTTTTTAAGAAAAGATTTTAAGTTTTTCTTTATAGTTTTCTTAAAAACGTAAACACTCAATGCCTTTCTAGGTTGTTGGGTATGACCAAATATAAAGGTAAGGTTGTTTCTTATTCGTAAACACTAGTTGCTCTCCTTAATAAACATGGAAAAGATACAGTTTATATATCAACTCACCTTGCCATAGATTATGATTAAAATTAAATAAAAAAATACGTACATATACATCCCAATATTCAATTGTTTACCATGAGTTAGTTGACTATTTATTTATTTATTTATTTATTTATTTATTTATTTTTTACTCCACTTATACACAAGAAATATCATTTTTCCACTCAGCCGAATTGCTGGACTTGATTGTTCTAGAATAAACCAAATAGAACTATGAAATTACGGTAAATCTCAGATAGTAGAAGAATGTGTAATCATCTTTTAAATATTACTAAAATTTAATATAATTATTTGAATATCCAATATTTATATATATATGGTTATGATTTTCATACTATTATTTTTTTTATTTTATTTTTGTTTTTTTGTACATCATTAGTTCTATCTTGTGTGTAAAATAGAAAAGGGAAAACCCTTCTTTCAATTTTGAGAATGTATCCAGTTTATTCAACATATTAGATACTAATTTGTGACAAAAATACCTTCTATTAAGAAGCACAAAATAAGTATAGTAAATTGATTATCTAAAATGATCTGTACCAGCAATAGACCACAGTATGTCTTTTAGAATTTCAGAATAATCATTTATTTTATTTCAAATTAATAGGTCATATATGTATTCTTAACATATCTTATTTAGGTTTTGTTATACACATAATATATATTTCATAATTGATAGGTTTTTGCAAAATATGTCTCTATTTTTTGTACTTTTTATTAAGGGTACGAATTTTTTGTACTAAAAATAAGACAATAGAGGGTGGAATTGTTCACATTATCCCGATATCTAAAAAGGAAATATCGAACAATAGACTGTGCCGTTGTATATATTACATTTAGCAACTATTGTAATACATTTTTTTATTTGAATCTATGTCGGGAAAAATAATTGTTGACTTTTTTCAATTCTCGTGGAGTGTCATATTCGAGAACTCCATACTCAAAAAAAGATAGGATGGGAAGCTTGGAAAATGAAGTTTTTTTTTTGTTTTTTTAAACCTAAAAAACCTTTTTTCATGTTCTTCATTTAGGTACTCTAAAAATAAGTTGAACCTAATAAAAAATCATTACATCAAAATAGTTTTAATAAATTTGTAGAACTAAAATATACTGTACAGGTGAAGAATAGAATAAAATAAAGTAATTCACACAGTATGTAAACAAAAATAAGTTACTATCTTCAAGAGTATAAAAAAAAATTATTCCTTAATCTTTTGTCTGAAAATTCGCTAAAGCATCATGGGACCTAAAGAACAGAATGTATTTTTCTTATAAAATTGTAAAAAGTAAGATTTCTACCCTAAAACTTTATTTTTAAAAATTTTAAAAATACACTATAGAGCCGTTTTTTCCCAAAAAGAGAAAAACACAGCAGAAAAAAGGAGAAACCTATGATATAATGCTATTTTTTAAGAAAATTTTAATTTCCCTTTTAGTGCACATCGAACGATTTCAAAAAAAGAAAATGTCTCATTTTAGTTTTGTCAAAACACAATAGCAACAGAAAAATTTTAGGGAGGTGGAGGGAACCTTTTAATTTTTTTATTTGTGGATATTTTTCCTCCCTGCCATTCCATGTGTAAGCCTGTATTGTTTTCGAAATGATGAGAGGTTACTCTCTTTTTTATTGTTTTTGCTTTAAGAGATCTTTTGAATTTTCCTTAGTGTTACGATATGGTAAACAAAAGTTTTGACGCATGTGTCTAAAACTATTATGTATTGTTAATTTTTAAACAAAGACTTTGGCTCCCCCCAGAAAAGATTGTTCAAAGGATTATTGAATATGGAAGTCTTTTTTTTTATTTCAACAGTAAAGTTATTCTTTTTTTCCAATATCCTATTTTTTAGGTAGGTTGTAATAAGAGTGTGATAATTTTTTACTTGAAATTTACTTCTGTAGCTAATACTGCACAGTTATATGTAAAGATAGTTAATTAGACTGCAAACAAAAAATAAAGAAAGAAAAACAAAAAAACAAATTAAATTGTTTACCATGAAAATATTTTTAATATAAAACTGTTGTTGAATGCAGGAAATACAATACGTGTAATAAAGACTATATACTGTTAAAAAAGTACAGGAGTTTTAAAAATTATCAAAAAGGAAATATTCAAATAAATTAACAAAAATTTTCCTCTTATATGATAATAAATACAATAGCTTTCATGATAATATCTACTATAGAAATAGTCTAAAGCAAGATATTTTACTATCTGTATTTCAATCGTATTTTTTTAATATTATCTCATCTTATTCCTGATAGTAAATTTAAGTAGAATAACTAATCTATAATTCGAGAGGTGAAATAGTTGTATTGTATGTATCTATTGTTCATTCCATATAAATAATCCATTAGTATAATTAAATAAATTCGTTATGGAATTTTTTTTTTTTGAATCACTATAGAATATATTACAAGTACTTTTATTCTTCAATAAAATTTGAACTTAAATAATTTAATTTCTTTGATATCTTATCTAACAGATGATTATTCTCATTAATTTTCCTAGATTTGGGACTACTATCAACCAACTTTTTAATATTGGTGATCCTTAATAGACTATCAGGCTCATTATCAAATTTTTAGTTTCTTTAGAAATATTTGATAAACTTGCTACTTATTATCGGATATTAGAGAAGTAGTTTATTATCAATTGATTTAAAAGTTAGATATTCAATTACTTTGAAAAAAAAAATAATAGAATAGTGGTCATAATATCGCAAATTAAGCTGCATTTATCTTTTCCGTTGTCATACAATAATTGAGCAAGTTATATTCAGAATGTTATCGAAAAATTAAGATTGAAAAGGTCCAATTTTTTTGTTGTTTTTGGAAGTGAAAATTTTGATGTTTGTTGAATTATTTACTTCAAAGTATGTTATAGTAAATAATAGTTTATCTTTTATTGAAGTTTTCTTAATACTGAGGAAGATGGGGAATAGAAAAAGAGGTCAAGAAAGTTTTGAAATTCGATTTTTTTTAAGAATGTATTTTAATTATTTATATATCAAGTTATGGAAATTTTCTTATTCAATGTAACAAAATAATTATTTGCAAGTTTTTGATATGTTCCAAAAAGGGTAAAAATAAGATTATTTGGCATGAGATTTTATACAAAAACACTAATAGAATCAAAATATAAAAAAGAGTTGATTTTTGATAGTTTTTAAAGTTCTTTTTTATAAAAATAAAGTTCTGGTATTAAGGGTTAACGTTCTTACATATTTAATATGTAGTATACAATCTCAATTATAACTAGTATACACTTAGAGTGTAGAAAGTTATGATAAAGTACTTTCATTCTCTTCTATATGTACAATACAGAAGTAATAATATGCAAAAAGCTTACAAAGGATAAAAGCATGATATAAAAAAACTATCGACTTAATATATATTTATATTTAACTTTTCTCTTTTATGAGTAGCAAGATTTTGTCAATATGTTTTTTTTAAATTTTATTGATAAGTAAGCAATAAAAACTCTTCTTTTTAGTAAGGGTTTGCATTTGTTAAAAATTAATTAATCTGTCTGTTTTATTATAGAACATTTAGATTTAGTAGGTTATTAGTGATAATTTAGCTCTAACGCACATATCTTGGTTTTTTTATTTTAAATAACTAATATATAAGATATAATATACAATATAATTCATTTTGTATTGGGTCTTTTTTAATATAAAGTTTTTTAACTTTTTTGTATGATGGGTTTATATTATTAAGAAATCTCTAAACATATTTCCACAGTATCTTACTTGATATATTAAAAATGTCTATATCGATATTATACATTAACACACATTTTATAAAGTTGTTATTTTTAATTAATAAAGTAAATATATAATTCTTGTTTTCACTATTAAGATTACTTTATTTTCTAGTTAGAATATGATAGATATATTGTAAAGTTGTTTGTGTTAATAATTACTTCTGTCAGAAATTCTCAATAATCAGATGTTTCTTGAACATGTAAGTGGTGTTAATATAATTATTGCCGAATACATTTATGATAAGAATGAGTGCCTGTAGTCATTGGATATATAGCAAATATTCTCAATATTATATTAGATAGATTTAGTATATAAAATTATAATAAAGTTCTTCGGTATTTTTATTTATTTATAATATATAGGTGATGATGTATAAAAGATAAGCAAGGGAAGAAATATGATATGAAAAAAAAGTTGGCTTTATATATTTTCATATCTGGTCTATCTCATCTACGTACGGCACCAAATTTATGATGAAGTTTGTTTACGTCTACTAATAAGCAAACAATACGTTCTCCACTTTTTGCTTATCAATTAATGTTTACTAAAATCTAATTGGTCTATTATTTATTCTAGAACGTTCGATTCCAGCAATTTACAACCTATATTCAGAGTTTTGGCTATTCGAGATCTTTCACCCCAATATCCAGTGTTATTTGCTGGGTATATGTTTTTGAATCTTCAGTTAAGACTTTTTATAATTAACAAAAGCCATATTTGATCAGCTAATTAAATGAAATTGTCTAAAGTTATTATAAAGCCAAAAAAAAACATTATTGAAACAGATTGTTTTTGGGGATTCCCAAATGATACTGGCTAAAAAAAGAGTTTTAAAATAAAGCAGAAAGAACAATGAGATTTCAACAAAAATTACACAGGAATATCAGATATTTAAAGCTTCTGCAGAGAATTAGCGCCTTTAGCCATTGAGTAAATAGCAAAAATTTTCAATATTATATTATATAATTATAGTTTACAAAATTATATTAAAGTTTTTTGATATCTTTCTGTATGAATAATACAAAGATAACAAGATATAAAAAGTATACAAAGAAGGAAATATGATATGGAAAAATTATTGGCTTTATATATTTTTATACCTAGCATATCTCTTCTACGAACGGTACCAATTTATTAATAAGTGTTGTTTATATTTACCAATAAGCAAACAATACATTCTCTACATTCTAATATATGTTTATATTCACTAAAAGCTGATCGGTCTATCTGTTTATTCTAGAACATTCAATTTGAGCAGGACTAAGTAAGAAGAAGAATAATAATTGATTTATTAATTTAGGTTTAACGCATTTATAATTTTTAAGTATTTAAATATATAACAAATATCCATATTTTAGCATATTACTTGAGACAACCCTTAAAGATGTATCGTATACAATACTTGTCTAAATTACATTAGAGCTTTCCACGAAAATATTTATATAAAAAAGAAATTGCCAACAAGAAATCAATGAGATTACAAAATAAAAAAAGAAAAAGGAAGAAAAAGAAAAATCAACAAGAGAAAAAAATACATGAGTATTGGGAATCTAAAGATTTATATAAGACTTCTATAAAGCAGTCATCGACGATAAAATAATATTATTTAATTTAAGTAGTAACTGTAAAAAGATTTTAAATCAAACTGATGAACTGCTAAGGATTTTGGTGTGCAATAAAAATGAAATTACAGAGTTAATACTTATTTACAACATAGTGGATAAATAGTTCTCATTGAGTTTTTTTATATATCTGTAATCTATAAAATATATATAAAGACTTTGCTAATTTTTTTCTAAACAATCAACACACATGACTGCTAGTCCAAATAGTGAATAATATTTATATATTTAAATGAATGAATGGTTTTCTCAAAAAATATTTTTGGAGACTAAAAAGTTTGTACAAAAAATCAATATAACTTCTAAAAGAAGGCATTAGAATTACATTTTACTTGAGTACATAAATAACCACTTGTCTATTCCAAATGATCTTTCCTTCATATGTTTTTCCCTACAAATTTTTACATATCCAACTCTAAATCACATATCATGGTTAGATGATCACTTGGATACTCTCCAGTGTATGGTTGCCCATGACCAAACTTTTCCATTTCTTCTTTTCCAGGCATTCTTAATAATCCTCTTATTTTAAAACCATTCTCTTTTTCGAAATCATCTAACAAGTCAACTTTACGTTTATCATCAAAGTCCCATTGTCTTATGTAAAACAAATAGTCTAGTAGCCCATGCCAAGTATGAGCCCAATTTGAAATCTCTGGTTCACCTTTACAATTATCTTTTCCAGCATTTTCTGGATGTACTTTATGATAGCCGACTGAGTATAAGGAGATAGCTCTCATATCGAGACTGTTATGCAAATTTTCCATGTTTTTAACCATAGTAGCTTGTTCTTCTGTTGGATTAAAAAATTCTGGAACAGGGGTTTGGGGTTGATCTTTACCAAATTTTTCAATGTTACCACCTTCCTCATCATCTAGATCTGTTTCACCGTCTCTTTTCTTGGAAAACTTAAATGATGTGCTACATTCAATTACAAATTTAGCTCTATCTTTATATTTAATAGGCTTCTGCACCATTGATAAATATGGAGTATCGTATGGCTGAGAATTAAAATCACCACAAAAGAAAGGGAACCAGTGACTATCATCTCCGTCATTTTCTTCCTGTAAAACATTCACTCTATGCATAAATTCCTTCATTTTGTTTAACACGATATAAGTTTGCCTAGTACGATCGTATGTTCCAAATGGATGCCAAAATAAATGGGTTGTTCCAATTAAGATACCCGATCTTTTTGTACCAGGAAATTGACTTAGAACTTTCTTAGAAAATTGCAATGCTAAAACAAGACCTACGTTGTTTGTGATCGTTCTAGTTGGAATATCACCACTAGGTTCTTTATCATAATCTATTAACATTTTATCTTTTAAGATAAAAAGATTTCTTTTCCAAGCAATTGCCACACCGTGGTTCTTCGAGCCCTTTTTATAAAACTGGGATTCATATCCCATCTTTCCCAATTCTTCCTTCCAGAACGATTGAAACTGAATTGAATCCACCTCTTGTAAACATATGACATCTGATTTGTAATGACTGAATTTGTTCAATAAAACTTTGGATCTACGAAACCATTTAACTGCTTCTCCACTATCAGGAAAAAGTTTACGTCTAATTAATGCTTGAGCCAAACAATTATATGTCATTAATGTAAAATTAAACCCTTTCACAGGATCCCTTTCTTTATCATGGATGGCAAGCATCGGCCTCTTGATGAATTGCACTTCTGGGGGAAAATCTGGATCTAAACCCTTTGCCAACATTTCTTCTCTCTTAGCTTTCCTCATCAATTCTCTTTCAGCACGGATTCTAGCTATTTCTTCGGGAGAAGGCTTGCCCTTCTTGCCTTGTTTACTCTTTTTTCCTCTCTTAGATTTAGTTAAATTTTCATCACTTTCAACACCTTTAAGTCTTGCATTTTGTGATGAAGTAATCTCCAAAGCATTAATTACAACATTCCCCTTACTTTCAACAGATTTTATACAGGCGTTACTAGTCATATTTTGAACATACACTACTACTTACTGTGGTTTGATCATATTACTTTTATTTTGTTTTCTGTTTTGATTTATTAGCAAAAGTGAAATACACTCGTAAGTCTACCTCTCATTCTAAAATCTTTTTTTATTCAAAAAGAAAAAACATAAGTAAATAAATAAAAAAACATTACCTTCTATAACTAAATGTGTGTAACTCCAATAGTTCAGTTGGACTTCTGATACAGATATAAAAGAATCAAAAAAAGAAAGAAAGGATTTATATATTCGCAAAATATTGTCTATAAAACTTTATTAATTCATATTATTTACAAGAGTTTTGCTCAATTTCCAATTCAAGGTTGTTCTCCAAACAATCTATATTGACTATTTTACAATTCTTAATTCGTGTCCCTATTTTTGGATGAGGCGTGTTAGTGGGTATTTTCAAAATCCCACGAGCAAACGTCATTTCTGGGAAGACACAATGCACTTTCCCATCAAAGGGATATGATGTCACCAATACCTCAAACCATTGATTGCTGTTTTGTTCTACTTTATTTTTTAAGTATTTCAAAGTCCAATAAGAAGAAACATTATTTGCAAGAGATTTGATTATATCCGCTCTTGACTGAAGCCCCCATAGCATACTATCAATATCTTTTTTCTGAAAGGCCAAACCCAGCCTGTTCAAGTATCTATGTATTTGAATATGATTGATCAAATCCGGCATTCTTCTTAAGGGAGACGTAACAGTTAAATACGAAGATACACCAATCATTTTATGTGGAAGTGGAGAACTTGAGTAAACACTGGAATTCAGTAAAGAAGATAATTTAACAACATCAGTTATATCTGGAATATGCCCTCTCCTAGTTTGTTCTTGTAGTCTTGCATAACTTTTGTATGCAATTGGCCCCAGAGATAAATCATTATAAGTTCTAAATACTCCTGGAATATTGTTTTGTTTAAAAAAGTTACCTGTAAGTCTATTAGCCAAAATCATAAATTCCGATACTAAAATAGTGGAAGGTGATTCTATTTGATTTTTAAAAGTAATATGTGGTATTTTGCCACTGGATGACTCTAACTGTACCAAACCTCTATTAAATCCTTCACCAAATATAACAGCATTACCTTCATTAATACGATATTTCCTTAGTTCTCGAGCTATTTTGGACATTTGATCCAAATCGTTTTTCATGGAGCTAGACGCAGGAAAATTTTTATCATTACTCAATATTTGGTCAACCGTATTATATGTAACTTTAGGAAAATGTGAAACATAACTTAATTCTATCTTAAATGTATTATCAAGAATTTTAAATTGACGCTCATTAATGAAAGTTGCATCAACAGAAAATGTAATTGCTCTACTGTTCTTACCTGATGTTCCCATCCCTGTCAATTGGGTTATTGACTTTGGTAACATTGGATCTACAATATCTGGTAAATATGTAGTAAAGGCTTTTTCTAAGGCTATTTTTAGTAAGGGACTTGAGATATGGTTACCAGTTAATGATTCAGGGAACACTGATACTGGATCTGCAATGTGAATATATAAGGTATAAAGATTATCATCTCTTTGCATGATAGAAATACCATCATCAATTTCATGAGCTAGTTCTGAATCGATGCAATATACAGGTAATTTGGTATAGTCTACTCTCTTACAATTTATTTCCTTATAAAGTTGGGAAAATGGAGAAGATTTCTCAAACAACTCCTCATTTTCATCATATCTGTATAAATCAAATATTGGTGCACTCTTCTCTATCTGACTCCTTACATGTAAATTATTCAAAAGAGGGTTAACATATTTATAATCTGGACATATATCTTGTAATAATTCAAAACATACATCTTTAGTAATATCTTTATTTTGATATTTAGGTAATTTCCTAAAAATTGTTGATATAATTGTAACAATTGGATTATTCTTAATATTTTTAACAAAGTTCCCGGATGAATAGTCTTCTAAAACCCGTATAATATCTTCAAATTCATTGGATATTTTGTCATATTGATTCGTTTCTACTAATGTGATAAATTTATCAATAGCTTTATGATTGTTTTCACTAAATCTTTGTAGTAGCTTGTGATAGAATAATTGTCTTGATTCTATTGGTAATATTGTTACAGAGATAGGAGATAGAATTGCAGAGTTAATATGAAGATCACCCCACATGTTGAAAGTTTGTTGCTCTTTTACCCCCCAATAAGTAGCAAGAAAAGTAGATGCATTCAAATTAATATAAATATTATTATTATTTAAATTTTTTGTGCCAACAGTCAATTGTTTTAAATAATTTTGATCTTTATATTTATTTAAATCCAATTTTTCTACAAGTTTGACCAAATATGGAAATGAGATCTGATAAGGTTTTTCATCTTTTTGTAGCCATCTATTTAGTAATTTCAACTTTTTAATAACAATGGGTAATTGTAGCCAAGCATTTCTTGTGATTTTTGAAGTTGGAATACTGGTTAATTTTTCTCGAACCACAGATGGCAATATGACAGTGGAACCTATTTTGTCTCTTATTGTGCCAATTGAATCATAACCATGATCTGATTCTTTTTGAATTAAACTTTTAATATCTTTAGGCAATTTGTGAGGGATCCTTAAATGAATTTGGTTTTTTGGATGAAAAATAATGGTCCCATTTATTGTGACAAATGTGTATCTCGGATCTGTAACAGAATGAGGTAACCCAACACACATAGATAATTCATGTGGATGAGATTTCAATAATACAAGATCACCAATTTGCAATGGTATGTTCCACAGAGTATCAAAATTGAATTGAAATGTAGGAGGAATTTTTAATACCGAAACATGTTTTGCCTGGCAGTGTAACCATTCCTTAGAGGGTTCCAAGTATCTTTTATCAAATCTTTCATGAAACTCTTTGCTAATCTCATCCAATTGCTTGATTGTTGCATCTGGTTCTAACCCTTTGGTTCTTTTCAAAAAATAATCATTTATTGATTCTATATCTTTTCGAGTCAGAGATTTCTTAAATTTGGTATGAGTGACATCATTTTTTTTAAGTTTATATTTTGGATTCAAGAAGAATTTAAAACTACCCTTATTGATATTCCTTATATTTCCAACACTTAACTTCGAACTACAATCATGAAACAATTGATAGCCAATTTGATCCCTAATAATGCATGATCTATTGAGTTCCCGAGCAAACATGAAGAGAGAAAGTTGGGTTTTAAAAAAGACCTAATTAGTTGAGTTACTTTATTTCCAGAGCGTAACATATGTATATATCTGTAGATGTAATTAGATGTGCTTTGAACGAAGCTAGGGCACTAATTCATTTCAATCCAGATCTTTTTTCTGCTTTTCTTAATTTTATTTTCTTAACTTTATTTTTATTTTTTTTTTTGTTTCTTGTTTCTTCTTTAAGAAATTGAACTTTCCTCGATTGATGGAAATATTTTATGCATAAATAAATGAAAAAGTAAAAATAGGTGAATACATGTAAATACACACAAACACACACACATATACATATCCTTGAAAGAGATTATGTACAGTCATTAATTTACTAGGTTGTCTTTAGGAAAAGAAATATCCATATATCTATATGTACAAGAAGAAGAAGAAGAAGGGAAAAAAAAAATTAGAAATAAGAGATAATGGCAATATAGACTGAATGATGATACTATTGAGACGTACATTACATACGTGTATAACGGGTATTGGAAACATGGAACCACAATATAATGGTACCAGGCACAACGTTGGTAATATGATAGTAAGAATGATCCAAGAACAACTATGCCCCTCATGCAATTTTAAAGTGGCCCCAGGATTCAAGGGGATCCAGTACGTGACAGTGAAGGATGAAACACGGGATGACCATATAATAAGTTTACTGATTTGTACGGGTGAGTATATGAACCAAATTGGAAGACTTGTGGCCCCAATATGGAAAAAAATCGAAACGAAATACCCCAACACACGATTTATAGTTGCACATGATGAATTAGACAGGCCCTTAGGTCATATTCAGTTAAGGGAACCAGGTACAAGTTCACGGGGACACAACGGCCTAAAACACTTGACATCCTGTTATGGTGCTAAATTTTACAAATTGGGGATAGGAATAGATCGGCCTATGTCTAGATCCCATAAAGAAGTAGCAGACTATGTGTTGTCAAAATTTCCACCAGATGCACTAACTATCTTGAGAGAGGTATCATTACCAAAAGCTTTACAAAAAATAACAAATATATCCAAATAGGTACACAACAATTTATCCACATTACCACAATGTGCAAACGACCGTTATTTTCCAATATATATATACTTATATAAATATCACATACACAATAGTACATATATGTATACATATATACATACATATATATATATTGCATGCTCGTATATTATATTATACATTGCTACGACTGCACTTCATAATCCTCTTCTGTGTACGTTGCTCGAGAAGAGGAGAGAGAAGATAGGGAACGGCAGGTACTGCGCCAGAAAACTGTTATCTCAACGTCACTCTGCAAGGACATCTATTTTTTAGCCTCCGTTCTTCGTTCTGCGTTTCCAGGGATGGAGAGGAGAGAAGGTAACTTTAAACGGGCGCCTTTCTAACAAGACAGAAATTAAACGACAGCTTCCTTCTGGCAGACTGACAGAGCCAGGCAGAGTCGGTCGAGCTAGGCAGGGGGACTGGAAAAAAAAACTGTAGATTTTCCTTTTTCTTTCTTCTTTTGGCCGTGGAACAAGAACAAGGAGAGTAAACAATAATTCCTGGATTTAGATATTCTACTATATGACACCATAACAATATATATAAAAATAGGATGGAGAAATTATACACGTTAAAACAACTGCTTTAATTCCTACAATAACTTATTAAAAGGGCGCTTGTTTTACACACAATTGATCCTTTCCTTTGATTTCTTCTTTCTTCAGTCATAAGCCATACATTTGATATTTGTATATATAAATATATACATATATGTGCTCCTTAATTCGAGCCGAAAAGAAAACAGAATAAGCATTTTTTTAAACCATCTTTCAATTTAATATCCTGGGATAGACCTTTTTCTACGAATCTTACAATGAGTAAATATTTAGAACTATTTTTACATCCACAAGAATTGGCTTCTGTGATCCAATTAAAATTTGTCAGAAAACCATTGTTTAGTATCAACGACACTATAGCTACACCTGAATTGAAAGAATGTTATAAATTGTTAACTCTAACTTCTAGATCCTTTGCCGTGGTCATCATGGAATTACATCCAGAATTAAGAAACGCTATTATGCTATTCTACCTTATTTTACGTGCTTTAGATACTGTGGAAGATGACATGACCATTGACAATAAGATCAAAATTCCTTTGTTACGTAGCTTCCATGAAAAATTGTTATTGGAGGATTGGTCCTTTGATGGTAATTCTCCAAATGAGAAGGATAGAGACGTTCTAGTCAAATTTCCTTCCATTTTAAAAGAATATCACAAGTTGAAGACTGAGTACCAATCAGTTATAAGTGAAATCACTGAAAAAATGGGAAATGGTATGGCCGACTACATTGAAGATGAACAATTCCAGAAGGATGGGATTCAAACAGTCAAGGATTATGACCTTTATTGTCACTATGTGGCTGGATTAGTCGGCGACGGTTTAACACAGTTGATTGTCCTTGCCAAATTCGGGTCCCCTCAATTGTTAGAAGGCTCTCAACTATTTGAAAGCATGGGTCTTTTCTTGCAAAAGACTAACATCATTAGAGACTATTTTGAAGATTTACAAGATAGTAGACATTTTTGGCCAAAAGAAATTTGGTCTCAATATGGTGAAACTTTGGATTATTTCACCAGAGACTCTGTAGCCGGCGTCCACTGTATCAACCATTTGGTCTTGAACGCCATGGAACACATCGAAGATGTCATGACTTATCTAAGTTCAATCTCTGAACAATCTTCTTTCCAATTCTGTGCTATTCCACAGGTTATGGCAATTGCCACTTTAGCAAAAGTTATGAATAATCCAAACGTCTTGAAGGAAAATGTAAAGATTAGAAAGTCAACTACATGCTCTTTGATCCTTAAATCAAGAACATTTAAAGGTTGTGTAGAAATCTTCCAATATTATCTAAGAGACATGAGACACAGATTACCAGTAGGCGATCCAAATTATTTGAAATTTAATTTACGTTGTGGTAAAATCGATCAATTTTTTGAGGAAATGTATCAAGAGAACTTGCCTGTTGGTATTGAACCACGGAAAACTCCAATATATCTGAAGGTTCAAGAAAGATCCAAGTGGGATCAAAAAATTGAAACTACTGTATTGAAACAAGAAAGGTTCGTTATGCAAAGAATTGCATTCAGTGGTATTGTTTTGGTATTGTCAATAATCTTATACGTTTCTATGTGAAGATAAAAGAAAAGAAAAAAGAAAAAAAGAATCAATCACAAATATATATATATATATATATATGTATTTACAATTATTTATAACTATAGAGTGATACTTTTAAGTAGTTTATTTATACGTATAGTTATGCAATTATGATGAATGCAGATATAAAGAATGAGTATATGTCTACTACAGTAAAATGATTTCTTCTTTTTAACAGAAATGCATGCCATTGTTGGGATACTTTTTTTTTTAATTAAATCTAGGTACTTCTATGAGTTTTCAATATTCTTAGGTTTATTATCACCAAAAGCGTTCTTTTTATTAGATCTTGTAAGTTTGTAATATATATATATATATATTTCATTTGGTTATTATAATCATTTATAAGAAGGTATCACAAATAACAAATTAAAATGTAGATTTAATTTATATAAATACACACATATCAATAATAAAATAGTTAATTTTTTTTGATTTAATGGCCTCTTAATCTCCCAATGATGTTATTATTTGTCTTTCCTAATATATTCTATGAGAAAACTGCATCAGCTTTGAATGCAGTTCTATACATTAAAAAAGCCTTATTTGGGAACACATCAAGTCTATTCGCTTTCCGTCTGTTTTGCTTTAAATGTATCTATATACCCAAGATTCTTTGTAATGTAAGCAATAATCTTTTAAGTGTACAATCTATCTGGTTTATCCAAAGTTTGAGAAAACCGGTGATCTTGATCATCTAACAACTGGATACAACGATAAGAATCAATACAAACACGACCTTAAGACACAATAGAGAAAATATATCTACATGCATGAGAAATAGTACGCTATCTTTGAAATTACTAAATGGAGTCTGAAATCTACAATATAAATAGTCACTATTCAAACTTGTATATCTTTTCAGTGCATAATCATACAATGGTGAAGTTTAATCCTTAATCATAATCAGTTAAAAAAAAGGTATACTATCTCTTTTCTATCATAAAAACTAACGGACTTTCTTCTCTTTTGGCAAATCCATTGATGGCTTTCCTTAGTGGCATCCGTGTTTTCTGAATCATTGTGGACGAACAAATCGAAGAGAAACAACAGAAACAATAGGGAAATTTGATCTGACATTATGCAGGTTTCTTGCCCCTTACATTTTGGTCAAGCAAGACAATGCAATTTAGCCTGGGATTAATAGTGAATATTAAGATTCTTTTACCTCACTATACATTACATTAGTATATATATATATATATATATGTATAAATAAGGAAGGGCATTCAAATGTGTATATGTGTTTGCTAATGTAGTGACTATTTTCTTAAAAGGTAATCATCCTTTTTTTTGCATTCTATGTTTTCGTAATAACATGTTCACATCATTTAGTCCACTACTCACTAACACTATCAGAAGCTCACAAGAAAATTCAACAAATTTATTAAGTAAGGAGGTTCATTGAGCAAAAAATGGCACTTTCTAACTTCTCTCTTCTAGGTAACAAGAATTACAAGTTCCGAAATTGGGCAGGGATTTATTCTACTAATCCACAACTTTATTTCGAACCAGATACAATTGATCAAGTCATTGAAATTGTCAAAAATGCGAATGAAAAGGGACAAAAGATCACTATTGTGGGTGCAGGACACACTCCAAACAACATCTGTATCACTAGGAATTGGATGGTTAGTTTAACTAAATTGAATCATGTCGGTATGCTATGTTCAAATCATGCCAGTTATGCAGACGTTACTGTGGAGGCAGGGATTACAAGTCATGATTTGAACGAATATTTGACAAAGCATGGTTATTCTCTACAAAATTTACCCTCAATTAATACACCAACTATGGCAGGTATGATCTCTACAGGATCTCATGGTTCTTCTGCATACCATGGTCTTGTCTCCTCCCAGATTGTTGATATCACTTTAGTTAACGGACAAGGGGAACTAGTTTTTGTTGATTCAGAGACTCAACCAGAGTTGTTCAGGGCTATGTTACTATCTTTGGGTCAAATTGGCATTATCGTTAAAATGACTATAAGAGTGGTTCCTAATTTCAATTTGAGAGTGACCCTGGAGATTTTTGAATTTGATAAAATTATTGACATGTGGGACAAGATCTGGTTGACAACAGAATATATCAAAATTTGGTGGTACCCATATAATAGAAAATGCATAGTTTGGAAAGGTGAAAGAACTAATGATTCCGTTCCCAAAGATAGTAGTAACAACCTTAAAGAAAAACAATTTTTGTCTAATAAATTCAATAGATTTTTATATCAATTTTTGCTTTGGTGTTCTACTCAAATTTGTGGTCGTTTGACTCCATTTGTTGAAAAGTGGATATTCAATAGACAGTATAGGAACGTTATTGAACCAGCTGTTATTACTTCCTTAGATGGATTCACTTTAGATTGTTTATATTCTCAATTTGTTGATGAATGGGGTTGCCCATTGGTTAATGGTCCTGAAGTGTTACGTAAATTGGAAAACATCGTCGACGAAGGTGCTAAAACAAATAAATTCTACATACATTGCCCAGTAGAGATTCGTTGTTCAAATACGACTGTACCACCTGACTTATCTGTTAATGATTCAGAAAAAAATTATTTGTTGAAGGGTGCAATCTATGGTAACAATCTACATCCATTGTTGGATAATACAAATAATTTAGGTCAATATGTGGCAATTGATCAAGTAACAAATGACCAATTAACTTTGTTTATTAATGCTACAATGTATAGACCATTTGGTTTTAATTCAAAGACTTACGATTGGTTTACCCAATTTGAACAAGTTATGATAGAAGCAGATGGTAAGCCACATTGGGCCAAGAATTTTATTGGGGCCACTGAATTGATCACTGGCCCATCAGCAAGTAAAACTGTTAAATATAAAGACTATCAATGTCGTGGTTTAGGAAAATTTATTAAGGAAAAATTTCAAGATAATTTAATTGAATTCCAAAGGATTAAATCTATACAAGATCCAAATGGTATTTTTGAAACTAACAAAGATTGGTTACTTCGTAATGGTATTGCTGTGGAGTGAACAAAAGATATTTTCTTTTTTTTTTTATTTTTTTTTTATATATTAATTCTGTTATTCCTATGTTTTCTTACATTTCCTAGTTGACTCCAGTGGATAATTATGTTCTTTTTCTTCTATATTTTGTTTTCTACTTATTCCATATTTCTTCAATTGAATGTTGTCCCATTAGTAACCTAATGAATTTATTTATGTGATATTCTAGTTTTGTGCAGTATTTTATTACTTTCTTATATATATGTGTGTATGTACGTATGTATATATACTTTCTCTGTACATATAAATTATCAAAACTGTTGATTATATTCAATTAAATATATCTGTAAAGTTTGATATTATTTTATAGATGTTACTGTGTAGTATTACATCAGAAAGATGTCTATTGTATCGATGTGTTTTTCTCACAAAGAAATCTTCTTCTCTACATTGTATTAAGTAAGTCTACGAATGTTTATCAGTACGGTATATATAGAATAACTCATACTGCATTAACCCAACGAGTCTCATTCTTGAACCAATTTATTTCATTTTTCACGATCCCATTTGACAAGGACCTTCACTTTCGGAGTATTTCCCTCCGCAATTTTACAGGAAAGCTTTTTTTCTTTTTGTTTAGCAGAAGGGGGGAGGAAATTGATTAAAGTATTTGCATATTAGCAGTATATATTTTTGTGTTTTTACTTACACACCTAAGGAATAATAAATAATTGATAGAAAAGATTTATTTATCAGTGAAAATAAGCAATTCACTACTAAGACATTAGCAATAACTTTTTAGGAATACTCATGTATATAATTTATTTTGGTTTTTAAAGCTGGATTGATATTATCATATAACATAGATTATGCATTTGCTTAATGGAATAATGTTTAATTATAGAATCAATTGGTCCTTTTTGCTAACTTTGCTCAGCTGTTCTCTGGTAACTATATTCATATATAGATATGTGACTGGAGAGGTTTTAGTTCCTTATAAATTACGAATATTTTTTAGTAAAAATAGTAATCGTGTCAGAAGTGCTAATAGTAGAATTTCTACGAATAGAAGTAACAATGCTAGTAATTATCATCTTATCAGTCCTTCACTTCATCCCAACAAATGGACAAAACTAATGTTTCTTTCCAAAATGACCTTGGCTCCAAACACATCATTGTATAAATTCAAACTGAAACATAGAAATGAAAAACTAAATATTCCGACAAGTCATTATGTTGCAGTTAGAGTCATATTAAATGGTAAAGAGGAGATTAGAAACTATACCCCAATACATACAAATGAAAATGTTGGTTGTTTGGACCTCATAGTTAAAACATATACACTTGGTAATGTCTCCAAATATTTCACCACTTTGAAACCTGGAGATTATTTGGAGTTTAAGGGACCTATGGGTGAGTTTGTATATGAAGATGTTCAAACTACACAACTAGGATTAATTGCAGGTGGATCAGGTATCACACCTATTTTGGAAGTATTGAATGAATACATGTCTAATCCTGACAAACTGGAGAAAGTTTGTTTAATTTATGCTAATGAGACTGTTCACGATATTTTATTAAAAGAAGAATTAGATTCAATGATGTCAAAATATCCCCAATTCCATGTGTACTATGTATTACATTATCCACCTTCAAAACATGATATGACTTTATGTGATGAAGAAACCTGGTCTGGTGGTATTGGTTATATTACCAAAAGAGATATGGAGCAATATTTACCTGAGTATGCTGACGATCATCGTTTATTGATCTGTGGGCCTCCAGAAATGACAAATATGGTGTTAAATTATGCAAGAAGTCTTGGTTGGAATAGTGGCTTTCAAAAATCTAAAGGTGATCAAAAAGTGTTTGTATTTTAACGGATATATCTTCCTCTTTTTTTGAGTTTTTTTTTTCATATGATGATTAGCATGTACTTGACTGTAATACTGTTTGTGTATTCCTTATATGTTGTAAAGTATATAACAAATCTTTTTTTTTGTTGGTATATATTTTTGTATATAAATAATAATATATTAATGACTATTATATATATATATATAGATATCTATGGTTGTCTATGTTGTTTTATGCTCTTATACTATTGCATTTCACTTAACGATAGTGCGATGGCTAATGCTAAATCTTCATCTTCTGTTGATGATGTGGCTATTCCTGCAGGGGGGAGATTTTCGGATATATCCAATCGTCTAAACGATTCAGATACTAAATTCCCTATGTTTGGCGATAATGTTTGGGTATCTGATATATTATGTGAATTTTCAACACTTGCTGGAATAGCCAATCTTTGTTCATATTCTTGTCTTGATAATTCAAGTACTCTTTGTAATTCTTCATCCTCAGCCAGTCGAGCATGGTTTGATGCAGTAGAACCTTGTTGTTGTTGTTGCAATCTTTCAGATTGCTCTATTGCTCGTAGTAACTGACTCTCTTCATCATTGTTATCATTATTACCTGAATGGATATGTGATCTTGATAATTCTTGTTGAGATTCCAGAAGAGCAATTCTTAAATTTATATCTTCTTCGTCTTCTTCGTCTTCATACAAATTCCTATTAATATGGATATAATTATTGCTTGAGTATATGTCACCACCGTATTCGTTTAGTAGTCTCTCATTTTCATTGATTCTTCTTTGAATTAATTCTTCTTCTTCATCAAATAATTTTTTAGCTACATTCAAATTAATATTCCATTTATTGTTAACTTGATTGTGACCTCTTAAAGGTTTTGTATTGTGACGCATTGATCCATCAGAGTTTAGATATTTATTGTTATGGCGTTTAAATTTATGATTTGGATTAAATTGATAAACGTTCAAATTATTACCGGTGGCAGTTACTATTTTATTATCATAGATCCTAATAAACTGGGTCAATTTATCTACTTTTGGTACAGTTTTCAAAAGGTCCCCAGTAGTGGGGTCAATAATCTTTAAGTTATCTTCTAATGTTACGACCAATACGGAATTGTTGATTTGACATGCAGTTATAATTTCGTTAAAGATCAATCTTTTATGTAATCTTAGTTTCTTAGAGTCTGTTTCTAAAGATTCCCTACAATTTAATATAAGTATATCGTTGGAATCCAGTACAATAGCCATATAACAGCCATCTTCACCAACGATGGATAAATTCTGCTCTCTCATGGTTGTCATATCATCGATGTAGACATCTTTGATTCTTTCATCTTGCTTAGAGGACAATTCAAAACTCTTAAGGTGGCCTAGATCCTTTTTGGGATCAACTGAGATAACCCATACGTTTGTGAGTGTGACAAATATGAGATTCATGGACCCGTAATCTATTCTAAAGAAGAGGATTTCGTTTATAGTCAAGCTATGTGGTAATCTACAGTCGTTAATCAAATTGATCTCGTGTATGATTTCACCTCTGTTTAAAACCACAAAACAATTTAATTTAGAATCGACACAGATGGTGTAGTTGGTATTTTTCTCCCTGTTGAAGGTGTAGAGTTTAACGATGGTATAGGAAGACAACTGTAGTCGCTTTAACAGGTTTGTGTCCTCCCACCAACAAACCTCGCCTAACTCGGTACCAGACACGCAAACGGTCTTTTTTGTCTCGAAGATATCCGGCATGATATTTATGGAGGTGACACAAGAACTCTGGGTATGCAAAGAATTGAATTCGATAACGGGTTGCAGAAAAGATTTGTTTGTCAAAAGCTTTGCAAAGATCCTGCCATCGAATCTGCCAAACACAGCTGCATGAAGATTAAAATCCATTGTAGAACAACCTTGCGGAGTGGTGCAGGGGATATAAGTGAACTTAGTTCTTCTTCTTGTACTGATGGTGGAGCCTCTTGCAGTATTATTATTGTTGTTATTGTTGTTGTTGTCATACCCACCACTGAAGGGGTTAGAATTGTTTAGTTGGACTATGGTGATTATTCCTTCATGGTAAAGATAACAACGAGGATATTTGAAAATGATTCTTTCTATTTGAGTTGGGATACTTCGGTATGGGTTGATGGTATATTTATTTTTGATGACTTTATTGTGTTTCCAATCATTCAGGATTCTTTTCCTTTCGTAAAACTCTTCAATGAAGCTGTCTTGACGAGATAAGGACGGGAATTTCAGAGTCAAAAATTTCTGATAGATAAGTTTTTTCCAAAATTCTTGATCATGTAAAAGTGTATTAAAAAACTTGTTTAGAGATTGTAAAATAATTATATCAGATTCTTCTAAAAATGAACAAATATTTATTAATATTTCTAGTGGTAACTCTTGTAAAGATGTAATAACCTTCATCATCGAAAGTTAGACTTTATTAGTGACGTTTATTAATTGATCCTGATTTAGTTTGTTTTTTTTTTTTTTTTTTTTTTCTTTTTATTCTTTAATTATTCTCTTTCTTTTATTTTGTGTTTTATGTCCTGGAGAAACTGAATATACGTTTATTTTTTTTTCTTTATTTATTCATCTTGATTTTTCTATTTTTAATCCTTTTAGCTCATCTCAAAAGCTTTGCTCTTTTTTGTTATGTTATTTTTTTTTTCATTTTCATTTTCTACTTTTACAGGTCACATGCCAGATTTCATTCTTGGCAGAAAAACGAAAGAAAGAAAGAAAAAAAAGAAAGAAACCACACCCATACACACACAAAACCCACACCTCCAACCTTTTGAGGAAGAAAGGCATCGCCGCTCACTGGTTGCACACCCAGACACCCAGCCAACGATTTGGCCTCAAGCAATTTTTTTTTGTTCCCTCACGCAGATTCGATTCCTTTGGTTTCCTTTTTTTTCCTTTGGTTGGGTCCGCGTTAAGCAAAACATTTTTATGTGTCTCGTTTAGAACGAAAATTCTGTCAACAACGTTTTTTCTAATTCTTTTTTTTTTATAACGGAAGAAGGAATCATCGGATCTTTTTTTTTTTAACTCTACTTTGAGAGAAAAGAAAGAGAGAGAGAGAACAACAATAGCAATACATTGCCCAGAGTTTTTCTTGTTCTATCTTTCGGAGACTGCGGAATTAGCACGGTGTTTTATCTCTGCTGTCAAATTCTCTCATTTTTTCTTCTCTTCCTTTCTCTCTTCCCTTCTTTTCTGTGTTTGTTGGTGTGGGGGGGGAGTGCACATGCGAAACAGCAAACACAAACGGTGGAAACAGTCAAGATTCCAGCAGATACTGGAGAGAGTGTGTTGTCTGAAAGGAATTGTCGCACTAATGGTAATTCCCTCGACAATTCTCACCAGTTAGCTATCCTTCGAATATACAGACTACTACTACTACTACTATTATTATTATTATTATTATTATTATTATTATTATCAGTATTAGTTTTGATGGATGAGACCCTCTTCACTAAGCTTGTCGCTTTTTCGGTAGATCAAGATTATAATCGATAAAAAATAAATCGTTTCTTTTTTTTCTTCCTTTTCTTCCTTTTCTATTTGATTTTATTATTGTTATTTTTTTGTTTTTGTTTTTTATTCTTTTTTTTTTTTTTTTTTACTTTTATTTTATTTCAGCAATGGCATAATGTTGGAGTCAAGTAATATCAACTTGTGATTATTAGAAATTACCACTCTTTTCTTATATATAAACGGTTGCAACTTTTATATAGTTTCTTACCAAGTGACATTTTCAGTGTATCTTTGCCAGATTGTCTCGTGTATACTCTTGGTCTGCAATTTCCCCTTTTTTTATATAATTGGGTAACCAATAGTAAGTTATCCAATATCCAACACATAAACATTATTCCCTTACTTTCATATACATATTTATACACATATATATAAACAAAAACAAAAAACAAAATGACTAAGAGACAACGTTTAGAAAATGGTAATGAAGAAGTATCTTCCACTTTGAACTACAACATCGAACCAGCAAGAAACGTCGGTATCAAAGGTTTGCAGGTCTACATCCCACAACAGTACGTCTCACAAGAATCCTTGGAGACCCACGACGGTGTCTCGAAGGGCAAATATACCATTGGATTGGGTCAAACAAATATGGTCTTCGTTAATGATAGAGAAGACATATATTCCATGGCTTTAACTGTCGTCAGCAATTTGATCAAGAAATACAACATAGACAAGAACCAGATCGGTAGATTGGAGGTCGGCACTGAGACTCTGTTGGACAAGTCTAAGTCTATCAAGTCTGTGCTAATGCAACTGTTCTCTGAGACCGACGGTGACATCGAGGGTATCGACACAATCAACGCTTGTTACGGTGGTACCAGTGCCTTGTTCAACACCGTCAATTGGATCAAGTCTGATAACTGGGACGGTAGAGACGCCATTGTGGTCTGTGGTGACATCGCCATCTATGAAAAGGGTCCAGCCAGACCAACTGGGGGTGCCGGTATGGTTGCTCTTTGGGTCGGTCCAAATGCTCCCTTGGTTATGAACACAGTGAGAGCCTCTTACATGGAACACGTATACGACTTCTTTAAGCCAGATTTGACCTCTGAGTACCCAGTGGTTCAAGGTCATTACTCCTTGCAATGCTACATCAAGGCCTTGGATAAAGCCTACAACAATTACAAAAATAAACTGAATAAAATCTCTGGTGCCAGCGAATCCTCCTTGAAAGTCACTGATCTATTTGATTACAACGTTTTCCATGTGCCAACCTGTAAGTTGGTGAATAAGTCCTTTGCTAGATTATTATACAACGACTGGTTGCAAGATCCAAGCCTATACCCAGACGTTGACAAGTCCTTATTAGAATTGACATACGAGGAGTCCTTGACTGATAAGAGAATCGAGAAAACATTCATGCCAATTGCTAAGGAACTATTCAGTAAACGTGTCAGACCAAGTTTGGAATTACCAACTAATACAGGTAACATGTATACCGGTTCTGTCTTTGCTGCGTTAGCATCTCTTTTACATTTCACTAGTATAAAACAAGATATATTTGAAAAAGATACTTTGATTGGTAAGACCATTGGTATGTTTTCATACGGTTCAGGTATGGCAGCTTCATTGTATTCGTTCACTGTCCGTGAAGATTTGACCACTATTGTAGACAAGTTAGATTTGAACACTTGGTTTGGAAATAGAGTACGTTTGACCCCAGAGGAATATGAGTCTCAATTGAAACAAAGAGAAGCTATTCACTTAAAGAAGGACTATAAACCAGTTGGTACTATCGAATATATCCGTTCAGGCTCCTACTATTTGACCGATATCGATTCGATGTATCGTAGAAGTTACGCTATCAAAGAATAAATAATACCGATCACGATCAGATATATTAAGGTACATATATTTATGAAATATATATATATATGTGTGTGTGTGTGCATGTATAGCTATAAAAAATTCTTTAAAATCATCAACACATACATAGTTTTAAAAACCAATTATCCTTTCGTCTGTTATTTTGTTCAGTAGTCTATCAATGTGGAGAAGCAGCAAAAAGTTGTTTCGTATTTCATTTTTCTACTTATCAAACTCTTGATAGGTCATCCGGTAGAACGTCCATCAATTTTGTCCTTCTTTTCGTTACACCATTCTAGGGTTTGTTGTAATTTTCCACTTCATCTTCTCCGAAATTACTCACCAAACTCCCCTTGCTACCACCCTCCCACCAATTATTCTTCAGCCTCCTTTCCAAGATAAGAAAAAAAAAAAAATAAAAAAAAAAAGTCCGCCTAACTGCCGTTGTTTCCTCCTATTGTCTCTTTTTTATTTTCATTTTTATTTTTACCTGTTTCTTTCCTCCCCTCGCCTCCCCTTCTTTTGGTGTCAAACAAATCAAACAAAAGCAAAAAGATTGAAATATGTCGTACATTTTTTGCTACGTTTTTGTTTTCTTGTTTGTTTTTCTCGCTCGGACAAACTTCAATTTGATTGGTAAGCCAAGGGGATGTGCGGACATCTGTACATCACACTATTTTTTCCTACCTGTTTCTCCTTTTCATTTCTTTAGCTTTTTTTTTTTTTGTTTTTTTCTTTGTCTATTTCTCGAATTTCTCTGCGGTATTGTTGGTTTGTTTTGTAATTCATTTTTCTTGTCATTGTGGTTTTGGAGTCTTCAAATCGGGTTGGGTCAATTCCTAGTAGCTTGTTAGTGGTGTTGTGTTTATTCTCTCTCTTTGATTGATTGATCGATCGATGAAACGATTGATTGATTGATTGCATGAAAAGAAAGAAATTCGTTTGTATATCTATGTTTGTTCGACTTGTTTGCCTTCGATTAGTTGACCCATCGCTTGATTTTTAAGTGGAATATAATGTAGCTGGATATATATATATATGTATATGTATATGTATTTACTATTATTATCATTATTATTAATGAGGACCTTAACTTGCCAGTATTAACTGTCTTTTATCTTCTTATCTACTCCCATCTTTATTGTTGCACTTTCTTCTTCAGCTACATAGCTAACTAAGATAGTGGGTTGATTTAGCATAGAAGAGAATTTAAATAAGAAAATAGAAAAATAAATCCATACACACTCAGACACTCATATATAAATACATTATACAATATACTATAATCACTTCCTTACTTTGACTTTTAATTTTTTTTTCTTTTTGGCGATTTTCTTTCTATCTCTTTCTACATCAAGATAGTATAATTAGCAAATAGTGTTTTACTTCTATTATGGCATTCAAATCGTTTAAAAATAAAATCCCAAGAGCTAAACATTACCATCCGTCTTCTAATGCTGCTACTAATAACTTGAATAACAACAATAACAACAATAACAATAATAACAATAATAATAACAACCCTGGCAATAACCCTACTTCAGCCACCACCACCACCACCACAACAACAACAACAACAACAACCTCTAATTATACCAATAATAGTAACTATTCAAAGAGTCTCAATATGTCTACTGCTGCAATATCTACTATCAGAAATAGTAATAGGATTAGGCACACAGCAACTACTTCATTTTTCGACAGTTCGTATCAACTGTATAAAAAAAGACAAAATCAAACCCAAAAGAAGACCACTCGGGATCATACAAATTACACAACCTATAGATTGAACAATAACAATGGATCTAAAAATAATAATAGAAGATCCCGACATTATCCAAATTTACATCCCATAATATCTGCTAATACAAATTATATAGAGCATCCTACCAATAATTTTCATACTTTAAACCATTCGAATCCACAAATTAATCTAAATAATACAACTAGCACAACTAACACAACAACTACTACTACTACTACTACTAATAATAATAATAATAATAATAATAATAATAATAATAATAATAATAATAGCAATGTTTTGAATGATTTTCCTTTAAATTTTAACAACCGTACTAATAATATTTCCCTATTTAATGATGTTTATAATACAGTTTCATTCAATGGTAATGCTAATAATAGTAACTCAACTAATAATATAAATGCTGGTAATTTATCTCAATCCCCAACTACAATTAATAATAAAAGGAACATTTTAACTACTCAATATTCTTCACCGCGTAAATTGACTGAGGCAGATATAAAGGATGATAAATGTCCATGGGATGAGGATTTAGAAAATAATTTAAATTCCGATACCTATCTGAAGATACATTGTGAACAGATTAATAAATGTTTCCAATTGGGTCAATATAATAAAATCAATTCGTTATATCAGTCTTTAAGAAGAAATGATTTGGTACCAAGTATAGATATTTATGAAAAAATATTCATATCGTTCCACAAAAGGTCATTTGACCAAAATAATCAAAACCTAAATGAAAAGATGTGGCAACTGTTGAATTGTTATCAGGATATGATCAATAATAAATTGAAGCCAAATTCAAAGATTTATAATATTTTACTTCTTCAGATTTTTAAAAATTCAATTATCGCTATTGAGACAAATAATATGAATGGTCTTGACTTCTTCAAGATTGGTTCCGAGTTGTTGACTACTATCACCCAAAAAAATAAAATATCTAATGAGACTATAAACTATTATCTTTTGTCAATGAATTTATATGCAAGAGAAACTATAATGAGAATGAAAAGTCATAACAAAGGAAATAACAATAATATAGCTAGCGTTGATACCAGCTCCATTATTCCGGATTTGACTTGTTTGAAAAATAATCTGATTGAATTATCATCTATAGTGTATGAAAAGGATTCATTTTATTTCTTGAATTTCATCAGTTTGGCCAATTTGAAAAAAGATTTAATAATGCTTAAATCTCTTTACAATGAATTTTTGTTTTTATTACCCATGGAAAAATCGATATCGTTGAAGGAAAACCAATTTGAAATATATTCGATGTTTATTACTGCATTTATTGAGACTGGTGAATTGACAGTCGGTTCAAAAATGTTTAATAATATTATTAATGAAATCAAGAAAAAGAATGGTTCCAAAAAAATTGTCACCATGGTTTTATCAAATTTTATAATCTCTTTATCCAAGGTTGATCCACAGCGAGCTTACTCGGTCTGGTTTGAATTTAAGAAATTGAGTTGGGTCCCAGAATTTTCTTATGAATTTTATCTTTTACTGTTATCCAATTGTTTCCATGATTGGGACTTGACTACAAAGATTTATAACTATATTTATCCAATGGAAAGATCCTTTAATTCCAAGAATAAATTTCAAATTAATAAATTTAGATTAAACTCAAACACAAATCTATCAACATATCTATTATATCCAATACATACGGAAAATGTTATCAATCTATTATTAGATTATGCTCTACAATTAAGAGATTCTGATATTATTATGAAATTATTAGAAGAATCAATGGTTAAAAATTTTAAATTTGATTCTAATTTGTATCCGTTTATTTTTAAATTTTTGAAAGAGCTTAATGCTCCAGTGGATTATTTGATTAGATTTATTGAAATTCATGGTAGTTTACACCCAAATCTACCATTTCTATCATCAATTACAAACTCTTGTACTTCTCCTGATTTACTGTTGAAGATTTATAATATGCATTTTTTCCAGGAGATTTGTTCAAAATTAAATTTCAGCTTAAATTCAATTAACCAAGCTCCATTTGATGGGCTTGTTTCAATTATGTCTGTTGTTTGGAATTCATCTCATCCAATAGAATCATATCCACATTTGTTGAAAATTCATGCAATTATTGTCATCCGATTGTTTGATTTCGATACCTTAGATCCAACAATGATTCATGATATTGAAATGTCACAACAACCAGGTATGAATAATACAAGACAGATGGATCAATTCATTTTGTTTAAAGAAAAGATTATAGATTGTTTCACTAAATTTGTTAAGAATTATAAAGGATTTAATTTGGATCCAAGTAAAATTGATCCAGTTGTTCCGCAAGCAGCTAAATTTATCATAGATTTGAAACAAGAATATGTTGATTATTTTGCGCATCCTGGGGATTGGGACAAAAATTATCCATTGTCATTAGGTCCAGCGATTAGAAACTCTACAAAGACGGGGTTGAAAGAATATGAAAATTTATCATCTAAAGGTTATTGTTTTGACTATGATACATTTAAAGAATTGATTAAGCATAAATATTATGATCAATCAATTATTAATAATTTTTTAGGTTTTTCTCAAGATGATATAGATGAATTAAGATTTTCGAGAAATTTATTGATTAGTAAAATGAAGGCTGAAGATATAGAACTAATGGTGTTGTTAAATGGTCCAAATTTTCAAAAGCAGGTGTTACCATATTTGAATGAGGTTTCATTAATTAGAACCATGAAATCATTGGTCACAATTGGAATGGATACATTTCTTCGCTTGATCAATTTTCCATATGGATTTAAGCATATAACAAAGCAAGCCGAATATAAAAGACTAATCGAATTTATTTATACACAATTGTTCGAAGAGGGTTATTATGATCTAATACTTGAACTAAATGAAACATGTCCTGTTTTGGATGTTGAGATTTTATTAGAATCATGTATCAGATCTTCTAATCCGATCAATAACAACAAGTTTATTCCACTTTTTGCTAAATTTCAAAACAGTCCATTACTTCTAACCGAGTCACAACGTATTAGAATTGAGTCGGAGTATCTGATCATTAAGGGACATATTAAGGAAGCCGCGGATCTTCTAGAAATGAATATTGGCAATAAAGATGAAGATTTGATAAATCTTTATTCCTTTACTGTCTTTATTCAAAGTTTTTACAGTAATATAACACAATTCAAATACACCCCAAAAAATACTATCCAATTAGCCAACATGCTCTCAGCATGCTCATCATTTATAAGTGTAGTAAACAATTATGATCATTGGAATATGAGATCATCACAAGAGGAGTGTACTAAGGAAGAAATATTAGGACAAATGTTACAAAACTTAATTGACGCATCTAGATTATTTCAACGTGAAAAGGCCTTAACAGATGATATTAAAAAGATTCTAAATGAGAAATTGAGGACACTTTATAGATTTAAAGTGTACTTAAGATCACCGCATGTAACAATAACCGAATTGCAACAGTTGATCCATATTTGGCAAGTCATTAATCCTTCTTCTGTAATTCATTTGTTTAACAATATTGTTGAAACGGTCTATTTGAATCAGGATATATTAGCAGAAACGGGGACTCTCACGCTACAAGGTAATTTAGTATGGGAATTTGATATTGACTCTTTGGTTTCTATCTTAGAGGATGTATCTGTTAGTTTCACTAAAGATGAGGAGAACATGTCACGTCTGAATGAGTTTAGAGACTACATATACCAAAGGTACCCAATGCCTATTGATGCTGTTGTGATTTAATTTTTGATCATTGAGATAATTCCTAATGTTATTAATCCATACAATTTATTCAATCGTCATCAAATTTATATATATATATTGCATTAAATATTACATAGAAATATAGACTATTTTTGAAAGCATACGTTTATATCATTGTATTTTGTTCACTAATTAATATAGATGTGTGTTATTGTCTCATTATTTAGTGATTTTGATTTTTCCAGGTTCGTGATAGATTCTAATAGCTGACACAATCATTGACCCATCATCATTATCATTTATTCTTTGCAACTTTCTCTTACTCTTTTGTGTTGTGTACTGTTTGTTTTCACTCTTCGAGACTTCTGTAAATGGTAAGTATTTCTCTGAATAGTAATTATTGATGTATTAATTCCAGGAGAGGGAAATATATTCTAATTAGGAAACATGGGAAGTCTCTATACAGTGAGAAAAATACTTGAAATAAGAAAAGAATCGAAAAAAAAAAATAAAATAAAATAAACTAATATGGCTGTTTAAAGGTGGAAACAATCGAGAATGAGGAGACGATAAGTAATAGAAAAATAAGGTGGCAAACGGATTGCTTAAACTTGATATCTAGTATAGCTATTTATATTTGAATTTAAAAGCAATTATACAGTTATAACGGTGGGTCCAATATTATATATATCTATAACTAGAGTTGCTGTTATTCTTTTCACTTCATTACCTAGGTATAAACTAAAAAGAAAATAGATAAACAATACAATGACTGACAGATACGCTTTTTCCTTAACTACATTTTCACCCAGCGGTAAATTAGGTCAAATTGATTATGCTTTAGCTGCTGTGAAGCAAGGTGTTACATCATTGGGGATCAAGGCTACAAATGGTGTAGTAATTGCCACAGAAAAGAAATCTTCATCGCCTTTGGCTTTGACCGAAACTTTATCTAAAATAGAATTAATTACACCAGATATAGGTGCTGTATATTCAGGAATGGGACCAGATTATAGGGTCCTTGTAGATAAATCAAGAAAAGTGGCTCATACACAATACAAAAGAATCTATAACGAATATCCACCCACGAAAATCTTAGTGTCTAAGATTGCAGCCATCATGCAAGAAGCTACACAATCAGGTGGTGTTCGTCCATTTGGTGTCTCTTTGTTGGTAGCTGGTTATGATGATCATAAAGGGTTTAGTTTGTATCAAGTAGATCCATCTGGTTCATATTTCCCTTGGAAAGCTACTGCTATAGGTAAAGGATCTACTGCTGCAAAGACCTTCTTAGAGAAAAGATGGAATAATGAATTAGAATTAGAAGATGCCATCCATATTGCTCTTTTGACATTAAAGGAATCCGTAGAAGGTGAATTTAATGGAGATACTATAGAGATTGCTGTTATTGGTGAACCAAATGAAGATTTGTTAGGGTATACTGGTGTTCCACAAAATAAAGGTCCAAGATTTAGAAAATTAACTCCTCAAGAGATCAATGATAGATTGCAAGCTTTATGAAGAGTAGGTTATTTTAACACAGGGAGAAGCATTTATATATAGGGTAGAAATTATTAAAGTGTATATCCATTATCTATGTATATATCTACATGTGACATAAAGTAATAGTAAGAAGAGGAATTAGAAGTTATTATCATATGATTCCATAAAGTAAAAATGAGGTTAAGCAAAAATATTTGAAAATATAATAGAATGTTGACAAAAAAGAATTATATTTTAGAATGTTTCTTTTAAAGAAAAAGAAATGGAATTTTGGGGATTGAATATGATATTTTGACAGCTGGATAAATTTTTTGTGTTAGGAACAATTTATCATTAGAAGTTTTGACTAATAATATTGTGTTATATTAAAAAGAGTTTACTAGAGTGAATTTTCAACATTTTGTACAGATTGACAAACTATTGCTATTACTAAGAAAACAATAATAAAGAGTTTAAAAAAATATTATTATTAATAATATCTTGAACTGTAACTATTTATTTGTAGTCTGGTTTAAGGTAACTAACCAAAATAGATCTTTGTTTTTAAACTAATTTTTCTAACATGGAACCTTGACTATCATTACTTTGAAAGAAAGTTAATATTGTTGAATTTGAAAAGAAATGTGAATAGTATTACAATATTTTTTCTTTATACATGTATTATGTAAAAAGTTGGGGAAAGATCATTGAATAAATAGGTATCTTGGCTGCTTTTGACACAATGTAGTATAATTTTATATAATATTTAATTAACGTTTTGAATTTCAAATTGCTCTATTTTTACTCTATTATCAATAAATGATAAAAAAAATTATCAATTCTAAGAATAATCAAGGTCCTAAAAAAATTAAAACATCTTTCTGAAATATTGATATTTTTACTCCAACTAATAACTTATCATATTTCGCAATTTATTACTATAATATTCTAAAAAAATATGATAGTTAACAAAATTTTCATAATCTTGAACACTTCTGTTCAAAAACAATCAAATATTATTGTGGTTGCAAACTGTCTGGTATACATTTCATCATAACTACAGGAACCACTATTATTATAAACCAACATGATAATATTTTCATAAAACATTTTCCATTCATCACTCTATATTATATTTATCTTAACAATTATTACAATGTTTGAATATTATGTAAAATAATACTATTTCAAATTTAAAGTTAGTATATCCATTATTTATTGGTAACTTTTACTAACCGAATACAACATATATGGTTTCTATAAAAAATTTATTAATTATACACACAAAATAGTTTTATGTATCTGTATACATAATTAACCAGATTTAATAGAGACCCTAGTCATTATTGGAATGGTTGTTTTAACGGATCAATAACTTGACCTGGTTTTGTCAATATTCTTGGCTTAATAAATCTACTGTGCGTCTTTTGACTAGTCCATTCAGGTCCTAACGGCATACGTAAAGATCTTTCATACTGTTCTTTATTTTCATATGGGAATGGCACAGAAGATGCGTGGTATTTCAAATTTTTCTTGTTCATCTTTTCATTAATTATAACGTTTTGTAAATGTCTATCTTTTCTCTTCTCCTTTTCAACAACACCTTTTATCTTCTTAATAAACTTTCTCTTCTTCTTTTTGAGATTTTCTCCAGCACCAGCCCATTGACCCCAACCTGGTAGTGTTACATCTTCTTCTTTATCATCTTCATCTTCTGCCACACGTTTCTTTTCCTCACTGAAATCAACAACAACGTCATCACCAGCAAACGCTTCTGAAATGATTTCTTGTTGTTTGAACATGAATTGCTTATTAGATTCATCATCTGAACCCCCATATGGATCAACAATATTTAAAGTGTTACTGTCAGAAGTATCCAGAAGTAATTCATCATCATTATTCTTCTTCCCCTTTGCATTTTGTTTTCTTACTTGCTTTTCCATCTCTTTAGAAATCTTTTGACTACTTTTAACAAGCTTAGAACTATCTTTATCTACTATATTGATCTTAGTAGATTTTTTGACCATAGTTGAATCTTCTTCGTCGCTCTCATCTAACCAAGGATTAGCTGATGCTGATTTTTTCTGTGCTTGAGTTTGTGATTTCTTCTTTACTTCATCATCATTATCCTTTTCTTCTCTAATTTCAATTTCATCTCCATTAATATTATTAATCTTCTTTAATCTATTTACTAAACTTCTCGATTCATCAATTTTTTGTTCTTTCAATGCATTCTCATAAATAGCTTCAGTTTCTTGTTTAATTTCTTTACTACCTGGAACATACACTCTTCTACCTTTATTTAACATGACATATTCACCACTTTTACCAGATTCTTCATTACCATCATCAAATAATTCCATATCTTCACCACTCTGAACAGCTCTTAATTTTCTTAGTGCTTCTTTGTTCGCTTCTCTTTCTCTGGCTTCTGCATTTTTCATAAACTTCATGTTCAAAACACCAGTTTTTCCTACACTATCTCTCAATTGAGCATCTTCTTGATAAGTATCTCTCTCTAAATCACTCATATTAGCATTTTCATCTTCTTCATCAGAATTTCTATCAATGATTTTAGCTTTCAATCTCTCACCTTGTCTCAGCATCTCTTCCATTTCTTCACGAGTTTGTACATCATTTGTCATCCCATGTTTAACCATATCTCTAGCCCATTTAGAATTTGCTCTATGCTTCAAAGTCATTCTTTCTTGAGCTCTAGCAATTTCACGTTCTTCATTATCTTCATCGGAAAGACTTGCTGCTTCTCTATTTCTTAGCATTTCTTTCTTCTTAATTCTACGATATGATTTCGATTTGATCTTTTTAATTCTTTTTGCCTTTCTTTCTTCACGAAACATTAATTCTCTCATCAATCTCATTTCTGTGGTTCTTTTTTTCATCTCTTCTGGACTCATTTTGGCAGTGGCTAATTCTTCAAAAGTACTCTCCTTTTGTGGATCCACCAAATTGCTTTCTTTCAACACTTCAGCAACTTTACTTTGTAATTCAGATTGTACTGCGCCAGACTGATTTAAGGTAAATGCAGTAGACTCACTAAATTCTCTTTTGTTACCAAAATATAAATGATCAGCACGTCTATTCTGTTGGACAACATCCTTCCATTTATTGACCTCTTTCTTGGAGATTTCATAAGCCGCCTTACGTTCATGTCTTTGCTGAATTCTCTGGGGTAATGGTACAGCAGCAGTGAATGACTCTCCCTTTATTAATGTGGCCTGTGCAGTGACAGTTTGATCATCCACCACATTCATCATGTCTTCTAAACTTAATTTACCATTAGAGAAACCATTGCCATTAAGAGAGACAGTTGGTAAACTAAATTCATTTTCTTCACCTGCACCATAATTTTCTAATCTCTTGGATTGCGCCTTTGCTGTCTCTTTCAATAAATTAGAAGTGATTGTATTCAATTCAACTTCTTCTCCATCTTCTGAAAGTTCATCAAATGGATTTTCATCTGAATTTTCTTCATTAGATTCAGATTCACTTTCACTGCTACTTTCTTCATCTTCATTTGAAGAAGATACTTCTTCATCACTTATATCATTCTTCAATTTCAAATCGTTTTCATTAGAAGATTCAGCCTCACTGTCTGAGGTTTTTGTGTTAATATCCCAAATTTGTGACAAAGGCATCAACTCATCTTCGTCGATAGAAGTATAACCACCCTCCTCTTCATCATCTAGTTCTATACCTTGAGCTTGTTTATCACGACGTGTTTGAGACATTTTAGAATCCATAACATCATATTCATCATCAGAACCTAATGCCTCGTCAGAATCCAATATTTCATCTTCAAAGTCATCATCATCATCATTTCCATCTCCATAGTCTGATCCATAACCATCGTCACCATTATATCCTTTTTCTACTTTTTTCAATAGATTAACTACTGCACCTTTACGTTTACTACCGCTGTGCGATTGAATTCTACCATCAGTATCACCATCAGAACCTCCAACTTCTCTTTGAGCCAATTCAAAGGCATTTAAAATTCTATTTGAACTTCTAGACTTAGATTTAGATTTAGACCTTTTTGCCATAATATGTGTGTATGTGTATATATGTCCTTATTTTATTATTTCTTTTTGTTCAAGTATACATTTAAAACAAGGTATCAAGAAACATACCATATAACAGGAACACAAAGAAGATATGCAAGTCTATTCATAGTTAGTTCTAGTATGTTATTTGGATTGTAAGCTCATCGCATCTCATAACGAAATTGCAAAAACAAAAAAAAAATAATAATAAAACAAAAAATAAAAGTAAAAAAAAAAGACGAAGAAGAAAAATTTTCAGTTTCCTAAAACAACCATTATTTCTATAATAATCAATATGACCAAAAACGGAAGCAATGCAAAAATAACCCCAACTTCAAAAAGCCCTAAACTATATTCCTTACAAACAAATACATTTATATTACAACAATCTATACACCTGAATATATCCTTTAAACTATGGTTTCAATATATCCGTACCATTTTTGTTCCCATTTTTAGTCATTTTAGCACTTTTACTACCAAATTGTATAGCCCTTTTTGGCTCCATAGCAATAGAACCTAAATTTAATTTTTTATCAGCCAATTCTCTTAAGATCAGTTTGCTCATCTTAAAATTGATTGGTATCATCTCGGTGGAATATTTGACTACATCATTATCTAAAAAGGGATACCTCACTTCAACACCGTTATCAGCGATCACTTTATCATCACGGTTAAGGTTTCTATCATGAATATTATTAATTTGACTAGCCAATTCAACAGTCAGTTCATCAAAACTCCTATTATTAAATTTATGATACCCACCATATAATTCATCGGCACCTAATCCACTAAAAAGAACAATTCCATGCCGTGTGTATGGTATTCTTTGGTCTTGGTCCTCTGTGATATATCCAACGCCTCTTGAAGCAAAATAGAACGCAATAGCGATGGACAAATCCATTTCAGTTTGTTTTGGGTATATTAGATCAATGACACGGGGTCTACATTTCAAATATTCATCGTATGGAACATCAATCTCAAGCAATTTAATCTTGATTGAAGGGAACAAATTTTGTAGCACTTGATGACTTTGTATCGCCAATTTCCTATCTGGAACATCACATGGTTGCAATCCAGTTCTTGGATTCTCAAATGCAACATTTAATAATTCCAAAACTGTATCCTTTGAACCCTTTGCAAGTAAATGTTGACATATCAAAGCCACCAGGATAGAGCAATCTAAACCACCGGAGAAAAGGACTGCAATTGGAGAATTTTCTACATGTCTTGGATGAATAGAATCTATTCTTCTTTGTACTGCTCGTGCCAATTCAAAGTATAATTGGTCAACGGTATCATTTAACGTAGTTCGTTCCATGTCAATCACATTTGTGACTTTATAAGGCGGCTGGATAGACAAACTTGAATCAAGTGTATGACGAATAGTATCATATCGATAGATAACACCTGCTTTACAATTTATGTAATCCTGGGTACACTGCCCAGTGACACTTGCCACAGATAATTGGTTATTTTCAGTATTCAGATGGTAGGAAAGACTCCTCTTGCCTATTGGATCTCTACCGAAATATATACAATTATTTAATGTGTCAAAGATGGTGTATGAGAATTCCCCATTCAATTGACGTATAATGTTTGGAACAGTACTATTTTCATCTGATAACAAAGAGACAATATATTGTGTGTCATTGTATTGAATTTCATCATTATATAATTCTCCATTGAACTGTAGAATGAATCTATTATTCGCAGTAACGACACTCTGTGTAGTGAACGGCTGTCTTAAGGATAAGATGGAGGAAACCCAGAGAGTGTTTAGGGACTCAATAGATCTCAAAGAGAGATAGTTGGGACCCCTATTCTGTATTAATGGAATCAATCTGTCAGAGATATAAGGATCTAACCCATTTAGAACATTACCTGTTAAACTGATTTGATCGCCTTCATAAAACTCTTTAAAATGATCTTTAAAACCCACTAAGGGATTATACACAAGGAAAATCCCACACATGAAAAAAAAAAAAGAACCGATTAAAGGATGGTGTGGGTATAGACTCTTTCAAGTTTTCATCTTTACGTTATTAACTACGTTACTGGTATAGTCCAACGGATTCTACCCGAGTCCATTCCAATCCAATACAGAGTGACATGATTTCGAAGACTTTTGTACAGAACAAACTGTGCAAACAAACTTTCTCACTCATCGAAATCTTCAACAAGGGAAAAAACTCAAAGTGCGGAACAGCTCATCGCCCTCACACCACATACCTCTCTCTCAACTGCCGTTAACTACTCTCTAAAAAGACAACACCCATACACCTCTCAGCAATCACTCCGTGCAAAACGATGCAGGCAATTTCACCGCATGGACGGGAAAAAACAGAAAAGAAAACAAAAAGAAAAACAAAAACCTCCCAGGTTTTCGTGGCAAGTTACACGCAAAACATCAGAAATTCTAATGGATCAAACAAATATGGCAAAGAAATTTCCTTTTTTCTTTCCTTTCGATTTTTTTTGTAATTTTTTTTTTTATTGCTGAAAGAAAGAAAAATTTGATCTTGAATTTAAATGTCTTCTAACGTTAAGAGACAGCGAGCTTGGCACTTTTACCAAGACAGAAAGTTACAGATACTCTTGACCATAGATGTGTCACAAATTCGAACTAAAGATAGCTCATATCTCTCACTATTACTTTAGCCGTTTGATCCCTTTACTTCCATCCACATACAGACACAGACACATACACGTATTCACTCAACTCACTTGTATTGCAATACCCACATACTAATTTATTAGAATAACAAAAAATCCATTTATTTTTATAAATAAATAAGTTAGTTAGTTAATTTGATTGTTCATTCATTTAAAAAAAAAAAAAAGAATAACAAATAAAGAAAAGAAATGGTTAATCCCAAAAATAAATCAATTAATATAAATGATTCAAGACCAAGACGAGCGAAGACTTTCACGGGATGTTGGACTTGTAGAGCCAGGAAAGTAAAATGTGACCTAAAAAGACCTGGGTGTCTTCGGTGTGCGAAATCTGGATTGGACTGTGGAGGTTACGATATTAAATTACGATGGTCTCCATTAGTCAAATTCGACCCATATGGTATCCAATATTCTACAGGACCTGCTACTACAACCAGTAGCACAGCTACCACATCTATGAAAATGTCAAATAAAAAAACAAAAAATACTCATAACAGAAACAAAAATGATAAAGGTAGTAATACTAATGAACCACATTACCAAAGAAGAAATATTGATTTTGTCAAATATGATGACGAATATGTGTACCATGAGGATATGGATGATGAATTATCCCTCTTGCATGCCCCACCGATGGATAAAATATCTGATGGCAAGACTTGGATAATCAAAAAATTTGGTGTTTTTAAAGGTCTGGATAACCCAGATACAACCTATTTACAAAGGAAAAGAAGAAAGCCGAGACAAAATACCACCACAAATGCCACATCCATCAGCACTACTACTACATCCTATATACTGCCAACAACACTACAGAATAGAATAAAAAAAATTAGTTCCAATAATACAACTAATAATAATAATAATAATAAATTTCTTTTATCAAATCCAATACAGAATTCGAATCATTTAAATAACAGTAAAAATACTATTACAAATGTTCGTATAATTACTGGAACACCCTCACTAGAATCTACTCCAGCTATGAATTTCCCTGGATACGACAATATATCTAGTGAATTGAGAGACGACTTCCTATTATCTGCATTTGCTTCACAAGGTGCTACTATCGGTATTTCTCAAATTGATTCAATAAATAATACATTGCCACAAATATTTAATAGCAACCATTACAGCATTAACAACAACAAAAACATTAATACTAACACACCTGTGAATATACCCAACAATATATCTAACAATGTAACTACGCCAACTAATCTCAGTGCCATTTCAATGGCTTCAACCATGACTACAAATAATTCTTCCAATTCACCATCATCTATTCGCTCGGACTCAAGTTTAAATCAGCTATTAAGGTACTTATTTCAGTCAAATCCAAATTCTAATCATCAAACCCCTACAATTCCAAAAGATTCAACACAATCACAAAATATTAAACTAAAATCAGAGACACCTGTCCCTATTACCCATTTGTTTTCAAATAAAAGAGACTCCATCCCGCTAAGTGACCAGATTATTTTAGATTCACCTTCCAAAGAATCTCATATGCCAAAGACCATCATGCAATTAGTACCTTCAATCTTAGATGACACATCAATGACTAGAAATTTACAAAATATTGATTCGTCGTTTAGGATCCCACAGACCGGGTTATTAATTCATGGACTTACACGTTTTCTTTTAAACCATTATATTAATAACGTAGCGGATTTAATGACTGTTATTCCTGTAGAAAATAACCCTTGGAAGACTTTATATTTCCCTCGTGCGATATCTGCGTTAGGTGATTTAACTGGATTAGGCCACACGACAAACTCAAGAAATTCATTGCTTAATGCACTATTGGCTGTATCATGTTTTAATTTAAAGAGCAAATTCGACAAGAATTCCACTGAACAGAATTTTTTTTTAAATCTAGGAATAGAATTTAGATCTCAAGCATCTGGGTTTCTTAAGAAATGTTTAAATGAAACTGTGGATAACGAACGATATAAGGATGTCTTAACAGCGATATTATCAATGAATTCAATAGATGTTGTATGGGGAACTATGACAGATTGTCAACATCACCTGACTATATGTGAGGATTTTATAGAAAAACGTATGAAAAAGAGACCTACGTTATCGAAAAAGGCTAAAATATTACATAGAATTTTTTCTTTTTTAAAGTTGGTTCAAGACAGTACTGCATTAGATAAAGTCAGGGACAAAGAAATTGTTTTTACTAGTAATGATAATATCACAACCACCACTACAAACAACTGTAATAATAATAATAGATCTATAGCTAATTCCAATAACTCAACCAATAATAATCCAAACAATAGTAGTGGAAGATCCAATCAGATAAATAATGTTCATGCACCAATTAGAGACTCACCAACTACATCTGGCCTATTTAGAGAATCTGTTAACACTATAGATGGGAAAATCCAAATAGAGTATATCAACGAAGATGATATTATCTCTACCCCATGTGGTATGAGTCCTAATGGAAGTCAGACTGCCAGTAATTCAGATAATATTAACCAATTGACACCTCCTATGTTTTCTAATATTGCATCAATGAGTTATTATTCTTCTGATATTAATAAATCACTCAACACTGCAACTAGTTCAATACGTAGCACATATAACAATGAGTCTGATAGTTCTGCTTCTCAACATAAGGATAACACTAAACTTACCTCGAATATACCTGGTACAGACGCTTTATATGGGCTTCCAAATTCGTTAATCCTATTATTTTCTGATTGTGTTCGAATAGCAAGACATACAGAATACTATAATATTAAGTACATCTCTGTTCCGAGAGATTTTAATAATTTGACTATTCGCTTTGAGAAACGATTACTAAAATGGAAACCAGAATGGACTTTTTACAAAAACGAATTAAAAACAGAGTTTATTAGTGATACTGTAGAAGCATTGTATCATCATACGATGAGCTTTTATTTTGCACTTATCATATATTATTTTACAATGGCCAGGTGTTTGAATAATGATTTTTTACAAAAGTACGTGTCAAAAGTGTTAAAACATTTAAAGTTAATGACTAAAGTTATTGATGAAAAAAAAATTCAATTAGTTCCGTTGATGTGGCAAGGTTTCATTGCCGGGTGCTCTGCCACTGAAGAAAAGACTCAAAAGGAATTTAAAGAATGGGCAGCTAAATTAGCCAGTAACGGTATGGGTTCATATTGGGGTGCTAGACAAGTGATGTATGAAGTTTGGAAACGTAGAAAAAATGATGAACCTGGCGACAGCTGGTATGCAGTTTATAAGGATTGGGAAATGAATTTGATGTTGTCATAATCCAATAATGTACTTAAATGTATGAAATTTCACAAATTTTTTATATATTATATAAGTGACAAAATATATATATATATATATATATATATATATTGAAATTACATTGGATAAATACAATACACTCCTCACTGTTATTATCAAATTTATAGCCTGAAACATTTTCAATGTATGTATTTTTCATTAACCTTGGATCGTTTTACAGTCACAATTAGGTTGAAAATAAAAAACAAATCAGTATCTATTTAAAAAAATAATTTGAAGACTGCTAATGGTCATATCATATTGTGATGATTACCATATTCAATAATAATGAATACACCCCCCTCTCATCTAATAAGCAAAAATCGTTAGAGAATTTTTTCAACTAGAGAACACATATATTATCATTGGTTTAGAAAACTTATTATGGATGCAAATGTTTTACTTTCTTTAGACAGAGTAAAAAAGGAACTTAGAAAAGATGATAGATCTTTGAAGAATAGAATTGCTAGTATCCTCCTAGACAATCAATTCCTTGAATCTGAAGTAATTCCAATGTTTCCCAGATATCCTGTTATTCCAAACGAAAGATGTGGTATTTGGTACTGTGACCCAAAGAAATATGAGAAGACATGCTATTTTAAGAGCACTGATGGACACACTAATCAGTGGAATTTTAGCACAAGGAGGTTGAATTTCCATCTTTTGCCTTTATTAAAGGATTATCCAGGCATCATTATTGTGGATAGTACAAGACGTGGAAAAAAGATGCCAGATGCATTAAGCAAGACTATTCCAATCTGGTGTGCTGTATTAAATCATTTGATGTTAAAATCCAAAGAAAACAACATAGATTATAACAACCTACTATTTACTCCAAATGAGACAGTATCGTTATCTGAACGGTCCAGTATTATTGAAAAATTACCAAAATTAAGTGAACAGTTGGAAAGATTGAAAATCGTTGATGGTAAGACTATGTATAATGATTTTAAGGGAAAGCTACTTCGACCTATATGGATTTACCCGGGATCTGATATTTTAGAAAGTTCCAAAGATATCTTCACAGGTGAAAAAATAGCATCTGAATGGTTTATTAGTCAAGATTCAAATTTTATTCCAATCATCTTGTGTACTGTAAGTTTTCAAGCACAGGATGGTGTCGAGAAGAGAGATGGATTTACTTATCATCAAGGAGCAGGTGATGATCATGAACTATGGTCTAATGGATTAGAACCAGATCTTTTTTGGGCCCATATAGATCAATTCAAACAATTCCAAGATTCAAATGAAGAGATAGAAAGGTTAGTTGATGAACTTGTGCTGAAAGATAAAATGAATAGACACTTAAACAGAGATTTTTCAACTATTGCCCAATCAGTTCCCAACATAGAGATTATCACCAAGGAAATACAATTAGGAGTTGTGATCGATGGACTTCTTATAACTAAACAACTAACTTATAATCTTATAGATAAGTTTTCACAGGTTATAATATTAAGTGATACAGTTACATTACAAGATGATCAATTAACCGATGCAAAATCACTGAAGATATATAAGTTAAGAAGCGGATCAAAGAAAAGTTCTAAAGAACTACGGATAAAATTAATAGAGATAGACCAGAGTATTAAGCCGTTATTAGAACAAGGATCCAATTTGATAAAACCTATTCTTATTTGTTGTAACACTGGAGAAGATATGTCAATCGGTGTCATCCTAATGTTATTATCCAAGTATTATACTATGGATTGGCAAATAGCGCCAAAGGATCAAACAATATCGATTTCTAAAAGCACAATCCGCCAACATTTAACTCAAATTATATCTCATTTACAAGGGAGAAACGTGAATCCATCTAGAGCTACTTTAAATAGCGTAAATAGTTATTTAATGTAAAAGTAGATAAAGTATGAACAAAAATAGCTACAAACCAGAAGTTCCGAGATATAATCTCATTTCAAGTCAGTAAAAGAGGGAGAAAATGTGCATATCTATATAAATATGCGTGTGCATTGGTTGTGTGTCGTTCCATTGTTTGTTATTTCAATTCAGATTGCTTCGATCTGATTTGTACGCCTTTATGATTTCGAATGAAATCTCTTGATTTTCCTTTTCAATTTTTCATTTTCACTTGAAATAGAAAAGAAAATCAAAGGGAGGAAAAGAAAAACAAATAGAAGAATCTGTAACAGTACTAATATAACACACCCAATGTGGTCAATACATTCACCCATTCAATACAATACTGAACTACAATCCCAAAAAAAGTGTATCTATTAGATTAATTATTGCATTCTATTGTTTTTACATCCCATTCCTCTTTTAGTTCTTTTTTTTTTTCATTTCCTTGTACATAGACACATATTTAGATATAAAAGAAAAGATAAATAAATAGGTTATGCTTATTATACATTTTAAATAGTATAAAAAAATGATATTAATTAAGCATCCTATATTATTGAGAGTCAATATTCCAAGGTTATATTATTCGATTAATGCCACATTAGAATCCACTATCCAGTTAAGATATAAACTCTATATTCATCCACTCCCGTCACATGACCAACAACAAGCAAAAATATCATCAAATGATACTACTATACTTCAAATGGACAATCGAGAACTTTTAAAGTTGTTATCAGGAGACGATGCACCGAATAGTATTTCTATCCATAGTCCATTATTTTCTGTTCTTTTAAATAAATGTCTTTCTGATGCAACGAGAAACAAAAAATTACGTACAGTTCATGCTATTGAGTCCTTTTATCGCATATTCGAAAAATATAAGCGTGAGATGACCAACAATGATTATTTATGCTATTATGATTTAAATAGATTATGCCAATACTTTATTGATTGTAAACAATTAGGTAAGAGCCAGAAATTGTTAGATTATTTGTTTAAGAAGAACCCAGGAAGCGTTCATAATAACCAGTTTCTATTAAATTATTTAAATGTTAGAAGTGGTTCGGATATAAAATTATGGACTTTGAAAAAATATAAAATTTTTGATTATATGGTTATATCTCAATTAACAAGCGAATTCAATAAAATTAAATATATGAGTGTACCTATAATACAATCATTAGGTTATATGAAAAATATTCCAAGTTTAGAACAATACTTAAAGTCAATTTGGGGAGTTACACTACATGACACTTATATCCAAAGGGACAAAAATGAAAAAGAAGAAGAAGAATTTAATACGACTCATGCTATGCAATTGAACAAAAATGATCTATTGTATCCAAATGAAGACTTGTTATTATCTATTATGTTATCATATTGTTATAATAGTAAGACTATGGTTAAAAGTTTCCAAGTCCTAGATGCATTTTTAAAGAAATATCCAGATATTGAACTAACTTCTAAATTTTGGTACAATTTAGTATCTAACTGTCTTTCACTGACGTCCAAAAAAGGGAGGAACACTAAAAATAGTCAAACTGATGACACTAACATTATACAAATTTGGAATGCAATGAAATTATGGTATGGAAATAAGAATATCCCGTTTAACAACGAAGTTTTGTGCAGAATGTACACAAATTTCAAATCAAACAACAATTTGTATTATATCAATGATGTATATGAAAAATGTATTGGGCCATTCAGTTTGTCTAATTCCAACCTGATTCCCAAAAAATGTGAAGATACAATCAGGATGTATCAAAGGTATATTGTTAGGAAGAATATAGATAGAAGGAAATATAAGAAAAGCCGAGAATTTATTCAGAAATGGTCAATTTCATTAGAGAATAAGATGTCTTTATTACAATTTTACCAAATAAGAACTAATATTCGTAAAAAGAAAAATCGTACACCAAGAAAGAATGAAGAAGATGATGAAGAAGATGGTATACTTAGTTTGTTATGGTAAAAAACCGAAACAGAAACGAAATAAAAAATAAAAAAAAAGAGGAAGAGAAACACTTTCGGTTCCCATAGAAAAAAAAGTAGGTATATATTGTATATGTATATAAATGTACAAGAAGGAACGACCACATTGTAATAAATATATTAATGTTTGTACATATATATATGAGCATTTGGGTATGTGTGTACGTGTGTGCATGTGTATGAAGCCAGAAGGATAGAAAACATATTCTAAGATTGAATGACCTCAATATCATTAACAAAAACAAATCTAGAGAATACCCACCAAAGATATCTGAACCAAACCATTTGTGATTTATGAGCATTTAGCATGGTGGCCAAAGACAAAACATATTGAGGATACGTACTGAAAAAAGTCAATTCCGACGTACGGTCTTGATTTTGGTCTTTGTTATTGTTTGCTGTAAGAAAATTTCTGTATGCGGATGGGCAAAATAGATAGAAAAGTAATTTTAATGACTGCCAACCGAAGGAACTATATTTCAGCAAAATGTTGCTGTGATAACTGTGCAAAGTCAGCAAGACAGTTTGGTTGGGGAACTTTTGATAGTATCTCAAAGCCATCTGGTGGCATGAGATATGGTTGACGTGGTTAGATACGCCAAACTTGTCGAAAGTCAAAATCAAATTTTTTCCATGATCAATTATGAGATAATTTGGTTGATTCATGTTAATTTTTTCGAAATCAAATAGCATTTTATCGACATCCCAAATCTCTGACATACCATCAGTATAGTCCAAAACGGTTATATTTTTATTTATTCTGTCTGATAAGAGAAGATAAATGGATTTGTATAATTCATTAAATCTAGTCGAGCCTAAACCCTGAGCGTTTCCATCAGAATAGCAGACAATGTTAAAAGTGATATTTTTGGGTAAGAGGTCGTTTAAATTTAGCAAGGCTGGAGAAAAAAACATAATTTCGTCATCTGGATGAGCAATAATTAAACTTAAGGACTGTATTTGACTTAAGCCATTGAAATTTTTTAATAGATTGTTTTTATTATTAATGTTGTCATTAAAGTCTGGTATTTTGTTAGCTGATAATATGATATAAATTAGCCAAATTAATAGAGTCAATTTGGTCAGTTTATATAATATTTTAGAGAAGTTAAAACAAAACATTTTTAATAGTATTGTATATGAAAAAAAAAAAAAGAAAAAGAAAAAGAAAAAGGGACAAAAAGATATGAAAAACAAAGTTAACTATAGTTTCAAATTTCAACAATGTATGAAATGATGAAGAAAACGAAGAAATTGGGCTACTCAGGTCGATATATTATAAACTACTTGATGAAGCTATGTTTTACAGATAAACATATATATAAATATATATGACATATGATTAAAAAGTTCGAGAAACGAACGAAAAAAAGAAAAGAAAAGATGGGGAAAAGAAAAAACTTACTGCTATCAAATTTTTACGAATTAATTGATAAGTTTATTTTATTTTTTTGTAAAAAAAAAAAGAAAAGAATAGAAAAATAGAAACACAGCCTACAAGAATCGAACTGCGAGCGGCAAACAAAAAAAAGAAAGAAAAAACGGCGTTAATTACCCCGGATTTTATTTTATTTTATTTGTTTGAAATCCGCTGCTTTCTCCTGCTGCCAAGACATCCGTGCACCAGAGGAAAGATTAGAACCGCCACAATAGCAACAACAATAGTAAAGAGCAGGGAAAGATATATAATAGAGTCCAAGACAAAGACCAATCGGAAAACAAAAGAAACGAGAAAGAGGGGTAAAAAGAAAAAGAAAAAATAGCCGCCAATCAAAACTGATCCTTTTTTTTTTTTCCTCCTTTAGGAGGAGACAATTCTTTTGCAGTGGCTGTTGCACTGTCATCTCTTTGTTGTTATTTTTATCTTTATTCTTGCTAGTTTGTCTACGTGGGTCTTTTTGCAAATCTTTTGGAAGAAGTTACTGGTGTTATTAGGATTGAATATCCTTTGGATTTTCTCTTCTAATGGATCCCATCTTTCTCTAAAAATGTGTTTGTATCTTATTTGATTCTATATTTCTTCCATATTCTGTAAACTAAAAACACAAAAATAAAGGGAAGAAAGTTAGAAAGAAAGCGAATCATTTACTTATTACATATTTAACAGTTTGTTTGTTTTTTTTTGGGTTTGTATGTGTTTATATGTTTTTTTACTATCGACTATATCCATTTAACAAATCAATAAGTTTCAATATAGATAGAGATCGATTATTGTTCTTTTTTTTCCTTTTTTTCTGGAAATAAAAATAATAGACAAATTAATAAATGTTATTTTAAAAGTTTACATTTCCTTAATATCACTAATTTGTTCGTTTGTTTTTGTCCCACTCTCATAGCCTTTGATCTTTATTACACACCCTATCTGTATTTACACATTTAAATTTTTAACATTATTACAAATAAAAAAGAAAAAGAAAAAGAAAGAAATAAAAGACTAGATTTAATAATAATGTCTTCAAAAAAGAGAGAACTCGACCCAAATAAAAATAGAAATATAGATAATAGTACTTTTTCATCTTCATCATCTTCATCTCCTTCCTCTAATAATAACACAAGTAAACCAACCAGATTAAGACCAAGTCAAGCATGTGATAGATGTAGGTCAAAGAAAATCAGGTGCGATCTTAAACAACCCCAATGTAGTGCCTGTTTTTCTGTAGGTTTTGAATGTAAGTTTACCGATAAATTGTTACGGAAAACTTACCCAAGAGGTTATACCGAAAGTTTAGAAGAAAGAATAAGAGAATTGGAAGCAGAAAACAGAAAATTGTCTGCTTTATCAGATATGAAACAACAACAAATAAATTATTTACAACAACAAAAGCAAAATGATAAAAACGATCCCCTATGCATATCTTCTCATCCTGTCGACCATATTTTGTCTTCTACCAACCCTGACATGACCATCCAAAACTCTCAGCCTTGTGCCTCTGCAGTCTCAGATTCAAGTCATGTCTGTGATGGTATATGTTTACAAAGGACTCTGCATCCACAACCCGTAGCAACAAGCTTTAACCTAAACGACCCAACTTCAATCTCTTTTGAACAAGATAAAGCTCCCGGCCTACTAGCTGCCAAGGCCCTGGATTTACTCTCCAACCATGAAGAATCCACACAACTGGCAATGTTAGTCTCTTTATCTGTACCTAGATCTACCGAGGAGATCCTTTTCGTTCCACAACTTTTGTCTAAAATACGGCAACAGTATGGGTTTACTTCGAAACAATGTCTCTACAGTGTCACTTTACTAGCTTCATTAAAGGATGATTTACCACCACCTTTTCTACAGCAAAATTCAACGATGTTGTTAAACTCTTCAATGGATCTAGATACTTTAATCAATAAAAATTTATGGCAAATTCAGAATCTATACTATTTCATAAACACAATACTGAAATTAAATATCTTGCCAAATTTAAAAAGTGATCCGGTGTCAAACAAAGGACCGGATATTCCAGAAATGGAGAAAAATCAATTCTATTTAACATTTGATGAAATTGATCATTTGATTTCTTTATTCATGGATCATTGGTCCCAACTAATCCCGGTACTAAATAAAAATGACTTCATGAACGATTATGCAAAATTTAAAAAGGACATTGATTCTTTACAACAACACCCAGTCCCTGAACAACCAATCATTAATCTGTTAAATATTAAGTATTTTGCATGTCTTCTGGTGGCATTATGTCAAATGGGCCTTATCATAGAATTTAAAGAATCAAGGAAACCAGTGACTTCCAAATTTTCCAAATTGTTATCATATTATCATCACATTTTACACCTTCTTCCAAGAAACTCTTTTTTCTCTGTGACTACAACATCTGTAAGAACTTTACAACTTTTATCACTTCTGTTATACTATTTTTTAAACACGGGAGATATTATCCAACTCTATGATCTGAGAGGAACTATAGTGACAATGTCACAGCAGTTGAGATTACATAGGTGTCCAAGTGCCGTATTGACGGGGTCTGGCCAGAAGATGCAGAAATTGGAACAAAGTAATAGAAGAAGACTGTTTTGGTGTATATATTATTTAGATGTCTTTGCCTCGTTCCAGCTGGGCGTTCCAAGATTATTAAAAGACCACGAAATTGAATGCGCCTTACCATTTGCCTTAGAAGATACTATTAACTCAACAAATAAAGTCAAATTAGAAGGTTGCGTGACAAATTTTTCATTGGCAATAATTAGATTTGCTAAAGTTATGGGTAACATTCTGGACTCAATCTTTAAAAGAACAGCTACAACCAATGACGTGGTTCAAATTGCCATTATCCACGAAAATGCATTAGATGGTTGGAGAAAATCGTTACCTTTGGAATATCAAATGGAATTAGATGTCACTGGTAAAACGAAATTAGAGAATCTTACCTTTGAAAAAAGTTTATTAATAATTTTGTACCAATTGGCTAAATGTATGATTCAATTACCTATATGTGCAGCAGCTGCAATTCCAATATTGAGTGATGATCCGAGTACAAATGTAAATATAAAGACTTTACCTTCGTACACTGCTCTTCAACAATCAGTGTTTTCTCTTTTGAAAATTTATGGACAGTTAAGAGATAAGTACATACCTTTACCAGTTAATACATCTAGAATAATGACAAGATTTGCCTTGATCGGTGCCAAGGAATCTTTGGAATACACAAAATATGGGAAATCCTTTGAGAGCAACAAGGAATTTTTACTAAATGTGGTCAGTGAAATTGAGGTGAATCGTAGATTAGAATTGCCTGGTGTTATTTCATGGTACAGTTTAGAAATATTAGACTTAACAATAAACTTAATTTTACAAACACCTGCATTAAAGGGTGAAAAATTGGAAAAATTCTTACAAAAAAAAATAGATTATTATCAAACCCAAATGGGTATCACCCCTATTTCAAATATTACAAATTCAACCGAAAAACGCAGTAAGAAAAGGTCATCAAGTATAAAAACTGAAGCTCATAAAAACAAGAAAAAATCGAAAATTTTCAACAAATCCAAAAATAATGATACTACTACTACTACTGCTGCTGCTACAAGTATCATAAACCAGAAAAATAAGACGGACAATTCTGATAATAATAATAATAATAATTGTGATACTTTACACATATTTCATGAAAATGATAAAATCAGTAAGAAACCAATTGATACTTCACAAAATCAATTATTAGAAGCTTTACAAGACGATCCAATATTGAATGGTAATCCCTACAGGTTTAGTAACTTAAATTTATCGAACTTTTTCGGTTCTTATATTAGACTAAATGAAAAAATATCAACGGATAATATCGAAAATGCTACAATCGCCACCACTACCACTAATAATAATAAAATTACAACTGTACCACCTAGCCTTAGTAACTCAATTAATACAGTAAATTCAACGACTTCTCCGAGTTATTTTGCAGAAACTAATCTATACAACTTAAATAATAGAGAAAGCAATCTTTTAACTTCACATTTGAGTAGTATCAGTTTTTCCAATTTACTGCCACTTACCGGTAATGACGGATCATTGTCACAATTTAATTTAAATATGTTATATGATACTGGAAACCTTTTTGAATCTATATCAAGTGAAAATAATAATTTAACAAACAACAAATATTCAGACAATAGAGGTAATGAAGCATTGTCTAATAATACCATTAATAATAGTAATGATACTAATAATATCAATGTATCGACTGATTTTAGTTCAATAATTGATGCCTCACTTGGCCTAGCTCCTTTATTACTTGATACTACCAACGTTAATGGTACTAGAAATGATGACAATACTCATAAGGTGGATACTAGCTGCAACGATTTAATCCATCCAGAAATGAATGAAACTGCACACACATCCAATCCATCAAATACTAATACTAATAATAATAATAATGTACATCTGGCGTATCCCATTAAGCAACCAATTGGAAGAGAACGTCGTCGTCAGGTCATTGAAGATATATCAAAATGGCAAAATCAATAATACCTAAACTTCTATGGGATCTCTTGGCATATATATAAATGAAATTAAAAAGAGAGAATGAACACACAATAAGAAAGAGAGAGTAGTTGAAATTTTTTTCAATGTTATTGTGATATTATATTTAAATCATAATTAATTGTATTAAGAAGATGTCAAAGCATTTACTCAAACCTGTATTATAAATTTATTTATTGAATAAACCTATTATTGATTATTCATCATAAGATATTAGACAAAAAATGCATATGTGAATACGATAAAATATATTGTAGCCTTTGCCCTCTTGGCAAAAATGTACATTTTGTATAATATTATTTCTTTCTTTTTATTTATTTCGGCCACTTTCAAATAACTTATTACTACTATTCACTGGACAACACTGCTTTTGTTAATTTGTGTTACGAGAATCTTAATCTGAATTTGTTATGGGTTAATCTAATGGCAGAAATGTAATTTATTTCCCACTCATTTGTATATGTTTAAAGGAAAAAAAAAGAGGAAAAGCATAGTAATAGTTCAAAGATAGAAATAGCTCACTTTCAATGGTACCCACCTCTAAGGCATTAAAAATGTGAAATGATCAGTCGAGTATTTTTTTTTTTTTTTGTAAATATTTTGACCAATGTTTACGCGTCACACGCTTTTTCTTTTGTTTTTTCTTTTTTTTTTTTTGAACTCCTTTCATTTTGGCGTTACTATAGCGACAATGGTGTTATAGATTTCCCTTTTTAGATACATAGCAACCGTTGCCATGGCCACCAAATACAGAATAAATTTTTTCTTTTCTTCTTTTTTTTTTTTTTTCAAAGTGCCTTTAAGAACAATAGAACACATAAATCACATAATTCTTAGTAAGCCTCGAGAAAATTAGAAAAAGAAAAAAAATCACAATAAAACAAAATAAAATGAGAACTGGTGAAATATAATATAATAGTTCACAGTATAGTAATATTTGAACCACCGAATAAAAAACTAGAAAAAAAGAATATTATTGCAAGTAATACAATAATGCATAAGGAATATTGTTTTCTGTTGATTTTTGTTAAAGAATTTGGATAAAGTGGATTTTTTTCTTTTTTTATAAGAACTCTATCATTCTCGAAGACACACTCTTAAAAAAAATTTGTATGTTATATAAATGCAATATTCTCATTTTATATCTTCTATTATTCAATAAATCTAAGTAATTGAAAAAGGAAAAATAAAAAAAAATCCATTGATCAACTAAATAAGTAGGCTTATATATATCAATATATACGTATATTTACAATAATCTCTCCACAAACAATTAATTCTTAGCTGAAATTACGATGAATAATACAAGTCCGGCTGAGTTAGAAGTCCTAAGTGGTTCTTCCAAAGAATATTCTATTGAAGATAATATGACTGAAGAAACTGTGCAAATTGAAAATGAACAATTGAAAAAGGAAGATGTATTTACTCAAACAGATTCTTCATCAGAAACGTTACAAGATAATTCAACACCGTGGCAGAATTCAGATTATTTTAGTTGTTATTGGAAAGAATATTTATTTGTACTCACATGTATGCTATCAAACTTGCTTAATCAAGCAGGTCAAACACAGATCTTATCTACAATGAATGTTTTGGCCGATTCATTTAAAACTGATAGTTCTAAAAAAACATGGATTATGGCTTCGTTTCCTCTGGTTTCGGGATCTTTTATTTTGATTAGTGGACGAGTTGGTGATATATATGGCTTAAAAAAGACCTTTATGCTTGGATGCATTGTAATGATTGTCTGGTCTTTAATATGTGGTTTCTCCAATTATTCAAGTAATGTATCCTTTTTTATTACTTGTAGAGCATTTCAAGGACTAGGTGTAGCCTTTGTACTACCAAATGCTATGGGTTTGGTTGGTAATATCTATAAAGTAGGAAGTTTGAGGAAAAATGTCGTTATTAGCTTTATTGGTATGTGTGCTCCAACTGGTGCAGCTTTGGGTTCACTTTGGGCAGGTATGATTACATATGAAAATAAAACACAGTGGCCATGGATCTTTTATTCTTATGCTATCGTCTCTTTTATTAACCTGTTGATGGCATATTATTCTATTCCAAACAATATTCCAACAAATGTAAATGGTTTCAAAATGGATTGGTATGGATCTATTTTAGCTGTGATAGGCTTGATCCTGTTTAATTTTGTTTGGAATCAAGGTCCAATTGTTGGATGGCAAACAGGATATGTCATAGCTCTTCTAATTATATCTGTTTTCTTCTTGATTGCTTTTTTTGTCTTTGAAATTCATTATGCTAAATCCCCATTGCTTCCACCAGAAATAGTAAGAAATCGTCACATTATAACTATATTATCGTCTATTTTCATGGGCTGGGGATCCTTTGGTGTTTGGACATTCTATTACTATGCCTTCCAATTAAATTTAAGACATTACTCAACCGTATGGGTTGGTGCTACTCACGTATTCTTCATCTTATGGGGGACAACTGCTGCTTTTATTTGCGCTTTTACCATTAAACATGTTGGTGCTCCAGTGATTCTATTTTTATCTTCTATTGGGTTTACTGTTGGTTCTGTAATGTTAAGTGTAACTCCTGTACGTCAAAGTTTTTGGAGAATGAATTTTGGGATGGAAATTATTTTGACTATGGGCATGGATTTTTCATTTCCTGCAGCATCAATTATATTAAGTAATTTCTTACCAATGCAATATCAAGGTATGGCAGGTTCTTTAGTTAATACAATCATAAATTATTCTACTTCTCTCTGTCTAGGGATGGCAACTACAGTAGAGACACAAATTAACAAGTCTGGCCAAGATCTTTTGAAAGGTTATAGAGCAGCGTTATATTTTGCGAGTGGACTGGCAGGCTTTGGTATCGTAATTGCATTCTCATACTTATGCGAGACTACATATATGAACCGTAAGAAAAAACTAGTTGCTCAAAAAGAACATACTACGACTGAAGAATTTCAAATATGTTAATTTTTTATTTGATAATTTTTTGTAGAAATTTCAAAAGTAGTTGTCTTTATCTTATATTAGTTTAATAAAACATTGACATAGCATATATTAAGACCTAAGTAAATTACTTGTTCTTAACAAAAAATATAACTGTATATCAATTAAAAAAAAAAAAGGAATTGGTATCTCCTCTTTTGTGCATAATCAATGTGAAATACACATACGGATATAAAACGATAATGTATGCTTTAAGGACAAGGCAAAGCATAATGAAAATAGCACAATTATAAGCAATCTAAAGTAGTCACATTGCAAATATTTAATACGTCCTCTTTACTTTAAAAATTTGTGGTTAATTCAGTAATGTCTGGCCTAATCCATTCATCTCTCAAAGTGTCCCATACAGTCTTTGCTAAAGCCTTTGCATCATCTTCACTGTTAGAACGCACTTCGATGTATATTTTCAGTTTTGGTTCTGTTCCTGATCCTCTCATAGTCAATCGAATAGATTTATTGTCTTCACCAATTATCTTGGCACCAACTGTAATCATTTCAGATTTGGGATCGACAAAAAGTAATGGTTCGTGATCTGGCGTGTCAGATTGGAAACCACACGTCAAATCTCTGAAGTATGTAACCTGGAATAAATCACCAATCTTTTGTGGATATCTGCTCGTTGGATCATATTCAAAACGTATATAATCAAACACTTTTTTCATCATGGATGGATCTTTAACTATGTAATAGCCATTATATTCCTTGAAAATACCATATTTTCTAAAACCTTCTTCTAAAATTTCTTGTGGATACTGGTTCTTCTCTTGTAGCCAATTACAATAAGCTTTTAGGAATGCTACAGTGGCACTAATACCATCCTTGTCATGTTCCATAGCAGTAAACATATACCCAATAGCTTCTTCATAACCAAATGGCACATAATAACCCTTTTTTTCTAAATCTCTTGCACAATTGCCAATCCATTTAAATCCAGTAAGTGTTTCTTCATAATGAAAATTTTCCTTTTGTGCCATATGCTTAATCATCTGAGAAGATACAGTGGAATTTAATAAAGCTAATGGGTGTAATTTTTGGAATTCCTTTGGTAACTGTTTGTAAGTGTCGAAATGATATTTAGCAAAGAGATATCCAATTTCATTACCAGTTAATTGATTCCATTCTCCAGATTTCACATTTTTAACTGCAACTGAAAAACGATCTGCATCTGGATCATTAGCCACAACAAGAAAAATTCTGTTCTTTTCAGCTAACTTAATTGCATTGTCTAATGCACCTCTTTCTTCTGGATTAGGAAAACTTACAGTAGGGAAACTTGGATCTGGTAAAACCTGTTCTCTAACAGATAGATAATCTTGACCGTCTTTTAGACCTAATAATTGTTCAGCTATAAAATTAAATATTTCATAACCGACACCATGCATAGGGGTATACACAAACCATGGCTTTTTCAGTTCCTGACCTAAGAATACTGAACCATTAATCAATAGTTTACTCATATTTTTGATATACAGTTTTGTCATGTCATCTTTTACATATTCCAGTTTTTTAGTATCCAATCCTTTTTTCAAAGTAGCATCCCAATTCCAATCATCTTCCCAAGGTTGTAAGTTTTCATCGATACTAGCAGCAATTTTAGAATCATGTGGTGGAATAATTTGGCACCCATTGTTGAAATACACTTTGTAGCCATTGTCCATTTTAGGATTATGACTAGCTGTTATCATGACACCCACAGAAGCTTTTAGATGATCTACAGTGAAAGGTACCATGGGTGTATGGACTAAAGAATTGTCAGGATTTAAAGAAAATACCTTAAAGCCTGCTCTTAGAAAAATTGCTGTTGTCACTTTAGCAAACTCCTTTGAATGATACCTATGATCATGACCCACAACTGCAGTTTTATTGGCGGGGAATTGCTTTTCTATATATTTGGCTAACCCCTGTGTGGCTTGTAAGATTATTAAAGAATTTAATCTATTTGTTCCTACTTCCATTCTAGCCCTTAATCCAGCTGTCCCAAACACAATTCTTGAGCAAAATCTTTCACCCAACTCATTCCACTGCTTTTCTTTACATAATTGTATAAGTTCGTCTCTGGTTTCTTGATTTTTATCCAATCTCAGCCAATCAGCCACTTTCTTACGAATATCTAAGGGAAGGGATTCAATTAATTCATTATAATTTTCTGACATGTTGTGTTAATTCTTTGAAATTGCAATTACGGATAAATATATATGAATATAGATGCGGTAGATTAGTACAGCATTAAGTGAAATCTTGGCATCAAATAAAATTACTATTTAATAACTTTTATCTAGTGTTTAGTTCTTTTTTGTTTCTTCGTCTTTTTTTCTTCTCATTTCTCAAGACATTTGCAAGAGTAGTAAGATATAAATCACTGAATGAGGAGAAAACAAAGAAGTGAATAAAAATTTTCACTGAATTAAGATAGTGCTAATTATTTAAATTGTATTGTGGTAATATATAGGAACATGATATACTGTTACACGTATAGAAAAATATTTAGATATGCCTCTGAAAATGCAAAAACAAGATAGAACGAAAAAAAAAATTAAGATAATATAAGGAGAATACTTATAAATATCAATTAAGTACTAGATGCAAAAATGTAATAACGGAAGCTCAAAATATAGAAATTTAGTGGTAGACAACTGTAAACTAAAACAATACCTTCTACAACTTACTTTACTAATAATTAGCTGTCCAGCATGTTTAGCAGTTCCTCATCCAAGTCTGAATCTGAATCGTTTTCTTTATTTTTATTCTTGTCGCTTTTCACCGCTTCAAATTTAGATTTCTTTAATAATGCATCATCTGTTTTATATAATTCATCTAATAATAATAATGGTCGCTTATTATCTTTTTGAGAACTGTCTACATCATCCAGAACGGTTGTGTTAGCTTCATCTGAGTTATCATCCTCATTCTCATCATCATCATCAACAGGGATATCCTCGTCATCCTCATCTAACCATGAGGTGCCTGATCCAAAAAGATTTACAGCCATATCTGTATTATTTCTTTTGCTATCCAATTCGGAGCGTTTTTTTAAAGCTAACTCTTCTTCTTCTTCTCTTCTTTCTTCTTCTCTTTTCAATTTATCTTTATATTCTTGCAACTCTGAATCGCTCACTGGTTGTTCAACAATCAATTTATAAGGTTTCTCATCTACTTTTTTCCATGTTATCAAGCATTCAAACACCCAATCGGGATGAACAATTTTAATATCAGGATTAAAAGCTGCAGCTAAACGAGCCTTATAAGTCCCAGGAGTCTTGGTTATAACATGTGTAGTGTATTCATCGATATCTGCAGTGGTTTGAGCGCCAAATATGTTAGTCCATATAACGATATCTGCTTTTTGAATATCTGTATTCAATGGGATTAATCCTGAAAAGACAAATTTACAATTCTCAAAAACTTTCGATTTTAGTTGTGGCATTATTTTCTTAATATCTGCTTTCTCTGGATTTTCAGCTAATATACTATAGTACTTCTCATGTAACATTGCTAGAGTGTCTTTCAAATAATACAATTCATCATCATCATCTATTAGTAATCTTTGATCGTGCAAATGACTCTGTAAGGTAGCTAAAGGCCTATTCTTTTGTTGTATTTCAACTGAGGCAGAAAACTGTAATCTTTTAGTCCATTCCTCCTTTGCTTGATTCAATACTTGCTGACTATGATCTTCTTTAGTAGCAACATTTTTATTTAACTCAGCTTCCTGACGTTTTACCTCTGCATTAATTTCTCTTTCTAATAATTTTTCAGTATCCATAATATCCATCAACAATTGATCAGTCTTTGTTACAGAACTTGAATTGATATCAGTTTTAGGATTTGAATCAGAATGCTCATTTGTCTTTGAGATATCGCTGCTTTTAGTAATTTTGGTACCGTCGTTATTTCTGTTGATAGAATCTCTTGATCTTCTGCCTAATTGTAACATTGTAGTTTGTTGCTTTGGTAAGAAATTTGAATTGATATCACCAACCCCAAGGAAAAAATTATATGGTACCACTTTAATCAAATTTTCAGACCAGTTCCAAACATCACCCCTATCATCAATGATTAGTACCATTGATTGATCAGTCGGGAATAATCTTTCCAATGATTTTTGAGTCAAAGAACCATTTTCATCTCTTGACAAAATTCTATCACCAAAGAGATCACCGGTTGGATCAATGATTTTTGCGATTTCCAAAGCATATGCCCTTGTAGCCATAGTATAAATGTACATTTCAAATAGAGGTGCCACCTTATTGAAAAACTCTTGCAAGCCTGGCCTAACTTTTACATAATACCAGCATTTTCTCACAGGGGGTCTCTTCTCACCCATAAACAGGAACGGGAGGATAGGTTCTTCATCAAGGGAAAACACTTGTACATCCTTTAAAGTTTCATAATTTGGATTACTTGGATCATTTTTCCATTCACCTATAGTTGGATCTACGCCACAATGGATCACGGTTTGATCTAGATCTACCACAAGAATTAATTTTTTCTGTTTTCTCAATCGTTTCACTAATTCATTATCGAGTGCTAGTGCTTCATTTCTACTTATCTTTAAACTTGCATCCATATGTGGAACCACCGATAATTTATTATTCGAATCACCAGGTTGTGCACCCCCGTTCAAAGCGTTGATTTCATTTTCATCCACTTCTTTACCACAGATAGTACAAAGGCCATTATAGACGACATCATGGTTACAAGGTCGTTTAACGTCACAAATAGAGATCCCAGGTTTTATGATTTCATCCTTAACATCGACGTTCCAACTCATTAGGGTGCCTTCAAAGGGACTCTCTAGAAATTCGATTGACTCTCTGATAGTTTTTTTATTTTGACTTAATGGATCTAAAGTTGGAGTCATTGAGGCGCTAACATCATTTTCATCAGGAGATTGGGCAATTTCTACCATATACCAAAATTTGTAGGCTAACAGTCTATCCCCCTTATTAATATACGATCCAATATCAGCAATTAATTCATCTACTGTAATAGGGTAAGGCAGTCCCGTAGGAGAATATACTGGAGTAGTCATAGTGAAACAGAAAAATATAAGTAGATATATAGATAGATAGGAAAAGAAAAGGTAGTATGAACACTTAACAAATGAAATGAATTTAAATTATGCTACACTAAAAATTATCAAATATTATCAACAACTAAAAAAGAAAAAAGAAAAAAAAAATAAAATAAAAAAATCGCAAATTAAATATTAAATTGACTTTATTATTACACTTATACAGACAACAAACAACTTCGTTATTTCTTTTTTTTTTTTCTTTTTCCTTACTTCCCTTAGTTCTAGAAAGAATATAATAGCAGAGTCCCTGTTATTAAATCTATTAAAATATATTATAGTCCAGAGAAGTAAAAATATGTGTAAGTATGGTGCACAAATTTTATGGAGAAAAGTTCACTATCACAACAGTATAACGGCTAACGTGTCTTTTCTGATTGACTCTTGTTATGTTTTCAATGTTGTCCCTTTCTGTGTTTGTATATTTATCTAATTGTTTATTTATATATACAAAAAAATAAAAAAATAAAAAAATAAAAAAATAAAAAAAGAATAAAAATTCCCGAACGATTTTCAATATTTTGTTCAATTTTGATCTTCATTCGACAAATCGATGAGCTTGTAAGAGATGAAATAAACCCAGAGACGGAGTAAGATGAAGATAAGAATAGATGTTTCTGTCATTATATCTTTACTTGTATGTTGTAATCATATAACTGTTGAACTTATCGTGCAATTAAAAAACAAAAAACAGAAATAGAAATAGAAATAATATAAACAGATATGTATGTACGTTGCTTGTATATATATTATTGTGTATATGTATGTGTAGGTGTCTGTATAGAGATAAAGTGATATAGATATAGATTATACAGAACCATTCAATAAGGCATCTACGGCACCTTGAACAGAACCACCACTACGTCTTAAAGCGGCTACATTTCTATCAAAATCAAAGAAACCCATATCGTTCAATTGTCTTAACTGCTGTTCATAACGTTCCTCCGGTGGTCTGGTGTCTTCTGGTTGTTGTTGTTGTACTGGTGGCATCATAGCTTCTAAGAAAGATGCATAATTGGACCAATTATTGTTATTTGTTGTGTTATTACTGCTTGTGTTGTTAGAATTAGGGTTAATATTTGAAAGGTTGGCAAATGGGTTTAACGATGGGTTTAATAAAGCTGCAAATGGATTTTGAGCCATATTATTGGATGGTGATTGAGTATTGTTATTTGTGGATGTTGCACTATTATTATTATTGTTGTTGTTGTTGTTGTTTGTTTCTGTTGTGGTGTCTTCACCACCTGGGGCAGGAAAATCGGAGTTGTTATTATTACTAACAGATCCAAATCCGTCCATTCCACGATTCAACCCCATCATTTCTGCCATTTGCATAGATTGTCTTAACATGGCAGGATTAGTCAACATTTGTCTAAACATAGGGGATTGGAACATTTGTCTAGCTTGAGGACCCAATGCTTGTAATTGAGGGTTAGATTGGATCAAAAAATCTATCATCTGTGGATTAGATAACATTTCATTCATTTGAGATTGAAAGATTGGATTCTCCATCATTCTTAATACATCTTCTTGGTTTGGACCAGATTCCGTCAACCCACCGTCTGGACCAAACATGTCTACACTAGGTAAATTCAATCCATAACCTGCATACCTAGCTCCAGTCAAATCATTTAGGGGATTAAATCCAGCATTTTGACCGGCACTTAAATTATGAGGAGCAGAGCTGTTGTTGTTGTTGTTAGTGGTGGTGGTGGCTGTAGAAGAAGAAGATGATGATGATGTAGTGGCTGCGGTGCTAGAAGAAGCCCCTGCGCGGTTATTGCCTCCGGATTTCACTAAATGTATGACGTGCTCTTCTTGAACTTTATAAGATTCCAAAGTGTGATCGTCTTTAAGGATCTTACCAGAATAAATCAAACGTTGGTTTTCCACTGGGATGGAAGAGACTTCGGCTATTTTTTTCTTTAGATCAGAAACAGTTTCTGTGACTTCCACAGTTACGTCCCATTTGTTTGGACCTTGTTTGACATAGATAGTAAATGACATGATAATGAATGCACCTATTTTTCGAGTCAAGTATTAAAGAGAGAAAGAAAAACTAAAACTAAAACTAAAAATAAAAATAAAAATAAAAATAAAAATAAGAAAAGGTGTGTATAGTTCTTTTTTGATTGTTGATTATTGATTTGGTTTCTTTATTGTATAAGGAACGAATCAAAATAGAATAAAAAAAAAAAGAGAGAAAAAAGTATGATTCAGTTACTCTAGTATTACCCACCTTTCTAATTACACCCAACTACAGTAAGTTGGTAGAGATGTGTATACATGCTATTTATTCCAGACACAATACTAAGCAAAAGACCAGATAATTCAAAGATAAAAGATACTCTAAACCAACCAACGGTTTCATTTCCAACTCCACTTATTCCAAACTTCACTTTTTTTTTTTTACTCACACACAAAAAAAATAATAAAGCAAACGATGGAAAGAAAAAGAAAAAGAAAAAACACAAAACTGAAAACTGTGTGGGTGTGTGGATGTCACTCCAGCTCCCCTTTTTTTTCTATTCTCATAGTGTCACGTGCTAAACAAAAAATTCCGTCTTTATTCCGTGTAAATCCTCCAAGAATCCCGCTTCCCAAATGTGATGTTTGTTTGACTCGGGATGGCTCTCCTTTTCACCTCCCTCCTCCTCCTCCTGATACTCCTCCAGATACTTTCCTGTCTGGATGATTCAAAAGTCTGGGATTGTATGTAATTATAAAGAAAGAGAAAGTGTTTGTATGTGTTTATATATTTTATCTTATATCCAGTGCTCAGCACATGTATATTCCCGTGTTTGAATGTCTCTGCTCTCTGGATGGATTTATGCTTGAAGATACAAAACTTGACGGCTTTCTCCGACTCTTTTCTTAGATGTGACAGAAAACTGCAAGTTAGAAAGAGGATCGCAAGTACAACACCGATGCAAAAAAAAAAAAAAAGAAAAAGAAAATAAAACAAAGCAAAAGTTGGGCAGTAGATCATATTCTGTGTTTTTCTGATGGCTAGAGTTATTTAGAGTTAGGGCTTTAGTTAAAAGAATCAATAATAACTTCCTTTCTTTTTTTTCTTTTTTTCGTTTTTTTATTCTTGGTCAAACTAATATTTTTTAGGGGTATAAAATTTTCTGAAAACAAAAAATAAAAAAAATAAAACTTTTCTGTAGGGCCACATTTTCTTTTTTACAATTCCTTTTTGTAGAGTGAGAAAAATGATTTAAAGAGAACATCGCCAATTTCCATGTATTTTTCCGAAATTTATACTCCAATGCTTGTGTATTGTTTCCTTCGAGACTGACCGGGGAAAGAAAGAAAGAAAGAAAAAAAAAAATAAAAATAAGAAAAGAGATGCAGGATCTTGATAACAAATTATATAGGGAGTGTCAAGATACTACTGATCTGAAAATATTAGTACTATTAGATGGACTATCTCGAGACCTTTGTGTAGATCTTGGTCCAGTGTGCCTCCAAACACACATACATAATTACACATAATCATATCTAAATATAGTTTTATACTTGTTTTTGTGTGCTTTTATCTTTTATATTTTTTATTTCTTTTTTTTTTATTAGTAGATGAATGATCTAGGAAGTAGTAAAGGAATAAAGAATAATGCTAAAGAAATAATGAGACCATCTTTGACATCATCATTTTCAAGCAATGAATCTCCAAGGATTAGAGGAAGAAGATCACAAGTATTTAATAAAGGTCAAAATATTACTTCCCCTCCAGTGACAACTACAGCAACAGCAGCAACAGCTTCTATCCCTAATTTGGATCCAACTTCTTGGATACGAAGTGCTTCTACATCTAGTCTAAGGCGGTTGAAAAAAGCTCATACGGACTCAACTATTAAAACAAATAAACATATCTCTTCCAGTTCAACTGTCAATAATGCCACTACAAGCAAAGCAGCTGCATCTGCATCTGCCACGAATCCTTGTGTTTCTACTAATACACCTGGTTCCTCATCCACACCGGCAACAACAAGTAAAAATTTAGACATTCTTTCATCTCCATCCCGTATCGCTTCTGAAACCGAGATTCTGATGACCAAAATTCATATATCAAGACCCAAAATATCCTCACAACCGTACTCCGATTCTTTATTGGACAACTTCTGGGATCCAACAAATTCAAAACTGATTGATCACACAGCCAATCTCGGTCCTGAAGATGATTTCGTGCATTCTAATCCAAATCCTTTGAAAAGCCAAAACTTCCTTCATGGTAACAACACCAAATCATCAACAAAGAAAAGTGTTGAGTTGGATGACCCTTCACACAATGTATCCAGCGACATAGATGAAGATATAGTCGTGGATGTCTTGCCATCTTTTGAAATGTACAACGCCCTGCATAGACACATCCCACAAGGGAACGTGGATCCAGATATCCATGAGTTACCACCAAGTTATATGGAGGCTGCAAATCATAATGAATCTATGCCTAATTCATATATAAGAGACATGCCCGTTGATACAAACTATCATGCACAAAATGGTACAACGGCAGTGTCTTCTATGGAAACTACCATTAACAACTTGAGACCCTTGGCTACTCAAGTGTTATCATTGAACAATACTGAATTCGCTCCAAGTACCCTAAATAGAACCTCAAACAACATGTACCGTGATAATGGGACACAGATTGAAGATGATTTAAATGTTAATGATAATATCGTGATAGATAAACTGTATTCCTTGCCAAAACGATCAACACCAATAGAAATCGCTATTAAGATTACTAAACATGTTTCCTTGCCACCATATAAGCCTGAGGAGGAGTCTATCTTAAAGGAATATACATCAGGCGACACTATTCATGGTTACTGTGTTATTGAAAATAAATCTAATGAGCCAATCAAATTTGAAATGTTTTATGTTACATTGGAAGCTTACACCTCGGTAATAGATAAGAAAAGGGGTACAAGAACAGTAAAACGGTTTTTAAGAATGGTCGATTTAAGTGCATCATGGTCATATACAAATATTGATATTGCATCTGGGTTAAGATACAAATGTAGAGCTAAGGATTTTGATGATGCAGTCTTGGGCTTAAATAACAATAGAATCTTAGAACCAGGAATTAAATATAAGAAATTTTTTGTCTTCAAGTTCCCCAAGCAATTATTAGATACTACATGTAAACAAGAGCACTTTTCTCATTGTCTTTTACCTCCAAGTTTTGGTATAGATAAATATAGGGATAATTGTAAATATTCAGGTATTAGAGTTAATCACATTCTTGGATGTGGTCATTTGGGCACAAAGGGTTCTCCAATTTTAACAAATGATTTCTGTGATGACGAATTATCCATAAATTACACAATAGATACAAGAATAGTGGGTAAGGATCAAAAAACACAAAAACTGAATATTATGAAAGAACATGAATATAATATCAGATTTATTCCATTTGGATTCCATTCTCCTTTAATAGGTGAAAAAAATCCAGAGACACAATTGAAGGATTTGGAAATTCTAATTGAAGAAAGATTGAAAGTCTTGCGTACAATTTTTGACAGATTGAATCAGAATGAACCGATAAAAAATGTAGATATTCATGGAACAGATCTTGTAGGTACAATCGATGATAACGCAGAATTGGATTCTGATGAAATTTTGGCGAGAAAATTGGATCAATTGCATGTTAAGAATAGATTAGACTATAATGATCACACACAGTCGCCATATGATGATATTAAGAAATTTGAAAGAAGGGAAGATATTGTGGAAGCAGAATTAAAATATAGAATTAAGGGTAAATCTAGTTCCAAGATTGGATTATTCTCCAGTTTTCTTTCAAATTCAGGTTCCTCCTCTTCTTCTTCCTCATCTACATCATTGGCTAATTCGGTTAACAAGTCAGAGAGAAAGAACGATCAAAATTTTGAAGATCGTTCAACTATAAAAGAAAAAATATCAAGTCATAGAAATTCAGACAAAACAGGTATGATTCTGGTTGGTGCAGTGATTCCGTCTCGCGCTTTACCATATCATGTTCCATCACTTTTACATAAGACAAATACTTTTGAAAATAAAAGTAAATATGCCCAAGATAATTGGATAAAATTAACTAGTTTATTAACAGATGAAGAGAAGACAGAACTAGATAAGATTAAAATCAATTTGACATGCTTACAATCGAATAATAGTGTAGGCCATGATCCACCAGAAATTCAATCTATCAGTACAGAATTAGTAATCATTACAGTAAAGTCAGAAAACTCAATTCCAGTTAAATTATGTTTAAATACATTACTAGATTCAAATAAGTTGAGCCATATGAAAGGCAAATTTGCAAAATACATGGCACAAATTAAATTAGATTATGAAAATTTTAGAAAGAATAAAACAAAATTAAATGAACTATATAATATGAACCGTTTACCGTCAGATAGAGAACAATCATTGAATTTTACTAACTTTATTCCAAATCAGTTATATTGTAATGTGGAAAGTTTAGCAAATTTGCAAGTTAAAATTCAATCACATAATGATATTTTCAAGAAACAGGGTGAAATAACTAAATTTTCGAAAAAACATAGTAGTAATAGTTCTGCTCAAGGGTGGGTGAAGAAAGAACCCTTTCATTATGAAAAGGAATTTGAGATACCTTTACAATATCTCCCTAATTTGACGTACACACTTGTGCCTAGCTTTGAAAGTTGTTTATGTTGTAGATTTTACTGCATTCGTGTCAATATTAAATTTCACCATATTGGATCTGTTAGTGTGAATATTCCGATTAATGTCAAAAATTTTCAAGCATAACTCCTGAAAGGGGGAAATAGCTAGATATATATGTATTACGGCATCTTTAGATTTCTTCGTATGTATAGATTTACGTGCTTGTGTAGATATGTAATAGCAAGGATGGTACCCTATAAGTATCAATTATTATAGATTACAAATTAATACTTATTGATGCTGCCATATATTCTCTATGGCATTCTATTTTTGAACAAATCGCATTTTTTTCTTATCCTTTGCCAATACTTGATAGTTTAGGTCTTTACTACCTCCTTCTTTTGGGCATCATCATTAACTGTGGAATTTTATTTTTCTGATCTCTCGAAATTCTGTTATTTGATCTATTTTTAGTTTTTTTTTGTGTTTTTTCTTCGAGGAACGGACTCTGAGGATTTCTTTGAAAAATTTTGTAAGTTTACCTGTTTTCCCATTATTCGAAGAACAAAGCAAGCCCTAATTTTATAGAGATCTTTTTGTGGTCTTGGCATAAAACTGCATATTACCTCATATATAGACATTATTACAACTACTTACCATTTTTTTAGTGCTACATTGTATTCATTGTTCTCCAGTTGAAGATCTTTATTTAATTCAGGAAGGACAGCTAGCTGTTTCCATTGATTCACACATTCTATTTTGATCACTTTCCAACTTTATTAATTTTTAGATATAGCCGGAAATGCCAAACAATCAGGAACTAGTAAAACCCCCGTTAAGAGCTGCACACTCAGCTACAGACACTTCGAGGTTAAGAGGTAGAACTCGACAGGTAAGACATATTAATTCGACTAATGGAAATTTAGGATTACAACAAGGTTTATCTTCAAATGTGTCTAATCCAGCATCATGGATTCGAAGTGCATCCACCTCAAGTTTAAGAAAGTTAAAGCAATCTTCTGTTAGTCATTCTCCTGCTAGGTTTAGTCATATTTCATCAGGTAGCAATCTGGACTCATTAATGGCATCTGGAACACATTCTGATATTTTAATTACAAAATTAAATCCTTCTTCACCTAGCTTATCGCCTATAAGAACCCGTGGAATATCTTTAGAGCCTGTGCATAGAGGAAATGGTGCTTTGACGTTGATTGATCAAGAAATTCAAGAAGAGGACTCTGAGGATATGATATTATCGTCTGATGACGTTGAAGATGATGTGGTATTGGACGTTCTACCGTCTTTTGAGTTATACAATACCCTACATAGACATATTCCACAAGGTAATGTGAATCCAGATATTCATGATTTTCCCCCAAGTTATGGTGAAGCATCAAACAATAGTAATGGGATATCAGCTACAAGAAATTCAAGCACATCCACTCTAAATTCTGGTAGGTTACAAATACCTACTTTATATGTTACATCTGAGTCAAATACATCAATTGACAATAATAGCACAACAAATCACATTGCACCATTAGGTACACAGCAATATAGAATTAATCATGGCCGATCATCCAGCACAATTAATGAGTCAGGTGGAGAGAGTGATGCGGCTGGTATTGAAGACGATTTAAATGAAAATGAAAATGTCTTTATTGATAAATTGTACACGTTACCCAAAATGAATTGCTCAGTAGAAATTGAAATCAGAGTCACAAAACATCCATCTTTACCACCTCTTAAATCAGAAAATGAGTATATGTTGAAGGAATACACTTCAGGAGATACTGTTCATGGTTATTGTGTGATTGAAAATAAATCCAATCAACCTGTGAAATTTGAAATGTTGTATGTAACGTTGGAAGGTTATATATCTGTTGTAGATAAACAAAAAGGAAAAAGGACGGTGAAACGGTTTTTGAGAATGGTTGATTTAAGTGCATCTTGGTCGTATACTAATATTGAGTTGGGCACTGGTTTAAAATATAAAAGTTGGGGTATTGATTCAGATAACTCTATTTTAGGTTTAAATAATGATAGAATCTTGGAGCCTGGTGTAAAACATAAGAAGTTTTTTGTTTTTAAGTTTCCAACCCAATTATTAGATACGACTTGTAAACATGAAATCTTTTCACACTGTCTCCTACCCCCAAGTTTAGGAGTTGATAAATACAAGAATCATTGTAAGTATGCTGCCATTGACATCAACAATACGTTAGGTTGTGGGCATTTAGCTAGTAAAGGATCACCTATTGTAACTTATGATATGGCTGGTAGTGATATATCTATTAACTATACAGTGGATGCAAGAATTGTTGGGAAAGATCCTAAGACACAAAAACTAAGTTTGATAAAAGAGAGTGAATATAACATACGATTTATTCCATTTGGGTTTCATTCTACATTTGTTGGAGAACGTACTCCATCTTGTCAACTAAAGGATTTGATGTCGTTAGTTGAGGAAAGATTAGATATATTAAAGACTATATTTAAACGACTAAATCATGATGAAGTTATCAAAAACTCAGATATACATGGCACAGAGATTGCTGATACGATAGATGTAGATGCTGAATTAGATGCTGATGAAATGTTGGCGAGAAAGCTGGATCAGCTAAATATCAATAATAAAGCAGGTTCCAATGTAAATGTTATAAGTTCTTCCGTGTTCGATGATATTAAGAAATTTGAACCTGACCAAGATGTTATTGAGACAGAGTTAAAATATAAAATAAAAAGTAAATCGTCATCTAAAATCAATTTATTTTCAGGATTTTTATCTGGTGGGTCGCATTCCAATGTGTCTTCTGCACAATCTTCTACTACATCGTTAGCCTCATTAAGTAGTCAACCTACTGACAAACGTAAGAAATCAGACAAATCGGGTCTTATTGTGTTGTCCACTTCTACTCCAGTTAAAGCATTACCCTATCATTCTCCATTAATAATACAAAAGACGAACAACATGGATAAAAAATCAAAGCATTCTCAAGAAAATTGGGTAAGAATGACAGAATCGTTACCTAATGAAGAAAGAGAAAAGCTGACAAGTTTAAAGATCCATGTATCGTGCATGCAATCTAATAATACTATTGGGCATGATCCACCAGAAATTCAATCAGTGACTACAGAACTGATTGCAATAACGGCTAAATCTGAGAATTCTATTCCAATTAAATTAAGTAGTCGGATGTTGTTAGATTCTGTCAAGCTTGCTTCAATTAATAGTACTTTTAAAGGATACATCACTCAAATCGAGGATTATTATAACATATTCATGGATAATAAAGATAAAATCAATGAATTGTACAATAAGCATCGTGACATAGCCAATGCTGTGGAATTGAAGTTTTCGGATTTCATACCGAATCAACTTTATAGTAATATTGAGAGTTTGGCACATCTAACTGTAAAAGTTGATACAATGGGAGAAGTTTTCAAAAAACAATTAAGTACATTAAAGGAGAAAGAGCATCATTCTAGTAGTCTAAGTCTTGCATCTAAGCATACCAATTCTAAGGTTCCCATAACTGGTTCGGCGTCTAATGGATCATATGTAAAAACTCATAATGTTTCAAGACCTTCAGAAGAAATATTTGGTCATTGGATCAAGAAAGGTGATTCTCATTACGAACGTGAAGTTAATGTTAGATTAGAGTTTACAAATAATTTACTACTTACATTGGTACCAAGCTTTGAGAGTTGTATTTGCAGTAGGTTTTACTGTATTAGAGTCACCATTAAGTTCCACCATATTGGAAGTTCAAGTATTGATATTCCTGTCAGTATAAAGCATTTTTAAACTTTTTTTTTTTGAAAGGCATTGGTTTGTTTGTTGACTTATATAGTAGCAATGATAATTATATTTCTTCTACTTTACTTTATTTTGTAGTATTATAGATTAATTAAATATTTCTGATGGTATTTTAATGAAAAGAACTAAGTAGAGACACTATAGTTAATTGAATACAGTTGTATATATTATTGTTAATCAAGTAAGTTATATATTGCTATTTTGTTGTTCCAAATTTTTGCGAGAGAGTCAAAAAGTATATAACCAGTTAATAAGTAAATAAGAGCAAATGAAACCAAGGATTTGTATATTTATGTTGAATTGGTCAAAGGAAAAGAAGTTGCTATTCTTCTGTTTTCTTTCATTGTTGAGAACATGAGTAAAATAAGAGATAGTAATGTGTATTGTTATGAATAAGAAGATATATTGTTTTTCAAGGACATTATTAATTGAGTTTACACATTTTGAAACAGAGATATCTGGGTTTCGGATATTAGATATTTAGTGAGGAAGGTAGTATTGATGTTCTTATCTTCCTTGTATATTAAATGGTTTTTGTGACATTCATATATATAGGAGAGAGAGAACCATTGGTATGTTAAAAACATATGTGGAATAAAAAGAGCAGAAAGAAAATCATGTTTCAAAATTATTTCAAGACAAGATTAAGAAAAGATATAGATAGTATTAGTAGTGCAGATGAAAGGAGAAAGAAAGAAAGAAAAAAAATATGCTAAAAAAAATATTTAACTGATACTGAATACTTTATAATTTGTAAATACTTTTATAGGCAACCATAAAATAATTAATTAATCAACGAATCACCTCCAAAGAATCATAGTATTGAGGTGTAGAAGATGCTATTCACTATCAGAATAATACAATTGTGTTTATCTTTGTCCTATGTTGTAGCGTTATACCTGTCTACGGATCGACCAGTGTCACAAAAACAAAGAAACGACCCTCAGATCATTTGTCAAAGAATGAAATATATTGTGTACATGTGTTGTATAAGTATTGCTATATTGCCCTTGATCCTCAGTCAAGTTATCAATAGAGATTTATCATATACTGATCTTATTTTACAAATTGGGATGATACCAGGGTACCATTTCAATGGAACATGGAATTTGACCAGGTGGATATATAATAATATAAGATCTGTTACTCTAATCTGTGTCTTATATATGGGATCAATAATTGATTTAATCTTATATTATATATTGTATGCGGGATACAAGGAAATATTGTATGATTTTGTAGGGAATTTCAATGATATTTGGGGGATAAGGAATCATATATTTGCACCGATAACAGAAGAATTGGTGTTTACTGGGATGCTGTTAACATGCCAAATGTCGTCGTTAAATGTGTCATTGAAGACTTGGTGGGATCTATTACAGTTTATAGTAGAGCCGTCATTGTGTTTTGGGATAGCGCACATACATCATGCATGGGAGATGATTCAAGATGAGGAACAGTATTCTATGGCTCATATTTTTATTATTACCATGTTTCAAGCTTTGTATACTACTATCTTTGGTGCATTAAGTAATTATATTTATATAGTTACAGGTGGGAATCTATGGTCCTGTATACTGTTACATGGGATATGCAATCTGTTAGGTTTCCCAGGTAAATCAGAATTAGCCAATAAAATAAGGTCACCTATGAAAAGAAGGTTATGGAACCGTCTGTACATAAGTTTATTGGTCATTGATTTGATATGTTTCAGTTGTATGTTATTTTTGATGACAGATTATTCAAGCTACGTATTTTAGTAGCATTTGTCTTGAGAGATGTGGTTGGGAGCAATGGAATTTGGTGGGACGTATGTACATGTATACATAGGTAGGGAGATACGTATATGTATATTTAAAAGATAGAATAGATGTTAAGATGACATAATTGATGATGATGATGAATATTATGCTCAAAAGCCTGTCAGGATCCTAGTATATCACAGACTAAAAAAAGTTGAACACAAACGGGAAGAAATAAGTTCTACACGTTTAGCACGATGACAAGGAAAGATATCACGTTAGTATGTATAATAGGCGGAAAGATTGTATCGAGGAAAGATAACGGATATGCAAGTAGGGTCTTATTGACTCTAAAACAAAGCACAAATGGATAGACCAAACAGAGAAGTCAAGCAAGTGAATAATAGAAGGAAGAAGAAAGGGTCTCGAAGGTTTTATTAAACGAAAACTATAAGTTCAGATTGTCAAAAAAAATGTGGGATTTAAACGAGAAAGCCTAAAAATTATAATTATCTACTTTTATTAGCAGTACTACTATCACCAACCAATAATTGCGACTTACAAAATTATCACTGTTACCGTTATTTTTACTATCATTATTGGATGTGAACTTGTAGACAACAATACTTGCCTTTTTACACTGTTTGTCGTCTTCTATAAAAAAATTTTCTTTCTTCGTTTTTTTTTATTTTCTTTTTTTTTTTTGTTATCTGCGCTGTTTTTGTTTTTTTTTTATTTTTCTTTGTTTGTTTTTGTTTTTTTTATTTTTCTTTTTTTTTCGTTTTGTGTGTGTTTGAGTGAATGAGAGAAAGGCAAGGCAAGGTAGAGAACACAGAGAGATGATGGAATTAGTGGTGTGGGGATGAATAGAGAGAGTGAATAGAGAGTCAATTATATGGCAGAACAATAATTAATAATTAATAATAGCAATGGGAGAGTAAACACACATTGGGAAAACAAAGGAACAACTGGGGAGTCTGTCTGTGTCTGCGTGTCTGTTTCCTTTGTTATATCTTTCTAGAGTCGTGTCGTATTTTTTTATATATATACGTTTATTCATTGATTTATACAATCCAAGCTCGACTTGTTTCTTGGAGTTGTAATTCGGTTCAATTTAGAAAGAAGGTTGTCTTTTTCACTCTGTACCGTTGTTGTGGTTGTCTTAAGCGGGTGAAACACAAAAAAAAGAAAAAAACAGAAAACACCAAACATTACACTATTCCACATTTATAATTCGCAAGATGGTTGATTCTAAGACTTTAGAGTTGTTCTCAAGAGAACAAGTCAGATCACATAATGCTGGAGACGACTGTTGGGTAATCTTAAATGGAAGAAAAATCGTCGATGTTAACAAGTATCTAGAAGCCAACCCAATTGACAACAAAGATGAATTAGTTTCTCTTGTTGGCCAAGATGTTACCGATAAAGTCAGTCATTTTCAAAATTTGGATAAAGAAGACTTCTTGGTAGGCTATTTAGCTACCGAATTAGAAGAAAAAGAGCTATTATCCAATAAAGACCATAAGGTGGAAGTTAAGTTGGTTGATAACAACAAAGAAGAATACGATTCCACTACTTTTGTCAAGGACTTACCAGCTGAGGAAAAATTGAGTATTGCTACAGATTATAAAAACGATTTCAAAAAACACCATTTCTTAGATCTAAATAGACCTTTATTGCCACAAATCTTATTCAGTAACTTTAAAAGGGATTTTTATGTTGATCAAATCCACAGACCAAGACATTATGGCCAAGGTTCTGCTCCATTATTCGGTAACTTCTTAGAACCCCTAACCAAGACTGCTTGGTGGGTTATCCCATTAGTTTGGTATCCTGTTGTGTTATACCATTTAGTCGTAGCCTTACAAAATATGAATAATGCATTTGCTATGTTCTTATTCTTTGTTGGGATCTTTGTCTGGACCTTCATTGAATATTGTTTACATAGATTCCTTTTCCATTTCGATGACTGGTTACCAGAGAGCAACATCGCATTCACTATCCACTTCCTATTACATGGTTGTCACCACTATCTACCAATGGATCCCTACCGTTTGGTCATGCCACCAGCTTTGTTTGTTATTTTGTGTGCTCCATTCTACAAAGCTGTTTTCGCTGCATTACCTTTATACTGGGCTTACGCAGGTTTCGCAGGTGGGTTATTTGGTTATGCCTGTTATGATATGTGTCATTACTTCCTACATCACAGTAAGATGCCTAAGTTTATGAGAAAGTTAAAAAAATACCATTTAGAACACCATTACAAGAATTACCAGTTGGGTTTTGGTGTCACTTCGTGGTTCTGGGATAAAATCTTCGACACTTATTTAAGTAACGACTCTCCTTTATCACCAATGAAATATGATTGATGGAATGTATTATTAATACTTTATTTATGTTTGGTTTTTTCTTTTTTTTTTTTTTTATTCATTTATTTATTTATTTTTATTTTATGAAATTTGATTATACATATATTTACTTATTTATTTATGTAGTTGACGGTTATTATAGTTTAATGTACAAGTTTAAATATTATTTTATAAACATTTTTTTTTAATTCCTATGTTGTAGATGTATTGTTTTAGAAGATTGTTACATAAATTTACATTAAGGGGGAAGAAGATGAAATTAAGTAACATAAAATAAAAAAACCGTCATAATTTCTTTTTATACATAAAGATGTGTTTTATCAACGTAACAGTTAAAATCCGCCAATTTATCAGAAATATATTGGTATTTAAAGAAGATCTATGATGAATATCTAGTTAATAAGAATCATAAATGTAAATAGAATTATTTAATAGTTGATGGAACATAGTATTTTAAAAACTTAAAGGAGAGTTGATAAGAATATACTCAACTTTTAATATATACAATGGTGTATGGTGAAGATAATAAAAAATTATGAATCAATCAATAAAAAAATATCCAAAATTAGGAATAATTATAAAGAGGTGCTTGCTAGAGTAACAAGCAATTTATCATGGAAATTTTATTTTAATTACTTGTCAATGCACTTTGAATTTTCAAGCCGTTGCATTTATAAATAAATTTTAAGAGGTTTCTCATATAATGTACCAAAATGTAAATTTAAATATGTTATAAACACCTAAAAAGATACTAAGTTGTTGATTTAAACTTACAAAGAGAATATACAATTCTTATTGATGTTCTTATTGTTATGGTTTTTTAGAGATTTTTATATGTAAATTGTAGAACCATATGATTGATAGAGTAACAATATGTCGTACATATTTAAGAGATAATATTATACGACAGGATAAATGTTTAATATTGTCAACGATTGTGTAAAATTACTGTCACACAGGCTTCCAATTATGAGAAAGTTATTCTACTTTTAAAGATTTTATTTTAGCTTTGTCATACATTGTTATATATGTCTCAACTGTAGAAAGAGCAAAGTAATAATAAATTTTTCTGCCAAATTTTTTTTGGTGGTTATTTTTCTTCTCATGTCCTTTTTTTAATTTTTTTGTAAATTTATTATTCCATACTTGGTGGAAGTAATATATTACGAGATTTTTGAAATATAAATAGCTATTTTATTTTCTTTTCAATAAAAAAACATCTTTTTTAAGTTAAAAAGCATAAGAAACTTTCATGGGTGTTAGAAACTATAATTGAAAAATTTTGAATTTCCTAATCTGTAAATTTTTGGAATTAGCATCTCTATATGTTATCCTAATGAAATAAATTCTTTTGTTATTTTTTTTTTGTAATTATTATACAGTTAAGAGTCTACAAAATTATATTAAAGTTCTTCATTTTTCTTCTTTATGCATAATGTAAAAAGAATATAGTATAGAATATTGGCTTTATAAATATTAATACTGAGTACTGTTTTTCCACAATGGCAAGATTTTCTCAAATAATTTTGTTAACGTTTAAGGATATCTAAGCAATAAATATTCTGTAATCTATTGTTTAGTATCTGCTAAAAATATATTAGCTCATTTATTTCAGTCCAGAACACCATAGTTCAGTGAGAAGAATAAAAAAAATAAGTTAATTTTTAACATGACATCATTTTATATATTGTTAAACTTAGAACCTCTATCCGATTGGACATAATAATATTTTATTAATTTCACCCTATAGCCATTAATTAAAAATTTAATAGGTCCTCAAATAATATTTAAGACAATAGGTGATATTATCAAATAACTTTTATGTAGTATTAGGTGAAACAATAACAATATATAATTATAAACAAGGATCAAACTTTATATAATCTTAGCTTCAAGTGCTATTATAGCAGGTTCTTCTATCAGGGAGTAGTGGTCCTATAGTGTAGTGGTTATCACTTTCGGTTCTGATCCGAACAACCCCAGTTCGAATCCGGGTGGGACCTTTATTTTTAAACACTTTTTGATGTTATCACGAGTGACGAACCTTTAAATCTTTACTGTGAAGAAAATTTTTTTGCTTCCTCATGTTTAAAAAAAACTCTTCATCTTTCCATTTATCTATTTTGTAAGTTATATAAGGTGTACTAATTATGTTCTCCACATACAAATACTCACTTAATCTTTTCATCTTGGTTAGTAAGCTAAAAGTGTATGTACCTCGAAGTAAATTGTCATCCTGCACAGCAATATTATTCCATGTTTATTTTAAATAAATCAATATGACGTAATACATTCTAATGCATCATTGTTTCTATCTATCTTTTTTTTTTTATTTTAGATTTTGCTTTACTCATTTTGCAAAATTACTTTTTATTTTAGTAATACTTCAATGCCCTAATTCAAACTGAAATACTGACATTTCTTTTAAGATTCATTTACTGGGATGAGTTCACACTACATTATATACTAGGTCATTTCTGGAGAAAAAAACATGTATAATATAAAATCCACTGTTAGGGAGATATTTTACACGATTACATAACTGTAAAAGAAAAGAAACTCAAGAATAAGTGTAAAATCTCTATCAAGATTAAAAAATATATATAAATAGAAAATCATACCTATATATTTTCAATGGCAAAGAACCAGTTATAATATATCGTTTTCATACATTATTTAAATACCCTCATAAATCGATTTTTTTCACTCTATTAACTTTTAAGGAGAATTTTTCTACAGCTAATACATAAATTAATCACCCCGTATTGAGTATTCCAATTAATAATAATTCATAGCAACATGATTCAAGATTACATTTGTCTATAGGTATTCGTTAACCAGAAGAAATGTAAGGTATACATTTTTTTGTGAATGTAAAAGATTTTTTTAATATATGTATATTTTCAATGAATTAAATATAATCAAATATCTTTTAGAATATAGAAGTACAATTTGTAAAAAATAAAACGAACTTAGAACATGTACTAAATAAAAAAATCGCCATTTGTTTATATTATTACTGTTGTAGAATTTTTATATCACATATTCTTTTTAATATAATTATCTAAAAGGTTTTTCTAAAAAATACAATTATATCTTTTATTACTTTTTTCTTGCCTTTATATTCATAATTTGCATTAATTCAATAAGTATATTCTCTACGTGTTTAAAACTACACTCACATCCTTACCAATAGAAAGTTGCAATAGCAAAGCCTATTTCAATTTGTGACACTTTATCTTCTCTCTCTGTAATAACGATAGAAAACATACAAAATAATGAAAAAAATAAAAAAAAAGAAAATAATCCAAGAAATAAAATAAGAAATTTTATTTTATGAAAAAATCTAAGATACTAATCAATAACTATTATGAACTACTTACAGGTGTAGAAACTATGAAAATATATATGTCTTTCCTTCACCCTCTAACCCTTTATTGTTAAATCTGTACATAATTTGAACTCTTTGTCTTTCCCCAATGGCTGGACATGAATTGAATATAAAAGATAAATCAGCTTTTACCTCAAATTCTATTAAGGTTAAAGAAGAGCCAAGTATCAAGAACAAAAAAGATCAAAAGGGAAAAAATAAGAAACACAGATCATTTGGTGGTTTAAGTAACCGATTAACAAAGGTCAAAAATGAAATCCAGGAATATTTAGAAATTATAGATACGTTAGAAGATGAACATCGTTCTGACTTGTTCCTTCATTTATATTCAATATTCCTTTTAAAAAAAATGATAAGAAAAGCAAATGAGAAGAAATTTCCATTAGAAACAGAATCTTTTATCGATAAACATATAAATGACGATATGGTAAAATGGCCAGATAGATTCTCTGTTATAGATCCTAAAGTGGATAAGTTGTATGAAGATGATCCCCCAAAAGTAATGGAAAATAAACAATTGGATGAAATAGTTGGGATAAGAAGACTGATTCATAATAGTACAGAAGTGGATCCAATTGAAATTAGAAATAATATTCCTATTGATATATCAACAGAGGAGCAATTGGTACCTGGCGAAGTCTCTGAACGTGCGTTAAGACATGCCACCAATATGATGAATATTGAACTAAATGCCTTGTGGAGTCGAAAATTGAAGCAATCTGCTAATAGAGGAAACATTAACCTTGATATTAATAAATTGACTATTCCATTAGAAGTATGCTCCAATATTTTGCAGAAACTAGATCACATAATGAAAGGTTTACATATCAAAATGGCAGAAAGAAATGAAGTCGATTTGGTAAACATAAAAGAAGAAGAAGAAAAAGAAGATGAACAAAATGAGGAAAATCAGCAAGAGGAAAGTGAGCAAAATATTGACAATGCCAGTGAGGAAAATACGAATGATTCGTCGCTTGACGAAGAAAACGATCTTGGATCAATAACAAATGAGCTTTTTGAAAATCTTGATGATCAAGAGAAGACGTCAACTCATAATACATCCAATAACAATATACTAATGACTGAAATATCACATCAACAAACGAAAATAAACCAAATTGCGGACCCAGATGTTGCATTAGCTGATTTATCCTCCAAACCAAAAAATCTGAAATATAAAACAGTCGAAGAAAGGAAATCTGCCTATCGAGAAAGTGTCAGGAAAGGTTTACAGAAGTTTTTTGCAAAACAACGGGAACAAAGAAAAAAAGATCAGGAGCTTGTTAAATATGTTTACCATCTGGATAAGGTTGATGCAAACAAAAACATTCAATTCACATATCATGAGATTCTTGACAGATGTTTTGAAATGGACCTAAACATGAAAGATATATATATGAAATCCTTAAAACTATTTAATGATATACCCAAGAGTTATTCTAGGAGAGCCTTTAAAATTAAAAAAGATATTTTAAAAAGATATAAAATAAGATATAAAAAGGATAAAAAAATATTCACTGGTCCATATGCAAAACAGTTCTATGATGTGGATACATTGTTAAGGGATCAAAGAATACCAAAGAAAAGAAAAAAATTGATAGAACTTATTACAAGAAAGGATGCTAAAAAGGCTACTGAATGGAAAACTTTTCTAGAGGTCCAAGAGAATCAAAGAAAGTTGTATAGAGGTGAATTACCAACATATCCATCAGATGTTACTATTAATGATGAGAAGGAAATACTAACAAAAAGAAACAACAATATAATAAAAAGTGTGACACCTTATATTGATAATTGTGCTGAGGTAGGCAACGACAGCTACAATATAATTGATTGTTTAATACCTATTCCAACAAGTGATCATAAAGTTAAGAGATTATATCCATATACACAGGACAACTTTAAATAAACAAATAAATTTATGGGGAATTTAAATAAAGTAACTATCTTCTTGGTATTAGTATAGCCAAGTTATATAATATACACGTGTTTTATTTTTTTTATTTATTCATCTTATTCCTTTTCATTATACAGGTTATGCATAAATAAATAGTTAATAACTTCTTTGCTTCCCAATTACCATTAAATTTAATCATCTAAAAGTTAAAGAAAACTTTCGTGGTTCTAACTCAAAATATCAAACTATACATTAAATTAACTACCATTCTATTCAGTGTTTCTTGTGCTCCTTCTTCTTCTTTTTTTTTTCAGATTTTTTATCGCTTTTTTGTTTTTTCTCTTTCCTAAACTTCTTATGTCTTTTAGATTTACTAGATCCATCCTTTTTATCATCATAGTCATTATCGTCCTTCCTTGACCTTTTACGTCTAGATTTCTTCTTTTCACTCTTCCTCTTTTCCTTTTGTTTCATTTTACTATCCTTTACATCCGATATTATTATATTAGATGATACTACTTTTGTATCAACTTCTTGTGAGTACTTATTATCTATCGTACCTTTCAGACCTTCTCCCTTTACAAACCATTGATACAATGGAGAGTTCTGTTTAGATACACTACTAACAACAATCTTATTTTGTTTAAAAACAATCCCATCACCTGCTTTATTACCTGTAGAAACATCCAAACTCTTCAACTGACCATCAAACAATCGTTCCCACCACGCCTCTGAGTCATCATTCCCAGGCGTGGTACCCAATCCTTTCCTATCTCTTTTATGTTTAACAAGAATTGGTTTCTTTAACCCACCATTCTTCAAAGCTTCACCTTCCTTCCAGCCGTAAGATTTTAAATATTCTTTACTATCAATTCTTCTCAAATGTTCTGCCTTCTTTCCCATTTGATATGTAACCTCGTTTCCTTGTTTTTATTACTTCTTTATATACACATATGAATATTCGAACTAATATCAATAGTTCTAACTATGTCCATAAAGATCTACTGTAACATCTCATATCTTTAAATTTTCACCTCATCTCATCGCACATTTTCCAAATATTGAAAATTGAATTTTTTTCTTTAACTTTTTATAAGCATATAATTTTCATATTCTGATTATATAAAAACAGCAATACAACAACACAATTACTGTTTAATCTAATTTATTACCAATAGCATATAATATAGCATTCAATGAAATTTAACAGCGAGCCAGTTCTGTTGATTTTTTAAGTTTTATGGGATTGAAATTATGGAAACTGGATTTTATAAAAAACGGTCTTTGGAAGATAGTAACGAGACAACCACCAGCGATAATATTAAGAAGAAGATTGCTAAAATACTATTAACACATGAACGTGAATACACAACAGTGTTGGTTAGTAACCTACCTAAAAGTGTGAATCAGGGAAAGTTACGGAAGCTTTTTAGTGATTGTGGTAAAATTAGACATGCCGATATTGCAGATTCTTTGGAGAAAAAGTCAAGATTTGCTAAAATCGAATTCTTTTCCTATGACGAATGTCTGTCTGCATTGACAAAAACTAATAAATATGTCGGTCAAAACGAGATAAAAGTGGATTACCTGAGAGATTGTACACTTTGGATCACTAATTTCCCACCTTATTATGACATCAAATATCTAAAACAATTATTTCATTCCCTTAATGTTGTCGTATTGAGTATTAGATTACCATCTAAGAAATTTAATTCTAGTAGAAGATTCGCATACATTGATGTAACTTCAACTGAAGATGCTAAAAAATGTGTTGATGAATTAAACAAGAAATGTATAGATGGATATGATCTTGTTGTTAAACTATCTAATCCCTTGGAACGCAATAAAAGAACTGATTCTGCTTCCTTGGAAAGACGTGAATTATTTGTAAGGAATTTAGATCCCCGCTATACAACTGAAGAAGAATTAAGATCATACTTTGACCGATTTGGGGAAATTGAGTCTATACATATTCCGTCCAGTCAACAGTTGAACAATGATGAGGGTAGCAATAAAAACGACAATAGAAATCGTATAAGGAATGCTTGTGCATTCATTTCATACAAAACTAAAGAAGACGCCCAAAAATCATTACAATTAAATAAGACTGAGTGGAATGGAAGAGTAATCAGTGTTTCTCTAGCAGACTCCAAACCATACTTAGATAGACAAAGAGTAAAAAAATTAATGAACAACCATACAACACATACCTCAAAAAATAATAGGATAATGTCATTGTATCCTATTAATGATAAAGTATCAAAAGAACAAATAAGAAGCTTCCTCTGGGATCAGAAATGTATTGAACAAGATAGTGACATTGAAAACATATATTTAGTAACAGATTATCAGGGCTGTATAATAGAATTTAAGGATATGAAAAAATGTAATGAAACTATCTTGAGATTGCAAGGGACGAAATTCTACAACCAAATGATACACTGTGGAACTATTGCTAACCTTCGAAACAACAAATATAAAAACTATCCATCATCAATAAAAATTATATCTCCCACTGAAAACCAGAACGATCAGAGCAATAGAAAATCCAACGTTATGATAAATAGAGAAAGTCAATCGAAATCAAATATGTCAAATGCTGATTTCAGAAAAATATTCTTAGGTAAATAGATACTATCAATCATCATAACACTACCACTACTAACCTTTCCTTATCTACATATTAATTTATTTACATATATACAGGCGATAAATATAAATAAGAAAAAATGAAAGGAGCAGTTGCACTTCTCACATTACTGACTAATTGTATCCAATAGTTTTCCTTAATTAATTTATCATTCGATATTTGATACATCAGACATAATACCATTTACTAACCGATTCCGGTATTTTGCTATCGGATTGAAGTTCTGATTCGCAAATCATATTATCAGAGACTACTGAATTTCTAAAATTACTAATTCTATTAGGCAAATTATTATTATTGATATCTCTAGACTCCATTAATTTTTTCCATGATTCATGACATTGTTTAATTACTTTTAATGTTTCCTCTACCCCCATATATTTTTCATCAAATGCAAACTTATTTGCTGGTTTTCCATCAGGAATCTTGTAATTTCTGAACCATTCTCTACTGTTATGTAGTAATTGAGGAAAATATGTTTCCACGTCATCTAAATTATTGACTTTTAAAGCTAATGGATCTTGACAATCAATTACAATAATCTTCCAATCCAATTCATTGTCATCAATTAAAGCTAACGATCCTAACAACTTCACTTTTCTAATTGATCCCATTGGAATCACCTGTGAACCAATCTCACAACAATCCAAAGGGTCGTTATCACCCTTAAAAGATGTTCCTGGATATTGATGGATTGGATCTTCCCATGTGCGCGGTAAAGCACCATAGTTATGGATATAACCATGGAATGGGAACAAATTTTTCACGAATCTAGGGGTACCAGTTTTACTACAATCTTGCATAATGGGATTCCAATTTTCTTCTTTGTTGATTTCGAATTTGGCTTGACTCCAGCGAGGAATCTCTGTTATCATATTAGCAGTAGCAGCCTGGGGGTCGAGATCTAAAGGCACATCATGGAAGTATGAACCAACTTGACCGTTAGGCAACTTTAAATACTGTTTAAATGTAGGACTATATTTACTCCCTTTAACGAAGCTAGAGAATTTGGCTACCTGTGATCTTGATAGTATTTCCTTAACTTGACGGATACGTTGCATTTTTATGTAAAAGAAATAAAAAAGAGATGTTGTAACCTATTAAAATATGTTTGAGCAAACTTTTTGTGGACCCTTGCTGATGATTGAAGTCACAAGTAATATATGTACACACATACATGTACCTATACATACATATATATATGATGTATCTATATATGTGCGTGGAATAAATTCTTTAAAGATGTCTTAAGGAATTTAAGAAACAAAAAAAAATTGGAAGATGACTCTTTGAACAAAACTTCTAAAATCTTACAATGTGATATGTTTTTGAGATATCTTTGATATATGAGAAGAGATAAGATTACATGAAGGTGTACTACTACTAAGGAACAAAAAGGCAAGTAGAGTATTCTGTTGATGCAAATTGCTAAAAAATTTTAAGTAGATAGGCTATATAGAAAGTATTAATTGATACAGCTGAAGTACATATATGGATCCAATAACGAAATGGACATGCGGCCCAACTGTTGTGAAAAATCCCAGTTTAATCAAAAGACTACATGTTTATGATTTTGATAATACGCTATTTAAATCTCCCTGGACTAACAAATCTTTATACATTTATCCAACATTACAAACGTTATTAGATAACACTTGTTTTCTAACTGGAGGTTGGTGGGATGATCCTATTCCATTTGAATTAATATTAAAATTAGCCGGAACAGACACCTCCACGAATGCAACACCAACGACAAATAATAGTAATAGTAGTAGTAATATTGCTGCTAATAAATGTAAGTCTACTTTAATTAATTATTGGAATCATGATATGTTAAAATTGTCTAAATTATCGAATGAACAAAAAGACACAATAAGTATAATATTGACTGGGCGTAAGAATAATATTTTCAAAGACATCATATTAAAAATTATCGAGTTGTCAAAATTGGAAGATCCACTTTTTTTAAAACCAAGTTTACAATTTGATGCAATTTGTCTTAAAAAATCTATAAAAGATTCACCATGGACCACCACAATGATGTATAAGATTGCTGTACTTCGTGATTTTTTAGAATATTACCCAAATTTGGAAGAAATTACTATATATGATGATAGAATGAATCAAGTCAATGGATTTAATAGATTCTTTAATGATATTAAAGTCACATTCCCTAAATTACAATGGTTTGTAATTCCTGTTGAACCCAAATTTACTAGATTCCCACAATATATTGAATTTTTATATTTCCAAACTGTTATACAAAGACATAACAAGATCCTAAGATCGTTACCAGATAAAGGACAATATTATTATTATAAGTTACAATGGACAAAATTCACATATGGCTATTTCCTTAAATTAGAATCATACCAATTTTTGATTAAAAGAATTGAAAAAAATCTGACAGATAAATTAATTGGTAAGATGAATGATAAATCCGATTACAGTATAGACATTGTCAACCTTTTTGATTATCCATGCTATATTCCATGCCAATTACCAAAAGGTAAATATTTATCAAATGAAATACTGTATCGTATTATAACACATAATAAAAATCCAAATGTACCTCAAAAAACCATGAATTCAGTGGTATCTAATTATTTGCAGGTCTCTACTGACCCATATACAGATCATAATGATAACCATCGTAACCGTAATTCTTATTATAGTAATAAAAACAGTAACTATTACTGTGAACAGCACCAATATGGTGATAATGATATGTGTATTAATGCCCAACCAGAATTATGTAAATATGATTTCCTTTTGAAGGCATTTGGAGTTAAGTTAATAGATGTAGATAATGACAATAAAATTATAAAAGTTGAGATCATTATCAAATTTCAACCAACTGAGGAGAATATGGATTGTTGTTATTCATTATACAATCAATTCATCTTATTATCTCATAACAATGACGTTAAAAGGCACCAACATACCATAACCAACAGAAGATCCTCTAATGTTACACAGACCAATGGAATGATGCTGGATAAAGTATATTGGGAATCATGCATCGAAGATCCATTAATTGTTGAGACTACATTTGGTGTCTTCAGTAAGATAAAGTGTATTAGGATTTAATTATATATATATATATGATTTATGCGTGTATTCATATACACTTATATATATGTATATAATGAATTTGTACTTGCATATTATTGTAATAGTGAAACCCATTTTGGGTCGTTATTAGATAATCTTTGTTTCATATCCTGGCGTGCCTTATATATCATGTACTGTTTTCTTTGCAACAGATCCATTGGATGGTCAAATTCTATAACATTGGAAAACATGTCATCTGTTACATTATACTTTGTCAATAAATTATCTTGTTTGATGTTAGAAATTTTGCGTGGATCAGTATTATTGTCATTACCATTAACTACATTTGCATGATTTAAATTTACTGGTCTTGGAGAAGGTGTAAAACCAGGAGGGAAGGGAAATTCAACGCCATTTAAATAATTTTCAATGACTACATGAACATTGTTGTGATTTAAACGTAAAGCATATTTAATTTGTTCGACGTGTAGGATTGGTGCCACTGCTTGGACTTGTTGGACCAAGGCTGTGTTTACTGGAGGATTTATTCTTCTATTTCTTGTTTGATTCGACTGGCTCAATTCGTTAGATTCTGATAATCTCTTTGTTGATGGATGTGAATCACCATTATTAAGCATCCATTTAGTCACTAAGAAAATCAACAAGATGGAAAATAATATAGATAATAGACCAGACATCAATTTAACGTGTAATTTTGTTTTTTATTGGTTTATTTTTTTTTTTTTTTTTTTTTTTTAGATGAGACGAGATGAAACGACACTACAAGGTATTGAAGCTGGATATTATAGTACTTCTTGGTAACTACATATTGAATACAGCATGTATATATAGTAACACACATGTGGGTTATATGTTGTGTGCTGCGTAGAGGCAAACTGGAAAAAACAAAATAATCATATAAGAATTTGTGGGAGCGTTGGCTTGTTTGTTGTTATGAAAAAAGAAGGAGACTTATGTGTACATCCAGACACCACATTATAATCAAAATGTCATCTTGAAATCTTTACTTTGGTGTTTGACTTTGTAGATGAACTGAGAGATGCTGTCCATTTCTTTAACACCTTGTTGCTTGAAATGATCGTTACAACGTTTCACGTATTTCTGTTTATCGACTCTATACTTGTTATTACCATTTCTAGTATTTGACTGAGTGTAATAATGTGATGATATGGTATGGAGACCCAATGGAGATTGCAGAAGCACTCCTGTCAAAGTAACATTGTCTTTATCTTCATTCAAATGGAATCTATGACTATATTTTCTTAATACAGAATAATCCATCTGTCGAAGCTGGTAGTCAAACTCATGGTATTTAGATAAATCCTGGATGCCATTATGTGAGAAAGTTGGTTTATTATCAGTAACATGTCTTTTCACCAAGTCTTTCAAATACTGTTGTTGTTGTACGTTGAGTCTTGTGAGTGATGAATCGTTGTGATTACCATGGTTGCTGCTGTTTGAGTGTTTACCACCTCTACCAGTCTTATTATTATGATGATCATCTTTATGTGATTCAGTTCCACTATGTGTAGCTGCCATATTAATTTGTAACTATAGATATTTGTGTATGGGCATTTACAAATAAATTATTAGAAGCAGCTTTCACACACATACATATACATATATATATCCATATCTATATATGCAAACTCATAGATTTACCAGATACTCCACGGTTGTTAACATTTTGCACACAGAACTCCAAACACACAAAATAAAAGCCGGATTTAAATCTTTTCCGGAATCTTGTTATTCCGTCCGATTTTCTCCGGCTTTTCTGGCAGCAGTATTCAAACCCTAAATGTCAACCCTAATGCTAGTTTATCGTTTCTGTTGTAAATCTTCTCTTTCAATCAGCATTGATAACCAAAGAGCTTATGCGATATTATCTACAAAAGGCAAATACATATATGTATGTGTATGTATGTAGTGGGCAGTAACAGAACCATCTGTTATGCGATATTTAGAAAGTTCAGAACATTAGATTTAAAGTTTATCTCTTTATTTGGGCTTTGTTCTTGTAATATCTTTGTCACATTTGCTATGGTACGATATGTCGTTTCATTGAATTCGTATGAATCTGTCTCCACAAAGACATGTTCAATGTCCAGTACTTCTAAATACAAGAGCAGCACCATATGATCATTATTTCTTAGATTCAATTGAGGATTAAATGAAACATAGATCCTATCACTTTTAAAAATTCTACTCCATCTTTTTAACGTATCTACCGATCCTTGAAATCCATGCAACAAGATTTTACATTTGGGATTTAGTAGAAGTTGGTCCTTACATACTTCCAATAATTGATCATAGAATTTCACAGAATGCAACTGAACAGATAAAGAATGTTTATTAGCATATTTCAACCACCATTGAAGAATACTCAATTGATGTTCTAATTTTGTAGTAAAATTAGACAGGCTTACAGTCCCCCTCTTTCCACAGCTCCCCATGTTTTCACTACTATTATCACCCCAAGGTATACGAAACGTTTTATCTAAGCCTATCTCCCCAATAAAATCAATATTATTAAGAAACAAATCTAAATTATCGTTCAATAATATAGGCTCTGGCAATGCGTTAATCATTCTCCTTAATTCTTCTTCTTCAATCGTAGTAGTCTGGCCCTCCTTTCTTTGCCCTGTAGAACGACCTTTCCATTGTAAAACTTTTCCATAATGCTCTGTTTTTGAAATATTAGGTACTAATGTATATAGATGTGCATACCATGGATGTATACCTAACCCCTTCTTGATATATAATCGTTGTCTCTCTGAGTCTTGTTCTTCCTCCTTCTCCTCTTCCACCTCAACTTTTCCTTTGCCAACTTTGTCAATATTTGATATATCGTCTAATTTTGTAGAATTGTATAATGATAACACAGATCCAACATTATTGTCCCTTTCAAGTTCATTATTTTGTCTACAGCAATCATTGAAGGAAGAACAATAATAGTGACAATGTGCGTCCACCAACATTTCTCTTTCTCTTCCTTCTTCTTCTTTTTTTTATTTTTTTGGGAGGGGGGGGAATTAAAAAAAAAAACAATAATATACAAAATCTCGAGTAAGTTATGTCTCCTCTTTTCTCGTTTCCCCTCCCATTCGTTATCTTTTATGCAACAACACCAATCAACAGTGATTTCAACTGTAAGTGATACTAATTGCCAATGCAAATACTAATGCCAATAACAATTTTCAACGTTTCTCGAAGAAAATCTAGTCCATTTAGTCCCGATTGGGTAAGAAAAAAGAAAATGACAGAAGAAAATCATTACCGCATTCGGAAACAAAAGTTTTATTACGTCATCATACAATTGGTGCTTACGTGAGATAATTACATAATCACATGATTGACGTCACTTCTTTATTTTTTTGTGTGTGAGTGTGTTGCCTCCCTTTTTTTTTTTTTTTTTTTTTTTTTTTTTTTAATAGAAGAAATCCCTTAATTATTCATATTACTTATGACGCAAGAATACGTATAAGTACTTTTATAAAGTTATATAAATAGTTGACATCAAACTTTCTAAATCAATATCTTTGTAGACTTCTTGTTTTTCTTCGAATTATTTCGAGCCTACTCTCTCTTTATCTCTCCCTCTTACCATATATATATATATATATATATATATATATCCATGCACAAAGCACATATATCATTTAACTACGAATAGAACAAGAACAAAATAAAATACAACAAAAAAAAAATAAGAAAAAAATGACCCTTATTATTGCATCTTTATTTTTACCATATGGTCCTCAATTCGACATGGAACATTTAGATGAACAGCTTTTATTCAATTTGGATCAATCTTTAATTAATATAGACAACAACCAATTGAAAAAGTTAAGAGCTGCTTCGCCAGTCTATACCAACATGGCAGATACACAGCAGTGCAGACAAAGTCCAGTAGATTTGGATACAAACCAGTCCATGGACCCATATTATAATAATCACAGCGGTAATTCTAATCATACCACTTCCCAAGATTCTTTGCTCGAGAGTTATCCGTTACAAAGGATTAAATCAAACACCTCACTTGATCGAATACTGACTTCTGATGAGTTTATGACCAATTTAACATCGCATGGGTCTAATACAATAACTCCTCCTATTCAAACAAGAAAACCAACTCTACCAGATTTTGAAGGCAGTAATATCGATACTATTTCATTAGATGACAACTTTTATGGCATTAGTGGTAAAAAAAATATATCTGTACATGATTTCTTCAAAACTAAATTAATCAACAAGAACATTAACAACATGGGCAATAACACTAATTATAATATCAACTCACTTTCCTCAGGATGTTTGCCTCATCTTAAACTTAACTCAACAAAAAGTAGTGAATATCTTTTGAAAAATGTCAATAGGTCAATGGTACTGAAATCAACTTTAAAGCATTCCTTCTCAAGTAGCCAAATTCCAACTACTAAATCAAATAAAAAGAATCAAACAGCAAAAGTTAATTACTCTTCGAACACTCGAGAAAAAATTCTAGAAAATGATAAAGAACAAGAACAAAAAGAAAATAATTCTAAACAATTTGTACCAAAATTTGGTGGGTTTCGTGATAGAACCAATTTGAAATTAAGAACAATAATGATGCTTCATAATCAACAAGAAGTTTTCCAAAATATCCCATGGAGAATAGTATCACAACCTTTCTGCAATCAATCTCTACGAGACTCGTTACTTGATTATCCACCACCCCTCGACAACGATAATATCAACAATATTACTGATGGTACTGAAGCTGACACTTACAACGATAAAGTAGGTATCAATTGGATAGGTACTATGGGCATTCCAACTGATGGAATCCCCCCTAATGTAATAAATCAAATTCAAGTACACTTAGAAAATAATCATAACTGTTACTCTGTGATGGTTGATGACAACACTTTCAATAATGCATACTTCATTTTTTGTAAAAAAAATCTTTGGCCTATTTTACACTATCAATTACCTATGAACAATATTGAATCTCCATTTTCAAAACCTTCTCATTCGTCAAGTGATGACTCAATCAATCCATGGGAAAGTTATGTTCAATTAAATAAAGCAGTAGCCCAACAATGCATCCAAAGATATAAAGAGGATGATACAATCTGGGTTCATGATTATCATTTAATGTTGGTCCCTAAAATGATTAGAGACAAATTACCAAATGCAAAGATTGGGTTTTTCTATCACGTTTCATTCCCTTCTAGTGAATTGTTTCGTTGCTTGTCAAATAGAAATGATTTATTGGAAGGTGTCCTTGGTGCTAACTTAATCTCTTTCCAAAATCTCGAATATATGAGACACTTCTTACAAACATGCAATAGGATCCTTATGGCAGATATAACTATTCCAGATAAAGAAATTCAATATAAGGGACAAACAACCAGGTTTGCTTCCATACCAATGGGAATAGATCCCTTTAGAATCCAATCAAAGGTTGTGAACGATGTTAGAGTTAACAATTGGAGAAATTTGATTAAAGAGAAATGGAATGGAATGAAACTTATCATGTCAAGAGATTCATTAGATGGATTTAGTGGATTAATACAAAAATTGAAATCGTATGAATTGTTTTTAAGAAAGAATCCATCGTTGATTGGTAAAGTGACTCTTTTACAAATATGCAGTACATCTCCTAAAGGAACAGACTCAATCGATGTTAAAAGACAAATAATGGTTATTATTGATAGGATCAATTCATTTTCTTTTAACATTAATAGTCCACCACCAGTCATGTTTTTACAACAAGATTTAGAGGTTCCTCAAATCTTGGCATTATACTGTGAATGTGATTTATATTGGGTAAATTCATTGCGTGAAGGTATGAATTTAACATGTCATGAATTTATAACATGTTCGTTCGATAAACATTCACCTCTTATGATATCCGAATTCATTGGCTCGGCATCAATATCAAAGAATAATGCACTTTTGATAAATCCATGGGATCTTGATAATGTGTCCAAAATGATTAAGTATGCATTATATGATATGTCACCAAAATTAAAGAAATTCAAATGGAAAAAAATGATCAAAAATATTATCAATAATGATTCAGAAGCATGGCTATCTAAAAACTTATCTGTGATTAATAGCTCATGGGAGCATAACTTAGAAAGAGCTACTTTAAATAAAATGACATATTTTTCGTTAATTAGGGACTATCAAAATTCCAAAAAACGATTGTTTCTATTTAAAATATCATCACCACCTACATCATATATGATATCTGTATTGAATGATCTTTCTGCAAATAACAATCTTGTCTATGTCATGAGTTCATTTACCAAAACCAATTTAGAGATTCTATACAGTCGTGTATCCAACATTGGATTCCTAGCTGAAAATGGTGCCTATCTTAAATTAATTAATGGATCATGGTATAATATAGTAGATAACACGGAATGGAAGCCAGAAGTAATAAAAGTTTTTGATGATAGGGTAGAAAGGTTGCCTGGATCATATTATAAAATATATGATTCGATGATTGTGTTTCACACGGAAAATGCGGAAGACAAAGAAAGAACCTCAAGTGTTATTGGTGAAACAATGAATCATATAAATACTGTTTTTAAAGATTCAAATATCCATGCGTTTGTCACTTCGAATAATATCATGTGTGTACAACAAAGTGGATTATCTCTAAGAGCTTTGAAGTTTATATTGAGATTCCACAACAGTTTTAACAATAATAGCACAATTGGCAATGACCTTGTGGAAACAGAAAGTTCATTACTCAATATACCAATAACTACAGATGCTAAAACGGCACGGCCAACTAATGGTGATCTGGAAAACGATATTAATAACAATCATGAAAATCATCAGTCACTTACCCAACAGACGCCTATTGACTTTGCATGTGTTACTGGTTCTTCATCACCTATTATTGACCCAATATTTTATTTCATCAAAAAAGAATTCGATGCTAGTAATATCAAATACGCTCATACAGTAGTTTATGGATCCACACAAAATACCCATGCATTAGAACATGCCAACGGGTTAAACGGTCTTATGAAGATCATGTCACGTCTAAATACTTGAGTACAACGATCTATAGTCACTGCCTCTCCTCTTCTTTTTCCTCATCTCAACCTTGTCATCTATCATATAGTAGGTAAAATAACTTCACACGGTAAGTTCACCTTGTAAGTTTGTACGAAAGAAAAGTTCCGGTCGTCTTTTACAAAAAAAATTTTCGATTTTTGTTTTATTAAAAAAATTTTTTTCTTTTTATTGTGACTTTTCTTTGCAAGGAATTTTTTCCAATTTCATTTTTAAGAGATATTGTAAATATAGAAGAAGCTGTTTATTGTTCTATATATAATAATAATCAATGGCTGTTGTGTTATTTCGTATTGTTTGCTGTTTTTGACCTGTGCTTAGGCTATGCCTTCATTTTATTTCTCCTTCCTTTACTGATATATCAATAGAGTTTACGTCCAGGTTACCAAGTTGATTCATCATGGGTAAGAAAAATACTAAAGGTGGTAAGAAGGGTAGAAGAGGAAAGAACGAGACTGAAGGTCCAAAGAGAGAATTGATCTATAAGGAAGAGGGTCAAGAATATGCTCAAATTACCAAAATGTTAGGTAATGGTCGTGTTGAAGCCACCTGTTTTGATGGTGTTAAACGTATGGCCCACATTAGAGGTAAATTAAGAAAAAAAGTTTGGATGTCCCAAGGTGATATCATTCTAGTTTCTTTAAGAGATTTCCAAGATGACCAATGTGATGTTGTTCATAAGTACAATTTAGATGAAGCCAGAACTTTGAAGAATCAAGGTGAATTACCAGAAAATGCCAAGATTAACGAAACTGATAACTTCGGTTTTGAGTCTGACGAAGAAGTCAACTTCGAATTCGGTAATGCTGACGAAGATGAGTATGAAGATGAAGATGAAGAATTGAATATTGATGATATCTAATTTGATTCGAATTCTAATATACATCAAATACATAATAATAAGAAAAGAACAAATCTCACAATCTTTAGTTGTTTCATTTTATTGTTGCATCTCTATTATTCTTAATTTATAGGTTTTATTTTTTATATATGTTGCTATATACAATAAAGATATACATATGTGCTTGTGTATATCATTCCTTAAGTATGAAAATAAAATATAGCGATACCAAGTCCTTTTTCATTGTATTTTTGATTACATGACTTTTGTCAACCCACTTTGCATTGATGATACTTTCAGTCATATAGGAAAAAAAAATTTTTTTTCTGATGATATGCAGTAAAGATTATAGATATATCACATTTGTGTGTGTAGTATATGTCCATCTATCAATAGAATGCATTTCCGCATTGTTACTGTAATAGTACCATTATTCAGTTATTTAGTTGTTTGAGAGTATTACATTAGCTAATACTGATTGCATACAGGTTACAATTCTTTTTTTAAAATGTCGATAAATGACCGTAAAGAATCTATTAAACGTTGTAAACAATTTTTAATCGCAACAACACCATCTAGTTTAATTAAAGAACTAAAAAATGATGAGAATATAGAAAACTCTATAAACTACACATCAAGTTTGATAACAGGGCAATTGATAAATCAGTATGAATTTTTGATTTCTGAATTATCTGAACATACCAAACATGACGATCAGTTAAGGATACTAGTGACAGATTCATTAGCTATTTGGATGTTAAGAGTATACCAATTTTTAACTTTTAATAAAGATAGACAAAAATTGAATACTTCTAGATTACTAGGTTCTTTAATCAATGAGCTATTGACGTTTGATAAATGCCATTACATATTTGAATATGTGATTGATTTTTGGAATGATAGTAGTCATGCTCTTTTAAATGCTTTAAAAGATTTATTCAACAAGTTTTTGACTCTACTCAAGTTTATGTATGACGAAAGTGATTTAAGAAAGTTGTTTACCCAGTGGTTGGATCAAATTATCCAAATATCTCCAACATTGAAAGTACAATATTACATGATTGAAACTTTGTCATTAAACATGGATATATATTATTTTCTAGAAAAGAAACCTTGTTTTATTATAGATTCTTTGAATTTAATGTCTTCCGAATCTTTATCTACTTCTATTGGAAAATGTTTGGTCTATTTACTAATAAATATTTATAACTTTCATTTTAAATTAGATTCAACCGAAATAGATAAGTGGTATGAACTATGGCAAAAAAAAACCATACAATATCTGCATTTATCAAGATACTCAAAACCATTACAAGTATATTTTTTGACACCTTTATTCAAACAGATGCCAGCTAATGTGTTTATTGATTTTATTAACTCAATTAAATCACATAATGGGATTAGTCTCGATCCAACTATATTATTGTCCTTATTAAGAATTGGCCAAGAATTGGATATAGATGATGAGCCATTCCATAATGATAAACTGATATCTTTATCTGAATTGGGAAGATTTTTAGACAATGAAGACTTGAAATTAAGTACTTTTGAACTGCTAACTTTTTCCAAAAAAAAATCAAAGATAGTACATCTATATGTGTTAGACATCTTAAAGAAGCATTTACGAAATTTCTTCATTGATATTAATTTAGAAACTAGAAACTATTTTGAAAGTTCCTTTAAACTTTTTATCATAAGAATAAGAGATTCATGCTACTCTTTGAAAAGAGATATAAATAAATTAAAACGTGCCCAAAAATTCCCCAATGAACAAGAGGAAAAATTGAGACAAATTGATGAATATAAGCAATTTATGTTATGGTTGTTTAAGTTTTTGAAAAAAGAACTGATACCTGGCATTCAATATCACAGATGTCTAATGTCTTTGAATATTATATCTATTCTGATTGATTCTGGTTTAGATGAATATATACCAGCTAAAGATGTTAGTAAACAGAATTATCGTTCTTGGCCATTTAACATAGTTATTTTAAACGATAGATCATATTTGCGTTTATTAATAGATAATTTGATTAGTTCTGTTAATAATATTCGTAAAACTGTTAAGTTTTTACTATCCCAATCATATAATTCTAGCCCTATTGTGCAAAAGACCATACATTCAATGATTAATAAAGAATTATTAGCCAAAAAGGCAGTCCAAAACATTAATGCATACCAAAATATAGAAGCTGGTGCCACAGTTGAAATGTTTATATTTAGTATATCGGATCATAAATTACACCTAATTACAGATAAATTGAACAGTTTGAAGGAAGAAAACGATAGAATCGAGAAAAATCCAGTAGAAAATATGGTGAACAACGTTAGTGGATGTTATATTTCATTGGCAATGTTTTTAGCTGATATCAAACCTGAGGTTTATTCATCAGATAAAATTCACTTAATAATGAAGGATATATTAAGCGAAATAATAAGAAGTTGGAATGGCTCCAAAGATTTAATGTGTCATGATTCTTCCGATGGATTATTACCTCATAAATATCTTCAATGCCCTGTCTCTGACCAAGTTATTACAAGCTATGCATTTAGAACTGTCAAAGAATTAAGCAGATTATTAAATATCATGATTAAGAAATTTACGTTAACACATGAACAGCTAATTCAAATTGGTGATTTGTTAATTTTGCAACTTTTTACAATACGTCACAGTGGTTGTTTTCAGGCAGTATTGCCTACATTCAAAACTTTCTGTATTAAGTGTCGTCATTTAATTCCAGATCAATTAAAAATTTGGTTAGATGATATCTTAGTATCATTAGAGTCGAAGACCCAACACATTACTAGGAGATCTGGTGGATTACCATTTTTGATTACTAATATCCTTGCAACTGAGACAGCAAAAGATAGACCTGAATTAAAATATGTTTTTGATAAACTTTTAAGTATCCTTGAGACAGTTTCTACCATGGAATACCAGGATAAATTAGATTTACCACAGATTAATGCATTTAATTGTATAAAGGCAATCTTTATTGAATCTCAATTATCAGAAGCATGTACACCTTATTTTCCACAAGCTTTAGCATATTCCTTAAAGTATTTCAACTCAGATATTTGGGCTTTGAGAAATTGTTCATTGATGTTATTTACATCTTTACAAAATAGAATATTTGGTAAAATAGGTAAGAATATCAGCGCACGCTTATTTTTCACTAAATATGGCAGTATTGACAAGGTATTATTACGAATTTTGAAAGAACCCATTGAGAAAAAACATACAGATTCAAATAACATGGAATCAGTTATTTTAATATTGAGTATTTTAATGTGTCTAAAACAAACACCAGGATATAGTGGGTTAGATCCATTTATAAATGAAGTCATTAAATATTTAGAAGATAGAAATTGGAAAATAAGAGATATGTCAGCTAGAGTACTTTCTATTTTAGTTGATGAAAGTCATATTGATGAGTTATATTTGATGGAAAATTGTTCTGTAAAAAACCAAAATAAATTACATGGGCATTTATTGGCAGTAAAAAATATTATTTTATCTAAGCAAAAATTTCCACAGATTATAGTTAAAATGAAGGACATAGTTAAAAGATTGCTCGGGAAGAGATTTGAATTTATTACATTGAATTTATCATATGTAACTGTCAAGGCATATCTTGAAGTTATGCTCTTAGTATTTGATAATGAAGAATTTATTGAATTAATCCAAGATCATAAGCACGAAATTATATCAATTTTTGGTAACTACTTCATTAATAACTTTTATTCTAAAGCAAATACACAAAACATTGATGGAAGTAAAGAACTTTGTATGGCATTAGTTTTAAATTTTTTGCTCAAATATGAAAACGAAGTGAATATTAACTCCTTAATTCAATTAGGTTTGGAATCAAATCTTTATGAAGTTCAACTAGAATCCATCAAATATATAGAAACGTCTGAATCTGTGATGCATTATTATGAAAACTCAGCGGATATTGGTGAAAAATTAATGGAATTACTATTAAGTGAGGATACTTTAGTTACCTTAAAACCATCGATTATAAAATCTTTGAAACGTATACCAAACCATAAAATGACACTTAGTACACTAGTTAAGTTTATTCAAGAAACAAAATCAGATATTTGTAGGCTGACAGCAATTGAATGTTTAGGTAATTATGTGACACATGAAGAGGATGTGGAGTTAATTTGGGATAATGTTATTAAAGGATATTTGACTGATGCTACAAATGAAATGTTTAGAATGTCTATACTAAACTGTTTAATAAACTGTTCAAAAACACTATTAAATCTTAAAGTTATTATGGCCATTTTCACCTATCTACAAGATGATGATCCTGATATAAGAGAGACAGCAGCAATATACTTGAACAAATATATAGGACAAAATACAGTCCAGAGAACATCAGATGCTGTTGCCAACAAGATCGGTGATGTAGTTATAGAAAAGTTTTCTAATAAAAAGAATGCAATAGTCAATATATGTATTACAAATATTAGGAGATTTTTTTGTTCAAATAATATATATGCTCATAAAGAACAATTTGAGGGATTGTTTGAAAGAGAAAAGGATAACCAGTTTAGAAATGATATTGAAGAGAATTTAAGATGGATTAATTTAATAAAAAGATGTCCCAATGTCTCTATTATGAGTTTAAAACAATTTATCGTTGAAGAGAAGGATATGTTATTAAACTATTTGACCAATTATAGTATTATAGACGAGCCGTTAGGCTGGATGCATTCAGATGATATCCTATCAAGGATAATTGTCTTGAGACAACTGATTTACTCTTTTAATAATGAATTATTGGAGAATTTTGACAGCTGTCTTAAGACACACAAATCTCATCCATTGATTTTTGAATATAATGATATATACATGGAGTAAATACTGACAAAAACATATAAAAATGTTGCATACTAGCCCTTTAGGACTAATAATTGTATTTATATGCAACTTTAAAGTTTCTCTCTTATTAATTATTCTTGTCTTTCTTAAATAATAACATTTTTTGGCTTGGGCTTTAGAATACTTTTTTTTGTCTCTTTTTTGTTGAAGTTATATTTACCTAGGTAGAAGACTTAAGAGAGAGAAGAAGAGGAACAGATACCACCTACTTAACTTGCAAGGATTCGAACCATAAGAGAAAAACAATAAGAGTTGGTCTGTAGATGTCTGACCTGTAGCTAGTAATAGTAATAGTTATGACATCACTTGTGGAGGTTTTAAAACATGTTTGTAGTTTTTTGAATCAAAATGACTTGATAAGTTTAAGTCAAGTCTCCAAAGAGCTCAATGAAACTGTAATCAAGCCAAGATTGTATAAAAGAATAAGGGTCACCAAAAATCCTATCATACGGACAAGTAATTGGTATTTAGATTGTGGTATTACATATGTGAGTGGATACAGGTCAATGATTAAAACAGATGATCAAAATGATTTGTTTTTGTATGATAGAATTGAAAGACTACTTGAAGCTCCAAATTTAAAATATGTGAAGGAATTATATGTGGAAGATAAAGTGTTCAGCGATGTTGAATCGGGATATTCTATATTGATGAAATTGGTTAATAAGATTTTATCATATGGGAACGTTGAAGTGATAGATATTAGAGATGTACAATTGTGGACTAAATTAGAAAATGATATTTTGAGTATATCTAATTTAAATTTAAAACAAATAAAATTATCAGACATAAATAAACTAAATCAAATATCGAATTTAAAAAGCTTAAAGCAATTGGAATGTAGCATTGAAGAACCTCCATGGAATTTTGCAGATTCTAATTTAAGCAAAATATTAAATGAAAGAATTGAATTACTTATATTGAATCCAAAAGTTTCTCACTTTTCTAGTTACCGTTTATTTGATTATTTATATAATCATGGATTCAGATTCGATAATCTAAGATCTTTGAAAATGACATATGTTCATTCACCTTTAGATTTTGCCAGTGATGCAAACGATATAATCTTACAATTTCTTACTGAACGAGTAAATCTATCCCAGATAGTTAGATTGGAATTGACATTGACATGTATTCATCCAACTGACGAATGTTATTGTATCGAAGATTTTCTACAAATTCTGTGTCCCCATTTAGTGAATTTGAAAAGTTTATCACTTATTCAAAAGTATGAGACAGAGAACCATGGAGATTCATCTAAAAACGAATTCTGGGACTTAACCATATGCAAATTTTTATCGAATTTACCTAATGTGAATAAAAACTTAAGGCACCTATTGATTTTGCACGATCCATTATGGAATGGGACAGGTATAGATAATGTTGATGGAAATTACATTAGAAGACGGCAGATCTTCAATTCTGTATTATCACAATTAAGATCATTACAGACATTAATAATTCCAAAAATGTTACAATCTGTAGCACCATATGAGATTATAGCATGCGATTTTTTGTGGAATGGTTGTACATGTTCATTTTGTCAAGTAAATTTACCTAAATTTGATGAATATTTAATGAACCATCAATATTATGATGCAGCATCGTCTCAATATAAAGATATTATACCGTCTAGATTTGTTGGATACATAGGAGAAGAGTTATTCAAAAGAAACGATCCATATATTAGAACAAGTTGGATGTTGGATATTAAGGGGTTATCACCATTAGAAAATTACTGGAATTTCCATGGACATGAGAAATTACATCATTTTAATGATTATAATTGTAAAACTAATGAAATGATATATCCATCATTGGTAAAATGTATAAGTCATTTTTTTAATGGATATATGTATCATATTGTGCAACATTTACCAAATTTGAATATGTGTATTCTATCTGGAATATATTACAAGGTTGATGAAAGTTCAAAAGCTAAGAACAATAAAGATAAAGATAAATATGAATACAAACCGTATGTTCCTAATCACGAAACGTTCTTTACTACAATTGTAGATACCAGTAGCAGTCAAGCCCTGAAATGTCCAGTTGATTATTATTCAATATATGATTAGTATTGTGGGACATAATAGGACACAGTGTATAGATCTACCACGTGTAAATATCTTCTGTATATACAACACAATGAAATCAGCTATTCTTTACTAATATCTTAAAGGATTGGAGTGTAGGCGATAGAAATATACAATCTTAACCCTAAACATATTGAGTTAGGGTTTTACAGTGAAATTGTTTTTCATTTCCATTGATTCCGCTGTTATTCCGCAAATTTCGGGTTATTTTCAAGGAAATTTTGAAAAAAGTATTTTTTTCTTTTTTGGTCTATAGAATGGATCTTCGATCAAAAGATGAAGCAGATTGAAAGAGGAGGGGAGAAACCAGAAGTGTTATAAGGAGAGAGAGAGGAATGTCAGACAAGAGAAGAAAGGGATAACTAACTAAACTAATTGGTTGTGACCTTTCACATAACTACTCACCCGAGCTTTACACCTTTGACTGAATCGTAAATTCATAAAAAAAAGTAAAAAAAAAAAAAAGACAAATAGGGATATATAACAGGAATAATATAGATCACTGGGAAATTCACATCTATATTGGGGAGTAATTATTAATAATTGCAGGGAGAAAAAGTAGAAGAAGTAAACTTTGGAAATTAATTGAATATATACATCCAAATTTTTGTATATATCTACCTTATTATATTGGTTCCTTTATTGTATTTGTTCATAGATGAATTAGTGAATTATAATATTGTTTCTTTCTTTTTCTTTTTCTTTTTTTTTTCTTTTTGATAAGAGATCCAAATGGTTATAATAAAAATAAAGATCAAATGGAATTGGCTTCTGCGACAGTCTCAATTGAATTGGAATGTTACTTTAAAAAAGATTGCCACTAGTCATAATAATATTTTTTATTTGACACCAGGTTTTAATTTAAATAAAGGCAGAAATTATGTAACTGCTGCTTATGATCAAGATATACATACTAATCATCATATTATTAGTGGTTCTAGTACTTTATTAGATACTGTTGATGATTTGAACTTTAAACATCTTGAAGAAAATAACATGGATACTGCTGATAGAGAATCTGAGTTTACTAAATGGATCTATGAAAGTGTACTGGAAAATCAACCGTGTCACAGGATGTCTTTAAGAGATAATTTGAAATCGGTTGCAATCTCTAACCAATTATCTGTAAAAGAAAATAGTATCAATAATAATTCATCAGATATTTATGGTATTCCGTCGGTAGCTGATATTACATTTGAAATTATTTGGAAGGATAAATTTTCTGAGATTGGGTTTGGCGACGATATTGAAAGAGTTGTTAATGTAATTATAAAAAGATTGAATTATAAAAGAAATATTTTTAAAGTCTCACAATTGGTTCAGTTGATATCTACACTTTTTAACAATAATAGATTTTATCATATTCATGAAATTTATATAGCATACAAGAAATATTTGTATCCAATTACTTCAAAAATAGTTGATGATACAGATAAATATAGGATTCTTTTGAAGAGATTCATTCAAGTAGAGAACCAACTAGAACATTATGCAGAAGTGGAGCAATTGTTTGCTCAATATATCAAATTGAATCATATGAGTAGTCCCATAGTCGCTATTGGTTTGAAATCCTTTGTTTCCAGAAATAATCTTCAATTAGCTAAAGAATTTTTTATCCAGATTATGAAAGATAGTGATAACATTTTTCCTTTAGATTCAAAGGATTTCAAAAGATTCTTAAAATTTTTACAAAATTCATATCGTTATGAATCAATTGATTATTTTGTGTCAATGTGGATTCAATATGATAAACCACTAGATTTTGAACTGTTAGCATATATCCATTATATTTATTTAATGAATAATAATCCATTGGTTGACAACTTAGCCAAATTTGAATCTAAAGAAGGTCGTCCCTTTAAATCAGGTTATTTTCAATCAGTTCAATGTAAAATTATTGGTACCTATTGTCAATTAATACGTAATAACTCTATTGATCATACAAAATTAGAACAATTAAATCAGGAGGTTGAGAGCTTACCCAGTAGTAATGCTAAATTAAAGTATTGGTATCATAAAAATTTATTAAAATTGTATGTACGTTTCCATGATTTGAAATCAATAGAAAATGTGTTACAAACAATGTTGATGGATCAAACAATTACTGTGGACTCAAATATTTATAATATTGTTGCTACGTATTTTGTCCAGAAAGGTGATTTAAAGAATTTAATAATATTTTATAGCAATTTATTACATGATAGAGTAGTTAATTTGAAGAGTGATATTTTTTATTTGATTTTACGGTGTAGTAAAATTGCATATCCTGATGAAAATTTTCAACTAATAATTAATCAATTGAAAAAAGTTTTTAAGAGGAGTCGTGACGATATGAGATTGTTATGGTGGTTAAATAATGTGGAAAAAAATTTGAAATTATATGATGGTTTGAACAGGGTCACTGTATCGGACAATAGATTTTACATGAATTTTATCAATAAAATTAAAAGAAATGATTTAGTTAATGCCAAAGATTTACTCCATCAATATCTCCAAAAAGGTGTAAAACAAGATCAACATATTTTATATAAGATGTTAAAGTTTTGTTTATCTAATGATAAGGCGATTCAACTGGCAGAGATTATTGATAGGCATATTAGACAAGATGACTATTTCTATAGGAGTAATCCATTGAAATTGGAGATAATTTGGTTAAAATACCATATCAAGATGGGTCAAAATAATGGATTGAATACTGATGGTAAAATAAGATTACAACAGTTTGAAAAAAATTTTGATTTGCAACTAAAATCACAAAATTGTTTAGATTTAGCTAACTTAATGATCGAGTTCAAAGACTATACAAATGCAGAAAGAGTGCTAAAGAAAGCAAGGGAAAGGATAATAAATGATGATCAGATACAATGGACTATATATTATATGATGTCATTAAAATTATCTACTAGGGCATTAAATCCACAGTTATTTATTGATCTTTTAAGAAAATGGAATGGGTCATATTTACCGGTGATACTATTAAGCAAAAATAAAAATCAAATAAATTGTTATATCAAATATTTTTGTAAAAATTGGGATAAGATTAATGAGATAACGTGTATCACTAATCACATCAATAGTGATAGGTGTAATAATGAGAATCAAGAGAATACTGTTGGTACTTCTATTGATAATCATTATAATCCATGTGGAACTTTTGAAAATTGGCAAGATTTAGTTAAAAATATATTAGAACAATTGAAAAATAAAGATAAAGAAAGACGATTGCAAACAAGACAAAATATAGAAATAATGTTAGATTCGATTCAGCAGTGGATTGATCAAGCAGTACTGGAGAACTATTCGTATAAAGTACCGAAACAGCATGGTCAAAATAAATAATAGATGACAAAACAAATATCATAAGTCAAAGGAAAGGTATTAATCCATTTTTGCATAATATTTACCTGTATGTGGCAATTCACAGAATGATTTGGGCATATTTATATATTCATTTTACATATTCCATTCAATTGGAGTATTTACATATTTGTATAGTACACACACAAGGAAAGAAGAACATGTAAATAAATCAAAGACAAAAAGAATAAAGATATATGATTTTCTTTTTTTTCAACTATTGTATAAAAGATAGTGCCACTGCACATAGATACACACGTACATCTTCGTGTGCATGGATGACCTTGTCTTTCTAATGTAATTGTAATGTGTATCAAAAGATATTTAGTATTGTGTGTTTATAAACATCTATGATCTTTTTGTTCTATTTTCGTTATTTTTTTTTTTTTTTGAAAGGTCCGAGAATTGAAACCAATCACAAAAAAAAAAAAGTGAAATAAAAGCTCGAGGATATTAACATCCGATAATTCCATAAAGGGAAAAATGAAGGGTGTGTGCAAGGAAAAGTTAAAAATTAGAAACATGAGAGCCTAGTCAATGAGGTTTTTCAAATAGAGGAAAAAAAAAGGAAATATTTTTACAGTATCATAGTTTATCATAATAAAATATAAGATATATTTATTGTATAAAAAATTAATAAAAACAAGGGCTTTTGCAAAGATTTGATATTTTTCCTTTTTTATAGGCTGTTTTTGTCATGTCTTCTGTAAAAAATATTTTTTCTTCTTTTTTTTTTTTTTTTCTTTTCGATTGTTTGTTTTGGATGAAATAAGAAATAAGAAAATATTGGTTCCCCCCATTTTATTGGCTCCCTTGGAAATCATGTAATATCTTATAAAAAGTAAAGAAGAAGTTATCTTGCCATCTTTCATTACATATTGACGATATGAATCGATTGGGAAACAGCAATACTGTACTTTTCTTTGATTTCAGGTGAGGAGTTCCTGTTTTCTTATTTTGGGCGAACTGGCTTATTAGTACAATAAATTTATTTCTATTTGGGTTCACCCTCTCTTCTACGTAGATTTCCCTGTTTAGTCTAATTTGATACTATCTTGTTTTAATATATAGCGATAGGGATCCTTCTGGTGTTTATACAGCGTATTATTATTTCTTTTCTTCTATTTAGCTCGACATTGTACTTCTGCAGTTCCACTATTATCCAACCTTTAGTGTGCAGTTTCCTCATTGATTAGATCCTCGTTCAACTTTACTACTTACAGTGAAGATCAATAATAAAATACAAGCTAACTAAAAATAGTTATTTGAAACCAATTCAAGCATTATATTAATACATAAACACATATATACAACTATTATTATTTTATTTAGATAGACCATGGCCCCAAAGAACAGAGTTATTGAATTACAAAGAATTTTTCAATCTTCTACAAAGCCACTTTGGTGGAGACATCCAAGATCGCCATTTTTACTATATCCATTCTATGGCTTACTGACTGTTGCTGTCGTTGCTCCATTGTTATATATTCCAAATGCTGTAATGGGTATTAAAGCTAAGAAAGCCGATGAATAAGTTCGACGGAAAAAATAAATAAGCTAAAAGTAAACTTTTTTTTAGCGTTTTTTATTAATAGGTTACTCTTTATTTGTTTTGTATTCTTTTCTAATATGCTCCCAGTTTTTTAACATTCCACTTCTCATTTAATTATATGATATTATGCTATGTTGCTATATTTATTTTTTTTTTATTTTGAGATTTTGTTTTTTATTTGATCTACTAATTATCCTTCTAACTACCACACCAATTTAACTATATATATTAATACATATATACGTGTATGTCACTATAAACAGCAACTTTAGTAATAATATATAAATACCAATATATTCTTTCTTATTTTAACATATATTCGTGTATATTATTATCTTGTGCTCGGTGATTTATTATATTATGTGTAATTTCTATAAGAATCTGCGTATATTTATTTTATAATATTATTTATAATAATTGTCCTTTTCTTTATTTAAAAAAAAAAGAAATCTGTTTACTAATGTTGTCATTTGAATCTCTACAATTTATTTATTCTTTCTAGTATTTTTTCATCATCATTTATGGAATCTTCCCAATTAAATATTGGACTATCATCATTTAAGAATTCTTCTAATAATTTTTGTTGTTGTTCTTTATGTTTTGCCTTTAGGATGTTTTTTTGTTCTTCAATTTTTTGTTTCAATAATTCCAATTTTGTAGGTTGCTTCGTATTAGAATTATTTGACTTATTCGAATGTAAGGAATTATCCTGCTTCTCATTGTTGGTAGTGCTGTTATTGTGGATGGTTTTCTTGGGACAATCTTTTTTTGAATTTTCGTGAGGTTTTTTATAATGACCCCTAGGACTTTTTATATTTCTATTTTTGAATTCTATATTATCTGGTATATTTGCCCATTTGGATTCTAATGGCATCTCTATTTGTCTCTTTGTCTTTTGTTCTTCTGTTGGATTTATTTTTTTTATTCTTCAGTACTGAGTATTTATTTGATTATACCACCAGAAGTATATTTTCGAACTTTTTTTTCTTCTGCTCCTCTTATAACTTTTATCCACACGATATATCCCTCCTAGTTGTCTGCATATTTACTGTTTTTCTTTTGAAGTATCCTGTGCTTTAAAATATTGTTTAACTCATTATTGATTAGCACATGTTTTACATTATGAAACCATCGAATGAGTTGATCTCATTTCGAAATTTTTTCTTTTTCATTTTTTCCCTTTTTTCGTTTCTTTTTTTTTTCATTGCTTTTCTTTTGTTATCTCTCGAGGAATTTGAGATATTTGGCTGATAGCGACTGCCCCTTGCAGGCATATAATGATACAGTCAGTCACATTTTTGTTACGTGATACAACTGGATAGAAGTGTTTAATGTTTATCTACTCTCTCTCTATTTCTTTTATATTCAAGTTGGATCAGTAATTCTTGACCTGTCTTATTCTTCTGTACGCTTAGTTCTTCTCTCTTATTGAGTCGAATGGAATATGTAAGTAGATTTGTTTCTCGATTCATTAAGATTGATATGTGTATATGTAATGTATAAAATAAACAATGTGTGAAAGGTCAGAACAATTATATGATACTGGTAATAATAGCAATAATTTTGAGATATCTGATCTAGAGGATAATATAAATGTTACAGACCCAAATGGCATTGAAATAATGAGGTCTAGATCCAGGTCCATAACATCGGACCATATAAGATACCCAACGACGTTCAATTTGGATAGACGATCTAAATGGGAACAATTCAAATTAAAACATATAGATCCAAACCTTGGTTTGATTATGCTTATTGCATCTCAATTTTTCAATACTTTAATGATTGTATCCACCAAACTGTTGGAGACAAACCCTGATAGGGAGGCTAAGATTAAACCATTACAAATTTTGATGATTAGAATGGCCATCACATATTTGGGAACGAGAGTATATATGCATGTATATAGAGAGAATATTCCTTATGTCCCATATGGTGATCCTGAAATAAGGAAATGGTTGATTTTGAGGGGTTGTGCTGGGTTTTTTGGTGTCTTTGGAAGTTATTTCTCCCTAATGTATTTATCCATTAGTGATTCGGTTCTAATTTCTTTTTTATCCCCATCTTTAACCATCATTTTGGCATGGATTGTACTTAGAGAGAAAGTTCATAGATATGAGGCCTTCGGTTGTATTTTATCATTATTAGGAGTTGTTTTAATCGTTAGACCTCTCTTCTTATTTGGTAATAGTTTTATGAATGATAATAGTGATGCTACTAATATGGATTTGAGTAGTCCGGGCGATGGATCAATGGACACTGTATCATATAATCCTGTTGAATCTAGTAATCCAAAGGAAAGATTAATTGCTGCTTTAGTAGCTCTATGGGGTACTTTTGGTATGGCTTCGGTATATATCATAATTAGATATATTGGTAAAAGAGCACATGCAATTATGTCGGTCAGTTATTTTTCTCTAATCACATTGATTATATCAACTATAGGAATTTTCACTATCTCATCAATGAAATTCCAAATGCCAAATTCTTTAAAAGAGTGGGGGTTATTTTTAAACTTGGGTATCTCAGGGTTTTGTTTTCAATTATTATTGACGCTTGGTATCCAAAGAGAAAGAGCAGGTAGAGGGTCGTTGATTGCATATACTCAACTTATTTATGCTTTAATGTGGGATATCTTTCTTTACCACCATATTCCATCTATTTGGTCTTTCTTTGGAATGTTTATTATTATTGGCAGTGCACTATATGTTTTAAAGTTAAGAAACGAAAAGCAAAGTAATGAAGACAATCAAAGTATAATTGGAGAAGAGAGAGAATCTGAGTTAAACTGTAATTTTGATTTGGAAGACAATAGTCTAATTCACAAAGATTCAAGTGATATCGATATTCCATTGCATGAAATAACATCAAGATCTTCAAGACATTCTAAAGTGATAAATGAATTTGTGAATACATGAAAAAAATAGGATAGTATAAATAACAGTCTAACGATTTATTAAATTAGACAAGTAGACAATCTATTTGAATATTAATGTTGGTTAGTATCTAATTCAAGTTATCAGATTTATTGAATATATCTTATTTATAATGCATTAATGCGTTTCCTTGTTTGTTTATAGAATATATAGTATGTTTAGTCATTGAAGTTTTAACAATTACATACATTTTTTCAAAAGTAATCGAAATAAAATCACATTTCCTTAATTATAGAGATTTAAGAAGAAAAGGTTTTTTACTCTTTCCTATACTTGAAAATATTAATAATTTGATAGTTACAAATAAGAGGTGTCTCTATTGTGAACCTAACGTAAGCATAAGCTAAAAGGAAATAGGACTGTCAATTTGCTATTATGAAAAAAAACAAAAAAAAAAAAAAACAGAGAAAGTAGTTGGAAAAAAGTGGAGACATTTGTTATACAATATTTAGCTATTATCGCTGATTTGTATTAAAAACTTCTTCTCTCATCGAGTGAGATATATATATATATTATGTCATTTTTTGGAGCATGACTCAAATTATCTTTTTCCGTTTCTTAGTTTTTCTGAAAAGGACATAAAAAACAGTAAATGACGCAAAAAGAAAAAAAAATAATCGATTCTTATCAAAATCATTGAGTATTTTAATGACTAAAGTGACTATATCTTAGTTTAATGATAAAAGTATTCCATATTATGCCATTGATTTATTAAAAGTGTATAAAATGTAAATACCCCATATCCTTGAGCAAAATGCAACAAGTATCATCAGACATTGATTTAGAAAGAGTGTTTTCTAAAAATGCAAATAACCATAAGGTCGGTGATGACTCCACCTATATACATGAGCCCAAACATATCCCAGATACATTCAATTTAGAAAGAAGACAGTTCACGTTCAAAGAGAGGTTCGTAGACCCTAACATGGGTCTTTTGCTGCTAGTTGCCTCATATTTTTTCAGTTCTTTGATGGTTGTTTCTACTAAAGTTTTGGAAACAAATCCAAATACAGACACCAGGATAAAACCATTACAAATATTGGTAGTGAGGATGGCTATTACTTATGTTGGAACTCTTATTTATATGTATATGTATAGGGAATCTATCTCGTATGTGCCCTTTGGAGACCCCTCTATTAGAAAATGGTTAATTTTAAGAGGTTTTATGGGATTCTTTTCTGTGTTTGGTACATATTTTTCATTAATGTACATTTCTATTAGTGATTCAGTATTAATCACATTCTTGGAACCAAGTCTTATTATTATTTTAGCATGGCTAATATTGAGAGAAAAAGTCCAACGGATGGAGTTTGTTGGATGCTTTGTGTCTTTAGTTGGTGTTGTTTTGATAGTAAGACCCCCATTTTTGTTTGGAGTACCAGAGACAGTAGACACAGTAGTTGAATCTAGTAATCCGAGAGAAAGATTAATTGCCACTTTAGTGGCATTATGGGGGCATTTGGGATGGCATCAGTGTATATCATTATCAGATTTATTGGGGACAGAGCACATGCAATTATGAATGTTAGTTACTTCTCATTAGTTACTTTAGTAATTGCATTAATTGGTATTATATTTATACCATCTATGAAATTTCAAATGCCACACAATTTGAAGGAATGGTTGTTATTTTTAAATTTGGGAATATCTGGGTTTTTCCATCAGTTATTATTGACTCTCGGTATTCAAAGAGAAAGAGCAGGTAGAGGTTCATTAATCACTTACACACAATTAATATACGCTTTGTTGTGGGATATCATCTTGTATAACCATTTGCCAGCTTTCTGGTCTTGGTGTGGTATGGTATTGATAATAGGTAGTACTTTATATGTAGTAAAGATAAAGATGGATGAAGACGCAGTTAAGTTTAGAAAACTATCACAAAGAGAAGAATTTGATCCTGTCACTTTTGAGATGACAAATTTAGATGATGATTAGCTTTGGACTTTATTGTGTATTGTCTGTACCCGTTTGTTTTTATATACTTATAGATTTGTGTACATATTATTTGATGTGCGTTGAGAATAATCATATTGCTAAATAATAAGGGGAAAAAAAAGGAAAAAGTAAATTTACAACTCCGATCAAGTTTTAATCTTGACACATATAGTAGAGATTATCTTATACATAAGCCCATGTTCACATATGTGTTTATCTTTGTATATAGAATTGCCTGCATGTTTTTATTATTAGAGATATTATCAGCATTGGAGTTAGATTTATCAAGAAGACGGCGTCTCTCTTTCAGTTTTGTTTTCTTTTTATATTTGTCAGGCCAGTCTTTAGAATGAACACAGTGAAATATATAGTGTTTTGTATAAAAAGATTGTTAATAGATACAAAATTGTATAAGAATAGACACAGAAATAAATTACCTATCCGTTATTCACAATTTATTGTTGAAAAATATGAATATAAACGTTGGTATGAATTAAAAGGGAGTGAGAAAGAAGATTTTATACAAAATTTTGTGAAAAATTATCAAAAGCATTACCCTAAATCAAAGACTAACCTTTCATTAAAAGAATTGTCAATTGATAAAAAAACGTTTCATGATTCACCTTGTGTTTTTGGCGTGTTTTACGATGATATTTGGAAGTGTAGGCAATATGGAAGCAGTAACAATAATACACGGTTCCAACACCCTAATTTTATTAATTTATTGATCAAAAGGTGAAATATATTTATAGTTATTGTCTTTAGGTGGCTAAAAATCATGTAGATAGGTGACTTGAAAAATTGTGAGAGTCTTTTATGTTATATTGCTATAAAAAAAATTGCATACATGTCTATATATAGTGGAGATGAGAAAGAAAATGAATATAATAATTGTTATTTGGTTTCTATCGATGGATATATCCTGAAGTGGATTTTAGTTAAAATAAATGTTATTTATAACAAATAGACCGAAACACTAAAACCCTGCATGGTTAATAGATTTGCTGGAAGTCTTCGAGGATGAGTCGTGGATATTCTTGTTTTAGAAAAGAAAAGAAATTTAAGGTAAGTAGTATTTAATAGATGTATGTGATTATGTATGTTTTTTATTTACTTTTGGTTTTAACATATGAGGAAAAAATAAAATAGATATAAGGAATTTATCTATAAATACCATACAGATTGAGTTGTGAACTGTAATAATGGACGAATGATAATGAATTTAAAAAATAATATATATATATATAAAATAAGAATATACTTATCAACAAAAAAATAGGCTTAGAATATACATAATAGGATTCAATCAAGGCAGGTTTTCAGAATTATTTCCATGGCTGAATTTTCATTTCTTGATTCTTCTTTTCACTATATGGTTTTAACAAGTACCTCTGTAATTTCTTTTTGTACGTTCGTTGACAGCAGCTTTTTTTTCTTCGGTCTTGTTTTCGTTTTCTGAGGCTACAATATCACTTTCAGGCGAAGCAAGAGTCAATAACATATCATAGATGAATCCACGTTTGGTTGCATCAGATACTGCTCCATTGTGGGATTTATTAATATGATTTAGAACTTTATTGTAGGATATAACCAGCTTATCTAAGATCATTTCAATATCAAATAATAATAATTGAGCCAGGTCCAATTTCATTTCTGTTCTAAACACGACTCTTAACACTTCAAGTTTATCAGACCCATCAGTAGATTTGGGTAATGGATAATTAGGGATAATCCAACCACGAGCACGTAATAGCGAAGAGATCATGGCTTGTGGGATCTCTGGATACGTGTCCATAAATTGTTGTGACAGTTTGAAGGCTACCAATGGGATACCTGGAGTGTATTCATCATAGTTGACTAAGTAATCATTAACAGTATCGGGGATAGAGCCATCATCGATCTTTTTGTGGATAGAACTGATGAGCTCGATATGGCCTTTTAATTTGTCACTTTTTAATAAACCATAGGAGAAGGCTCTTGCTACAAAGATGGATCTTTGGAAATGTTCTTTATAGCCTTTAAACCCCATTGATATGAAATTGAAATATTGATGGATCACTTGGAACCCAGGTCTTGAGAAATTCAAGTTAAAAGTTTCTTCGACACCACCCAGATATTTTAGTCTAAATCTTAACTCGGACGGCAACAAGCTTTCATCTTTCCAAAGAACCCAACCTAGCCCAGGTGTAGTCAACCCAAACTTATGACTACTTGTACTAACCGAAATGACTCTTGGTTCATTGAAACACCATTTTTGTAAACCGCATTTTGCCAATTGACGATCATTGAAACTGAATGGGACAATAAACCCACCAGATGCACCATCCACGTGGATTGGAATCTCAAGGTTAGCCCAGTCTGGATTTTGTTTTTCTATCTCAGCCAATGCCTTCGAGACCTCATGAACATTTTCCAAATGGCCTGTGTATGTAGTCCCCATAATAACATAAACACCTATAGTGTTTTCATCCACGTATTGATGAAGAGCTTTTGGATCCAAACAAAAGTTGGAGGAATAACTAACAGGTACCAATCTACATTCTACCTCGAAATAACGAGCAAACTTCTCTAATGCCACCTGACATGCACTTGACATGACAATATTTGGGTTTGAAATGCTTTTCCCTTTGGCCAACATTTTATGTTCCCATCTTTTCTTCATAGCCAACCCACCCAACATAATAGCTTCGGAGGAGCCGGTTGTGCTACAGCCGATAGGTGTATTTTGTGGATCGCAGTGCCAAATTTCAGCAAGGATAGAGATACATCTCTGTGTGAGTTCGATCAATTGAGGGTACTCATCGTTGTCAGCCAAGTTTTTGTTAATGTTTTCGTAAACCAATTTCTTAGCGATATCTGTGGTGAAAGTGTTCACAAAACTAGCTAGGTTCAAATGTGGATTACCATCCAAAGTCAATTCGTTGTGAATCAATTGATAGGCCAATTCTGGATCCACACCTTCTTTAGGGATAATGTATTTATTTGCCAGTTTCTTAGTTTCCTGGATAGCGAGGTCAGTGGATGATATGTCTTTGCTACTGAGTTTTTGCAATTGATCGGATAGTAGTTTAATCTCGGGGATATCTGGATGTTGTAGTAAAGATCTTGGATTTCTGTGTTTATCTGAGTGTTTATGTAGCATTGTTTCTATGTCTTGATACGGGTTACGTTGTATCCAACTTTATCAATATGTATGTATATACTTATGATGTTGTAGTGGATGGGGGGGAGAGTACTGATAATTTCTGGGAAATGGAAATCAGATATTTCTAAATTTTTATCACCACCATCATATCCTATATATATATATATATATGTGTGTGTGTGTGTGTGTGTACGAATGTATATGCGCATGTGTATGTGTATGTATTAGGATCTGAAGATGAAAGAATTGGTTAGATTCAATGTTCTCTTATTCAAGGGGTAGAGAGGGGCTATGGTGGTGAGGAAAAGGACGTTGAGATGGAAGGGCAAGCACACAATAGAAAGAAGCCCTCTTTTACTTTTAAACATTCTTTTGTCCCTCTCCTCCCTCCCACCCCCTCTTTTTTTTCATCTTTTATCTACATTTACAAACGGAAACAGAAATTTGAGTAGAAGAGATTTACAGAAATCGCAGAATCAATTTGATTGTTTTTTTTTCTTTTTCTTTTTCTTTTTTGCAATCAGAACCCTAGAGATGCGCCAAGCCCTTAATAAAACTATACAAACGTTATATAAGTCAAACGAGAAGCATGGAAGGAAAAGAAAAAAGGAAAAAAAAAAAAGAGCTGATCCTAAAACTAATGTAAATATTCGTTGGGAAACAACAAGCCAAAACGAAATAAAAAACATAAAAGGGAAAAGAAAAAAAGAAAGCAACCCTCATTCTTTTTTAATTTCTTATTTTTTGTTTATTTTTTTTTTTTGTTTTTCTTGATTTGGAACTATCCGGTAGCCCTCGATTCAAGTAGAATAGAACAAAATACTTCCCGATATGGTAAATACCGAGCCAGACACAGAAGAAAAAAAGAAAATTTAGGGGGGGGGGAAGAAGGGAGAGAGGGCTACAAAATGATGTTTTCTGTTTTATTTTTTTTTTTTATCCAGGACAAAAAAAATAAAACCACCACGAAGCCATCGGAGATTTTTAGCGACTTTTGGATTCATTTATCTAATTTTAGCATGCTAAAAGAGCATATTTCTCGTAATAAGAGGTCTCTTTATCTATTATCACACACAGAGTATGTTGGGTGGGAATAAAAAAAAAGGAAAAAAAACAAAAAAACAAAAAAACAAAAAAACAAAAAAAGACTAATTATAGATACAGTTTAGATCACTAATATTGAGTAAGAAATCTGACAAAGATCCAGAGTTAAGAAGTGTTTGCCATGTATTAAAATAGTCTTTTTTCCCTTTCCCTTCCTTCTCCTTTTGGTATATTAAGTTTATTCTAACAAATGGCCAAATTAGAAAAAGAAAGAAAATATAGTCAAATAATATAAGGAAAGTCAAAAAATTTATTTGTTTAATGTTATGTATGTATCTAATAATAAGTATTATTGCAGAAAATCAAACTGATGGAAAATGAATCTATAGGTATACACATACATAAGTGGATGATCACATTCTAGCTATTCTTTTTTTTTTCTTTTGCTAATTATCTTTACGTTCAAATCTCATATACAATAATTGGTAATCTTCTAAATCGTATATAATCTTGTCATGTTTTTGATAGTGTGGAATCATCTTAGATATATTCAATAGTTTTTGGAAATTCATGTTCTTTTCTGACTTCGCAAAAAATGTCAAACAGAACTCATTTGGTTGGAACACGTTTAAAACCTTGTTTAAAACTTCAATGTTATCTTGTCTATCATCAGAGATCGAAGTTACCGGCACATTACTCTCAAACGAGGCATATGACCAGCCTTTCTCCGGAGTAACATGTAATGTATAATAATATTCATTATCTAAAATCATATTGGATGAATAACCACATGGTGAAAACGCAAATGCATCGTGTACAAACGAATCACTTTTATCCGTGCATTGGTATATCTTGTTTAATCCTGTCTGTTCAGTCATATTGGAACCCAGCAAATGGCCTTCGTCATCTGCAGCTTCTTCTGGTTTCTTATCACACACTTCTTGTTCACTATTTATAGTACGGTTCGAAACAAACTGTTCTGCACACGAGGGTTTCAATCCAGTCATCAATATTTCTAATGTCTCATCTTCTTCTTCCTTTACAATCCCCATTTGTTCTGCTTTTTTTGTATCCGTTACGAAGAGATTCCAATGCTTTCCTTTATCATATCTCCCGACTACATACGCCTTCCCGTTACAAAAGAAATTGTTTAAATACTCCACTTCGTCTGCCCAATTCTTATGGATCGATTTCTGTTTGGATGGGAACATAAATGCTCTACGAGAATAAAATACTTTGTAAGGTTCAAATTTATCCTTATTATCGCCACACTTGTCTTTACCACATCTGAAACTCCAGCCGAGATCCCTCTCGAGCACTTCAAACAGATAAGGCAAACACAACAACGTGGTAGTGGTGCCGCATGTCTTCAAAATCAACCTGTGGTCGTACACAAAGAGGGAGGACTCACTTAACAGAAACGCATTCATTACTGGGGTGTCCTTAATGGAAAGGATCTCGCACTTGACTAAGTTTAAGATCTGGATCCAGGTTTCCACCGGGATGTCTCTTAGTGTCAATTTCTGGCCGTTTGGATTGGCTGGGATATGGTTTTTGTCACAGTAGAACCAGATCTCTAACAGCTTTTCTGGGCCCTCGAAGGCTTCGGTGGAGTCTAGCGTGGCCGATAATTGATGATCTACGTAGGAATGGTTGGTCAATTCTTTGATGGAAATTGTCATATTTGCTTAATGTTTGTTCTTGTCAATTCACAAAACGGGTATATGTAGAATGAATAGGCAGAGATGGATGAAAAGAAACTAGGTACTGATAGAGGAAAGTTGGTTGTGAGTGGTGGTGGTGGTGGCGGATGGATCGATAGATAGATGGGAAAAAATAAAATCACCACTTTATGTAAAACAGTATTTATATGATAACGTTGGTGGTTTACAGTTTCTTGGAGGATATATGCTGTTTTGAATATAGAGACAGATGGTATAAATACTAACAATGCGAATGCAAGACATTTATAATGCTTGTAAACTAATTGAACTTATTAAGTTAACACTAAAACGAATCAAAAAAAAAAAAATTGTATTACCAAAATACGGGAGAGATGAGATGTCCTATTTGTTCCAAACACTAGAGAAATGAGTTAAAAAAAAAAATTTTTTTTTTCACACGTTTAGTAGAAAGGGAGGGGAAAGAGAAGAAAAAAAAAAAAGAAAGAAAAAATTGTCGAGATGGGGAAAGCAAAACTGAAAACAGAAAATGCACTCTGTTTGTGCTCAAAAGACCTCAGTTACCAAACAAGCAATGGACACAAATACGGGAATGTTAAGCGTCTTCCACATAGACTGTTTTCATTGCTATTGATAATGCCAGAAACATTTGATTCTGAGCAAATATTGTGTACGTAAGATCCTTGTACACTTGTGAGGTATTCATAGCAGTATGTACCCTGCTGTATATATTGTGCGGACGTGTGTAGATGGATACAAGGATTAAAAATAATCCAAAAAGGCTATTTGGTGATCCCGAATAATATACGTATACACACACATGTATATATTTATATATTTAATGAATAAAATTCTTGTTTTTCTATAGGTTTTATTTCATTTTCTATATGAGAATATAGTTTCTTTTTTTTTTTTAGTTTTGAATATATTTAATGATATGTAGCAAAAGAATAAATATTACTCGTATATTCTTTCAAGTATTTTTAACATTTATGGAGGGAATAAAAAAAAGAGAAGTACCTTGTATTTTGTTCTTTTAGTGAATTATGTAGCTGATGTCCAATTTTATCACATATTTAAAGATGAAATTTTTTGAACTTACACCATTAGTGAGAAAAAGCTCTTTTATAACACAAGAATAACGTGAAAAAATATAATTGGAGATGAGGCTATTAATTTTGTTAGGACTATTGTACTGTTCTGTATCACAATCTAAATGAAGTATTGACATCTTACTATATTCATTACCATTTCATATTAGATAATCAGCATAAATATATTGAATAAAGTATCGGCAATCTAGAGGATCTCAATCCTTAAACGAGTGGCCATTTCAGTTTCGTTTTACAGTAAAAAAGAAAAGTGATAAAGTAATTGTTGAAGCATGATGTTCTAGAATGAAACAAACAGAGTGAACAGATTTCAGCCAGTATTGAACTACAACATGATGGGTGATTATGGTTTATATATCATTAAATGCAAATAAAACTATTTGATAAATTTTTATCATCCATAGAAGAGAACTATTCAACATATATATATATATAGATAGATGTAGATGTAGATGTAGATCTAAAGATTCCCTCATATCATTTTTTCTTTTTTATATAGATTTTTCATGTACATTGGTAGTTATATATCGTATATAAAAAAAATAAACAAACGGGTTTATTATGATTTTGTACATTATTAATTATATAATTATTCATAATTGAGAACGTATCAAACATATCAACTACATTCAAGTGTCAATTATCGATTGTAATTATTCAACAGTTGTATATATATAATATTGGTTTATTCAAGTTTGTCTTATTCTATTCTTGAGTAAGGGGTTATCTCAAGTAATATACTAAAATACGGGTATTAATTATATATATAACACTTACAAATTATATAATTGGTTGATTCTAACTATTAAATAGATTAGCCTTAGTTATTCATCTTATTATTCTTTTGATTAATCTATTAGATAGATTACGAATATTAATGCTGATAATTACCTCTGGTATTATCTTTCAATAATCAAGGGTGTCTTAAATAAACTTTTTAGTAATTTGCTACCAATGCCCATCCGAAGATCATTTGTTCGTTCTAATATACTTACGATATTTGGTCCAGAGTTTTGGTTGTTCCAAATTCTTCGCCTCGACATTAGGTGTTATCCGTAAACTATGTATTTCAGGGTTTCCAGCTAGGACTCCTTATATGATATACATATATATTATATAAAATAAATATTGATGAAGAGTCATTAAATATTAACCAACTCTTCAAACTAATGTATTACTAAACAACTAAGTTATTACAATAAACAACAATAGTGTAATTTGATAAGTCTTGGCGGAACCTTTAGAACAATACTTAATGATAATAATCAACTAACGTGTTATATTGGTTCGTGCAGTAACAATAAATTAATCTATAATTGTAAATCGCTTACAACATGATCATACTTAATTTTTGAGAACCCTGTTGTAGTATGGTGTGGTGAAGTTCTTTGTGTATTCCGGGGAAGCGCAAATAATATTAATAGTAATTCAAATAATCGAGACAGTAATCAACTATAGTCGATAGTATAATTACTAAAACGGTTTTATATATTAAGCGGCTTATATCGAGCTAATGTACTTATTCGAAGTTACTTGACTTGTTACTTGCTTGTTCTTTTTATTTATGTTGATATATAATATATATATTATTCACAAGAAACGGTTATGGAAGATGGTCTTTTATCTCCAGAAAACGTTGTCCTTTTATATGTTTTCTGGAGCTCGATCGATTATTCAGGTTAGTACATTAAATTAGTACATTAATAATCTGACTGGTTCAATCCTAAAATTTATTACATTAATTTAGTGGATTAGAACTGCATCCCAATTCTCTAATCATGGTGATTAGTAATACACGTGGGACTTAATAAAACAATAGGTAAATTCTAGATTTGCCAAGATCTTATGTAATCCAATCTTTTTATTATGCAGCATCTAATGTTGTAGCACATGTATGGCTTATTAATACACTAATTGGTTCTAGATTCATTCAGGATCTTATGTAATCTTGATGGTTATAACTATTCTATTCCACAACAAACCCTGAAGTTTCCGGGCGTGTGGCGTAGTTGGTAGCGCGCTCCCTTAGCATGGGAGAGGTCTTCGGTTCGATTCCGGACTCGTCCATTCGTCAAGTTTTTTCTTATTTTTTTATATTTTTAGTAAGAGCAGATATAAGTGTGAAAAAAAGTGGTAATAGCATTCGTATAACGTTTAACAAGTAGAATTGAAATTAATTGATTTATAATTTAAGTAGATAAAAAACACAGTTACTCTACCTTTGACTTGTAATAACATATATATATTGTTACCCTAAATTGCAACATCAACAAGTTCTATGTCAATTTAAAACATAAATAGACAAAGAGAAAATGTCATTTGGTGGTATTAATACATTCCAACAGTATTCAAATGATTATGGAATGGGTAATAATGGTGTGAAAATCACCTTTAATTATTTTGACGGTCTACCTGATCCAAATTTATTAAATGCTTTGAATTCTAATGATCTAAAATTAATATTTAAATCTCTTATGAAAAGAGATGACGTGACCAAGGAAAAGGCTGTAACTGATTTATTTGGTATCCTTACAGAAACAGATCACAAATTAGAGATGTTTGATGATATCTTTCTATTATGCTGGTCTCAAATTTATGCAAAATTAATTATTAATGAGTCCAAATCAATCCGATGCCTAAGTAATTCAATTACAATTATGTTGATTAAACAGTTAAATAAAAAAATTGGGAAATTTTTAAAAGATTTTATTCCCCTCGTATTAATGGGAACTTGTGATACGGATTTATATGTGAGCAAAAAGTGTACAAAAGAACTCTTGAATTGTTTTAACAATGATACTAAGAAGATTGATATGCTATGGACTATGTTCTATGAGCAAATTTTAAACTTATGTAAACAAGTTATTGTGATTGAAGAAATTGATACATTATCTGATGAACGTTATGTTAAAAAGGAAGAAGCAACCTTCAAATATAATAGAATATTATTGGAATCTGTTCATTTAATAATTTTATTATTACAGTCAAATCCAAAAGGAATAGAAGATTTTACCGAGATTTACCATGATATATTAAATGAAGAATCTTTATGGGGAAATATTAGTTTAAGTTCTGCTCAAAACACCAAGTTATTAGATAAGTTATTGAATTTAGTTAGAATCCTCTACAATAACCAATATTTGCTGAAGAATACAGATATTTTAAAAACTATTGTTAGGAGAATATTTAAAATTATGCGTCAAATTTCTTCAAAGAATATTTTGAGTTTTAATTCTGTTGTACCATCTATTATAAATACAGTTTCATTATTAAGCGACTATAAAAATGGAAAATTATGGTCTTATGATAAAAAGTCAAAGATTAGTATACTGAATTTACTATCTGTAGCTATATATCAACCAGTTCCAAATCTTTATGCATCAATGAATAAATTATTCAATAAAATAACAGCATACGAATTATTTGATTTTTCAACAGAATTACTGCCTATCTGGCAAGAAGCATTAACAGTATTGAATACAAAATCCTTTTTGGGTAAATATTGTTCTCAGTTGATTCAGGAATTTTGGAGAAATTATATATCATTTCTTGAAAATTCTCCAGATGATTTGCAACAAAAAATCATAAATGATGGTATTTTTGCCACTCTAAAAAGTAAGGTATCCTTATGTCAATCACATGAGCTGTGTAAACTATTTTCTCAGTATTGTGGACTATTTGAACTAGAAAATAATATAAAATTGATTTGTGATCCCAAAAGATCTATGAATGAAGAAGATTTTAAAGGGGAAGAAAATTACTTAACTAATATGATGGTTCTACTTTCAAATGTTCCAGCAAATGAACAGACTATTACTGACTTAGCAAATTGGGCATTGGATACAATTTCCAATGACAATTCTACAATTTTTATGGAGAATCAACATATCTTAAATTTATTTATTTTTGTTATTGATACCAATAATACTATTTTAAAAAACGAAATCTCAAGATTAATTTATGAGCTGCCTCTATGGTTGGAAAATTCAACATTTGATGTATTAGCAAATGTAATTATCAAGTATTCTAATTCAAAGTTCATTGATTTGAATGAAGAATGGTTGAATAATTTACAAGATTTTTTTACTTCTGCTTTATCTCTTGATATTTCAAAATCTAAAATCATTGATCTTTTAGATCAATTAAATCCAGATAAATTAAGAGACTTCCTGGCATCCTCAAATGGTTTAGAAGTTAATTTTTTTATATCATCTTATCTAAAATCCTACTGTTTCAAAGATAATGGTGCATTTTTAAAGAGTCATCTATTCAAAATTAATTATGTTCCACAGTTGTATACTAATACCAAACATAATAATAGGTTGGATATATTATACAACATTTTTCCTCAGCTAAAAAAAGCTATTCAGATTGCCTTCTTAACTGCAACAACTTTCTTCACCGATATACTATTGGAAAATGTATTAGAGACCCATGAGGATATTAAAAATACAATTTTGCTACTTTCAAAGAATGATGATAACATAGCACAAGTACTAGCCAATGGCATTATGGATTTTGTTGGTTATTCAAGTATTGATTCTAAATTTATTCAGTTTACCTTTGAGTTGATAAACAACAATATTTCAATTTTAGATACTATAATTCCTGAAAATTTAGGCGATGTTTTCTTCAAAAAAGTTTCTTTTATAGATTATAGATGTTCTCTAAGCAATCCATTGGGTTCTAATTTATTTCTGCTTCCTGTTAATACAAAATCTTTTGATCTTTCAGAAATAAGAAGCTTGCTTAATTATGGGTTATTTTTAGATAGGATCATGGCGCAGTTTTCAGAATATTTAGACGATAATTGTATTGTATTTCTATCTTTAATAGTTGAATTAGCAATCGATTATAATTACATTTGTGAAATTGCTGACGATACTTTTTATGATATTAAAAATACTGTTTTTAAAGCGGATCATACTTTGTTTGATTTTAGTGAAATGTTAGAAAAAATGGTTGTTGGACCTAGTGATGGTAATAATGTTATTTTGAATTGTCTTATAAAAGAAGCAAATCCGGTTCTAGCTTATTATAAGTCTAGAATAATCCATCGACTATTAATGAATTCATTGGATTTGGTTTCCCCATCCGCACTAGCAAGTAAAATTCCACTAATAGAAAAATACGTAAGTTCAGTTATTAGAGGTAAAGAATCTACAGATTCAATGTATTTGCATTCTGCAGTAATTTTATCAGTTGTAAATAATTATGCAGTGGATGATTCATTAATAAAGTTGAGAACATTACTATCCTCCGAGTGTATTGGAGTAAGACCTTCAGAGTTGGTTAATAAGAGTTATAAAATATTATTATTATTGAATAATTTATTGGAGTTCCAAGAAACTGATACCAACGAGTCATTTATGCCCATTGCTCCCCAGAGATTAACTATTATTTTAAAAACTATTAATCAATGGTTAGATAGTGAGATTGCTTATGATGATGAGTTTTTAACTTTAAGAATTGGACTGTTAAGATTCTTTAGTTGTATTTTATCAATTCCTCAAATTAGAACTATAGGAGACATTATAAACAATATTGCTATTAGATTGTTGACAGATTCGATAAGTATGTGCCAAATAGATGAAACTTTGCTTTTGTTCCATCTTCGCTTGGAATGTTTACACTTAAATGACATTATGTCCAAATTTAATTTAATAACCGAAAATGAGACAATTGAAGAGTTAGCTAACATGCTTTCAGAAATGGCTATGCATACCTACCACAATGAACAAAACAACCAAATATCTCGTTCGTTTTACAGCTCTCTTACAAAACAGCTCTTATCAATAAAATCAAAATATTTATTAACCTTATATAGTCAGTTTTTCGCTGGTTATATGGGACAAAACATAAATCAAAATGTAAATCAAAAACGACTTTTGATGACTTTATTACTAAGGCTCATCTACGAAAAACAACAAGAAAAAGTCATCGAATTTGAATTACAGAAACAATCTGTATCTCAATCGACAGATGAAATGCTTGAGCATCATGAGGAAGTGGAGGAAGAAAAGAAAGAAAATATGAATGAGTATAAAATACCAACTGAATTGATTAATTCTTTACATCAAAATATTCCTACAGAGTATTTAGAATATGATAATGAATACGATTTCATTAAGTACTTATGGGACTGGGTGCTTACATTAACATACTTTAAAGATGTATCTTATAAAATGCGTCAAATATATATTGATCAACTTAAAGATCATGACTTAATAAAAAAAATGTTTGATTTTATAACGGAGCAAATCAACTTTGAGGATAAAGACTTTTGGAAGGATATATCAGAATCTGATATAAGACAATATGATCCAAGTAACAACGATTTTTCTCCTTATAAAGATGATATTACCTTAGAGTGTCATAAATTACTAAGTTATTTACTTTATGAATTGTTTAATAATGTTGGGTCATTAACAAGCAATTGGTTCTTAAATATTCGTAGTAGATCAGAACAACAAGCCATTGAAAAATTTGTATCTACCAAAATTTCACCCATTTTGATAAAAGATGAATTAGATAAGGTGGAGAAAAAGCTAGATTATTTGACTTCAAAAGATGATGATTTGACAATTAAAATCAATCGTATCACCAACGAAACTAAAGCAAGCTATTTAATTGATGAACAAAAGTTAGAACTGGCCTTTAAATTGCCTTCTAACTACCCATTATCAAATATTCAAGTAATCGGCGTCTCTCGTGTCGGCATAAGTGAACAGAAATGGAAACAGTGGATAATGTCAACTCAGCATGTTATTACGGGTATGAATGGCTCTGTGTTAGATTCTCTGGAATTATTTACAAAAAATGTTCATTTACAATTTTCAGGATTTGAAGAATGTGCTATCTGTTATTCTATATTACATGCGGTAGATAGAAAGCTGCCAAATAAGACTTGTCCAACTTGTAAGAACAGATTCCACGGTGCATGTCTTTACAAATGGTTTAGATCTTCTGGTAATAACACTTGTCCATTGTGTCGTACTGAGATCGCTTTTAGAAGATAATTTGATATTTATGGAACTTAACATATAAAATCATTCTTCTCCAATGACGTAGACCTATGGATAATGTATATATTCATATTTATATTTATCTCATTTTTTAACTTTCAAAACTTTCATTTCACCTCTTCATCTTCCTCTTTGACTGAATTTTCTTCATTTTCGCTCAAAGGGGATTTTGTAAAAAAAAAATTACCTGATGTCATCGGTGAAAAATACGTATAAATAACATAAGAAAATTTCAAACATAAGAGATGGATCTACAAAGAGAACAACGTTGGCTGGATCTATGAAAGAGATAACGATATAGTAACGCCTTTTGGACGAGAAGTGATTAAAGTAGTTCAAAATGATATTATTATCTAAAAGAAAATTAAGACCAATATTAGGTATTATTATCATATTTTTGGTAATTTATTATTTTTCGAGGACAGTAGTTCAATTTCAATTGAATCAACAAGTTGAATATTATAGAAATTATTTTAACAAAAATAGAGATAATCTACAAAGAGAGTTTAACCCCTTAGAAATTAAACAGATACCTGGTCCTGTTATCGATGCATTATACAAGAAGAGACAAACTGATGTGATCAGTCAAAAGGCAGATCCTATAGACTGGGATCGCTATGCATATGTTAACTATGTTGCTGAAAGAGATTATCTTTGTAATACATTGATTATGTTTAAAATGCTAAAGGAAGATTACAAAACGAAGGCAAAATTGGTCTTGTTGATTACGACAGATGTTGTGTCTAGTGTAGAAGGTTCCAGTGCTTTGTTAGATAAAATAAAAGAATTAGATAATGATCAAGTGATAGTTAAATTTATGGAACCTATCTCTAAGGAGGATGATCAAACTACATGGAAGAATAGTTTGTCTAAATTAGAAATTTTTAATTTAACTGAATATGAAAGGATTATTTATTTAGACAATGATGCTAATTTGAATGGTAATCTCGATGAGTTATTTTTCCTACCAGATTATGTAAAATTCGCTGCTACTGTGACATATTGGAATTTAAAGGAATCAGACCTTAAAAAGGCTTATAAAGAAGTATTCCATATGAAGAATCCAATTAATATAAATAAATATATAGAGAGGTGTGTTACAAGGCTTCAAAATGGAAAAATGATTTACAATCATTTGCCCAATTTACCACACACATTATATCTGAATTCAGAGAATATTGGTGATGATATCTTAAAGACAAGAACTGTGTTCTCCTTGTCTAGGTTATTTCATACTGTTAAGCCAAGTAAAGTTAAATGGGCTTCAGATTTAATGGTAATCAAACCATCTAACGAGACATATACTTATATCCGTGATGTGATATTACCTTACAATATCAATACTAAAGGAGTATATGACATGGATGTGGTCAATGAATATCTTTATAACATGAAACAATTAATTTATGATCATTTTTCTGTTTTGAAAAGTATTAAACACCAATATGTTCCTGAAGTCATGGTTCTACCATTTAGTAGATATGGGTTGCTATCAGGTTCGATTAAGCACAAAGAGCAACATGATATGTTAAAAAATGATATGTTAGGATATCGTTATTTGAATTCTGAGGGTGAATATGCAGCAAATGATTTAAAAACTGTAGTCGAGGAGGCTAAATATATCCATTATTCAGATTATCCAATTGGAAAGCCTTGGCAATATGCGACAAAGGATGGTCTTGAATGTAAAGTTAAAGAACATTCAAAAGAGAAGGAACATGAACAAGAAATGTGTAATATATGGAATTCTGTGGTATTGCCATATTTTGATAAGAAAATTATATGTTCTTAATTTGAAATCTAAGCTAATAAATATGTTTTTTAGACAATTGTAAAAAAATATTACTCAATTACAGTGCAAAAAGATTCGTATACAACCATATATATTTCAGATACAATTAAGTATTTTTTTACCTTTATAGATGTTGATATATTTATGATTGGAAATACTACTAGTAAAAATTCAAAGTTTTATTTAAGAATATCAAGATAATTGAAGCAAAGTCTTGGTAGATAGCCATTTTGAATTTGGAATAAACAACAACACCACGTCATAGTCGGATCACATGGAACAATTGGACCAACTCAGTATGAAAGGTAAGTACTTAATAATAATATTTTCACTATCATGCATGTCATTGTCTTGCTGATGGGAAATGAGGGATTACTAGAAGCAAAAATAGGCGGTATCTAACGGAATAATTCCGAATAGTAGGTTTTTATGGAATTTATTTTTTGAGAGGCCGCATGTTTACTTTTTCGGAAATTTTGTAAAAAAGACGAAAATAAATTAAAACAAAATGGAAAAAAAATTTTTTCACCTTTCAATACAAACATATAAAAAGAACATTGGAGTAATTGTAGAGGCATCACAGATGAAAAAGATTTTGTTTTTAGCTACTCTTGTTGGTTGTATATCATTCTTTGATTTTTTTCAGACTTGCATTGTTATTCCTTTATTTTTTGAAAGAGAATCGTTCAAAAAACGATGGAATTCTATGGATATATTAATAGCAATTTTGTGTATCGTCTCTGTGGTAGTGTTTTCTTAGAGTAAACCTGGAAAAAGTTGTATTGGGTGAGAAGATATAGTTCATTGTCAAATCTCTTTTATTGACGGTTTATATATATTTACTAATGCTTGATCGTTTCAATAAGGGAAGAAACTGAGGAGGAATATGTGAATAGAAGGAAGGTATAAAGTGTCAATTTGGGGTTATTAAGTCTGTTTTCTCCGTTTTGTATCATTAGGATTCGCTATAAATTGGTATGTTGTTGAGTTTTTCAATGATTTACTATTATGGTTAATGACATACTGTGGTCTCATTAATATGTTTCATAGCTCGCACCTCCATAGTTATGCATGTTGATGGTCCAAATTTAAGGTATGTTATAGAATTCAATATATTTAAATAGAGAATGGACTCATTTACCCATTTTCGATTATCTTTTCATAGTAAAGCCATTCTTTTATTTTCATACTTTTATTCCCCAATTTCTTCACTGTTATCGTTGGAACAAATCTTCGTGTTAATAATATATATGAACAGGCAATATCTAGAGGAGTGAATGTATTTTTTTTTTCAATTATACTTTTTTTTCAAATCATTGACAATACTTCATTTAAAATTGTTATTTTAATAGATTTATGGTTAAAAGAAGTCGAAGAATCAAACATCCCGTTTAATCGCTCATTTACCTTTTACATTTTGTATTCTATGGTAACATGTAGTTTCATACCCGGGAGAAATATGATGCCATGTGTGACTATGTCTTTTTTCTTGTCTCTTGAGTACTCATGTATACTTTTAAAACCTAAATAATTAACAGAATAGTAGCGGTAATCCTTTACCTGCGTATATGGCGATAAAAACTTCTTTACTGAATATCGGATCTACATTCGTCCTTGTATAACTCTAAATAAATAATTCGGAATGTGGAAATAGAAGAAAATAATGACAACACTTTGTTCTTATGCATAAAAAGTGAGGTGGGTATATATATATATATATTATCAGGAGCTAGAACGTATATAATAATGCATAAAAACAAAAATATATCATTTAATATTTATAAGAAATGAAAAGATGAAAGTGAGTAATGCAATTTATTTATTCTTTTTAATTTTTTTTTATTTGGAAATACCATAAATAGAATCAACATCAGTTTTAACAGCAGCTAAAATATCTTTCCTCTTCAATTTTTGTGCAGAGGTCACAAAGCCATTTTCAGGTGTCCATTCTTCACCAGAGATGGCAATACCTTGCAACAATTCAATACCGTTCAAGCCTTGTGTCTTCCCTGTTTGCAACATATCATCTAAAATGGCATTTCTTAACCTTATATCGTGAACGTGGTCCTCTAAATCCTCATCTGGCTTCATAACGCCCAATTGGACAGCTAGTTCTGATACTACTGGGAACACAGGAACAATGATACCAACTGGTTTGACTTGATTTTGATCAGCATGGACACAAATATTTTGGACATATTTGTTTGACCTGTAAATGGCCTCTAATTTTTCCAGTGCTACATATTCACCATTTAAGGTCTTCACCAGATTTTTCTTTCTATCAATAATTTTCAGTTGACCCTTTGAAGTCCATTCCCCAATATCACCAGTCTTAAACCATCCATCAGGTGTCAGGACACTATTTGTCTCTTCTGGGTTCTTATAGTATTCAGAAAGAACAGGTGCACCCTTTAGCCAAATTTCACCTTGATTATTCTTTGCATAATAACCCAATTCATCGACGTCTACCAACTTAGCTGTAATGGAACCAGTTAAATCACCTGCAACATCGTATTCAAAGTGTTCGGGTGGCAAGACAGCAGCACATGCAACAGTTTCAGTTAAACCATAACCGACTAACATTGGGCATAACACATTAGTCAAGAATTCCTGAGCATCATGGCTTAAAGCGGACCCACCATTGCACATATATTTCAGTTGGCCACCAGTAGCTTGTTTAATTTTTTTGAAGATTATATTACCAATTGTATTACCGCCGGGTAGGTTCCATTTATTTAACTTCAATTTAGTGTAATAAGCTGTCCAAAAGATCTTTTGTGTAATCTTTGGTAGTGCATTGATTTGTTGAAGAATACCTTTTCTAATAGTTTCCCAAACGGCAGCAACACCGACCATCAATGTTGGTCTAAATTCTTGGATATCACCTTTACAGTTGCGTACTGAGGTGGAGGATATCGTTTTAACATTTGCATAACCAATAACTGCACCCCAATAGAACCCGACTAATTCAAAGACCAATTCAAAGATGTGAGCTAAAGGTAAAAATGCAATGACTCTGTGGTTTTTATTGACAAAATCATCTACAACGTTGTGAGAAACACCAGCTACACCAGCAATAATATTTGAATGTTTAAGAACGACACCCTTTGGATCTCCAGTAGAACCTGAGGTATACATGATACAAGACAAATCATCAGGTTTTGGTGGATGAGGATCAATTTCATTTATAGCAGATTTACCAATTGAAACGATTTCATCGAAGGAGTAAAACTTGATATCAGGTCTAACATTTTTTATTTTATCAAAGGCTTCCTTTGCTTCAGAATATAATTTACCTCCAAATCTTTTGTCATTTGGATCCATCTTCTCATTATAAATAATATATTTGATTTTCCCCGTTCTTTCTATATTGGATAAAGGATTGATCAGTTTAACTAAAAGATTGTTGTCTGTGAAAATTGCAGTTGATTCGGTCTGCCAAATGGAGTGAGTCAAACCACTTTCACCTAAAGTGTCATATGCAGTTACAATTGGGATAGATTGTGATTGAGAACCTAGATACATTTTCATCCATTTATGCGAGGTGGATGCAAAGATATGTAATTTATCCTCACTTTCAGGAACCAACCCAATTTTGACTAACCCACGGCCAACGTTATGCAATATTTCAAGTACTTCTTTACAAGTTTCATATTTATAGGGTGATAGTTCCCAATATAGCCATTTTTTTTCTTGTTGAACAGTTTTACCGCCGACCTTCTTATTTATAAGTTTTGTCTCTTCATGTATATCTATTATTGATCTATAACCCATAGCTAATTTATTCTTATTTTTATTGAAACATTCAACTACAAATTCATAAACGGTACTACATTTCATTCCAAGGGGACGAACTAATGGGGCCTTAGCGACTTTTGCGTTTCTTCTTTCACCAGTTTCATGGATATTTTTAGGTGGAGCCACCTCTACGTTATATTGTTTCATTTTGATCTAATAAATGTATATATCTATATGTATATGTATGTATGTATGTATTTCTGTATGTGTGTTTCTCAGAATGAATAGGTTTGTGGTTTTTTTTTTTTCTTTTTTGTTACGTGGAATTGTTGCGTGTTGAAAGTGAACAGCGAGGAGACAAACCTGTCTGAAGGAACGTGTATTTACATTCTCCAATACTTATCTTTAGTGGTTGATTTATATATAAAGATATTTATATATGATGGTGTGTATGTGTATATGTGTTATTATGCTTTGTTTAATATCTGATATTTTTTGATTTTTTTTTTTCTTTAAAGATATAGTAAAATAAAGGGAAGCCTATTTCTGACAAAAACAAAACAAAACAAAACAAAAGTGACAACAGATTGCAAAACAATAGTAGTGATAGGAAATCACAATAGGCACAGAAATAACAAAGAGAGGCAACAAAATACCGAAAGAATAGATGGGGTAGAGGAAACAATAGAAAACAGAATAAGTAGAAAACAATTCTTTTTTTCTGTTGAATTTTTCTTGTTTTTGTTTTATTTTTTTTTTATTTTTGTTGTTGGCGGCTGCTGCAAAAAAAAAAAAATTGCAATCGGCCGTAAGGATTTTGTCCAGGTTGTTTTTTTTTTTGTTTTGTTTTTTCGTTTTTCCGTTTTCCTGATTTTGGTTTTCTTGGTTTGTTGCTGTTTGATGCTGCTTTTTCACGTATTTGAAATATCTTTTACTTAGGGTTCAGCATTTTATGCTGTTTATTGGATTTTTTTTCTCTTCTTATCTGTTCCTTTGAAACTGGATTAGGTTCAGGAACTTTTGTTTTTTTTTTTTTTTTTGAGTGTGACTGTGCAAGTCAATGATAAAGATTATACAACCCTAGTCGAAAGATTATAAAAAAAAAAAGTTTAACTAGGTTTCAAACTATTATTTGTATTATACCCATCAGCAAAGGGTTATAATCAGTCAATCTGAGATAGGAAAATTGTATTCAGTGATTTTCTTTCCCCTCCGCCCCTACTCGTTTGGCTTGTAGAGTCTCTTTTGAAGGCTCGATGCAACATACTCTAGTCAAACAAAACTAGACAAGACAAAACAAAACAAGCAAAAGGAACCAAAAAAAAAATGAGAGAGAGAGAGAGAACCGATATTTTCCGCAACCAACAGTGGGAATTGTAGAGTGCGAATAATAACAAAGTGGTAAATTTTTTTGTTTTAGTCTTGGGGATTATAACGCAGTAACAGAAAGTTTTCTGCATTTTTCAAACCAACCGAAAATAAAAATTAAAGCCGGTGAAATTTTCCCAACAAATTCCAACAAAATTTAGAAAGCTTGCAGAAAAAAAATAAAGGAAAAAAAAAAAACAAAGGAAATATAAAAAAAAAATAAAACAATCGAAGAGTGTTTTCGTTGTCATGGTAACAGAGAACTTGGGGTTTTGTCATGTTTCACGTATCAAAAGAAAAAATTAAATAAATAAATAAATAAAGGAAAGAAAAAGAGTTGTTTTTTTGTAATATAATCCAATGCGGATTTCCAACGGGTTTATATTCCGCAAAATTTAATTAAACTGTCTTTCGAGATTTTTTTTTTTTTTTGGAATCCTGATCAGTCGGAAATAACATAGTAAAAAGGAGCATAAAGAAAAAATACATAGAGGAAGATAATGCAGAAGCTCCTTTTTATTCTTTTTAAGTATGCCAATATTTCTTAACACTATGTTGTTAACATTCGAAACTGGAAATATTCGTTAATATTGAGCATGTATATATATATATACATATATTTCCAGAAATAAGCAACTATTTTAAACATTAACACTGAATAATTATTGAAAATGGTTCTATCATTTTTTCAGAGAAAAGAAACAAATCAAGTTCCAAACACAAGATCACAACGTGTTAAATGCTGGGAAAGTAGAGATCAATTTTTTGCATGTTTAGATAAAATTCAAGTGATAGATTCACTATCTCCAGTTAATCAAGATAAAGTTAAAAAGAATTGTTCCGAGGAATTCAATAATTTCAATAAAGAGTGTATTAATAGTTGGATTCAATATTTTCAAAAGAAAAGGATAACAGATTGGGAAAAATCACAATATGTTATGTCTATTGAAAAAGATTCAAATAATGAAACTACAACTACAAAAAAAATAAATAAATGAAAAAAAATATATATATACATAATTGTACTTATTAAAAAGAAACAAGGATAAACTTAAAGTCATGGTATTTTATTTATTTATTTATTTATTTATTTTCGTTTTATCATATTTTTCTTGTATATAACATTTTGTTCTATAACGTAGTAGTTATTACCTATAGATTACATATATATTCAAATAAAGGAACACACTATATGTTGTAGTTTTATCTATTTATTTCTATATATGATACATGTGTTGATAGTATTTCTTTTTTTTTTTTTCTTCCTTGTTCATCTTTTTTTTCTTTTCCTCCCCTGATTTTTTCTTTAAAAATAAGAAAAGAAAAAGTATAATATACATAAAAATATAGTATAGTATAACATGATATAAAGTAATATTCTTAATGAGACTACAAATCACAAAAACTTATATAAGTTACTCTATTATTCTTTTACATATTACATTTTGTTCTTTTTAGTCTGGCTGTTTTTTTTTATTTGAAATTTTAACATAAACTGTATGTATATATATATATATTGAAACTGATATCAAAATATATGTTTTTACTTATTTATTATATTTGTTATTTATTTTGACACTGTGACAGTTTTGAACACAGTATGTGTTATAGTTGCTCTTTGATGCTCATGACTGACACTGCTAGTCACATTACCGATCTTATATGTTTCATCTCTTTTCATTTGAGCTGTTGCATCACTACTTGTAGATTTAGCCGTTTCACCTGCCTCTCCTCCTCCACCTGAGCCAATTGCAAATACTTCGATTTTGGCTTTTGAATAATTTTTGGCTGTAACTACACAGAATGCTCCGCCACCGGCACCCTCGCTAGTTGTATCACTTGTTACCCCATTGACACCAACTACGCTTGGATCAATTGAGCATGGCAATCCTTCACAGGAATCCGGATCATCACAAGTTATCCGGACCCCGAAACTAGGAGTTTTGTCTCTAAATGGGCACGAAGTTTCCAAGTATACGGGGTTCCAACCAATTTTGACAAAAGTATTGCCACTTGCATCCATATTGGCACCTGCCACGTATGGGGCCCAATTACCCCATGGATGAGAAAGGTCTCCCCATTTACAACCGTTTTCAACAGTGACACCGGGAGGGTTGATATAATAATGTGCGGCAGTGCATGCCCAATATTCTGGCCCAGGCACTGCCAAGGTCTCTGTATCGGCCACTAATGTTGGGATCAACATTTCTTCATTTCCTGGCAACACAGTTTGGCAAAAGGCCACAGAACCGTCATTGCTGCATTGGTTTTGCACATAGACGGTCCCTTTACCCTCGTAACAATAAGGTTTATTTTTGAATGGGGTCTTTAGAGTTCCATCTTCTTGACAATATAGTCCACCATATTGTGATCCTGGATACGTGTAAGAAGTGACGGAGGGGTCCCATTGTCCCATTAGTTGGCCAGGTTCACATGCATAAGGACACCATGTTCCAGGATCACAAGCTTGATCGAAATGCATTGCCCAACCGGCATTTGCACCAGATTCCTGTACTGCTACCATCCCTTCGTAATATGGGAAGGCACATGTTCTACCACCACGTTTGTAATGTTTATGGACGTGATGGTCTTCGGTTTCATTAATTTCCAGATTAATGAGAGCATTAACTATAGTGGATATTGGAGCTAATATAGTCACTAGAACAACAGTCCTATGGAGTAACATTATTTAAAAAAAAAAAAGTAAAAAATAAAAAATAAAAAATAAAAAAAATTTTGTGTGGATTTTATTACTGTTAATTTGTATTTATTTGAAGAAGTGTATATAAAAAAGTAATAATTAAAGAAGGAATGTGTGGTTGAAAAAAAAAAAAAAAAGTAGGGACGAGAGATATCTGACTTACTTTGGTAGTTTAATCTTTTTCTTTAACGACTTCTTTCCAAAAAGAAAAAAAAAATAATAATAATTAAATAACTAAGATGTATTTTAAGTATTAAAAGTGATATTTATATATCACTTAACAATGATGATTAGGAATAACAGCCCTTCATTTTTTTCAGGCTTCATTTTTTTTTATTGTTATGGTTGTTTTTACTTAATGGTAAATGTATTCTTTTAATAAACAAAAACTTATTAAAACTATATAGACAATATGTTTAATGTGAATCGACTGTATTGTGTATTTATTGATTTTTTTTTTATTTAGTTAGTTATTCTTTTATTCTTTTATTTATTTATTTATTTATTTATTTATTTATTTTGACTAGTACGGTATATTTTATCATTTACTGACACCTATATCCCGTTGCATCATTTTTTGTTTTGTTAAAAAGTTGATCACAGTGTTCCATGAAAAACATCAAAAACATATTTTCTTTTAAAAAAATGCAGGAAAGAAATTTAAAGGACAATGGATATTCAGAAGAAGAAAAAAAAAATGCACAATATCTAAAAACTTGCGAAATACAATAATATTGTATTGGATGATGGCTGATCTAGATTTTACAACAATATACAGCATGTACCCTTCATTATTTAATAAGTAAGAATAAATATTTTAGTTTTCTCATTTTTTTTTTTCATTTATGCCAGATCAAATTAAGGGGATAATTATATCCAACTCAAATGAATGTACTATTTTAACCAAGCAAAAAAGAATCTGTTCATTCTGTGTATTACACAATACTTAGACCATTGACAACCCTGTACTCACAGAAAAAAAAATTACATTTTCGGCACAAGAGAGATTATAATATTTAGGGAAAAACAATTGCAACTGTCTTTAAGAAGGGTCACTTCGGGCAAATCTACAATAATGAATTATAATGAATTAGGTACAATGACTTCTTATAAGCCATACATTAGAGCTTTCTATCTGACTTTTTTTTTTCTTTTTTGTTAAAAAACCAAAGAGAAAAAAGAGAAAAACTTACCAGAACGTACATTGGCACCATCTCTCTTTCTCTTTTCAAAGATGTATCTTCTCTTTCTTCTTGGAACACAAACACAATGTCTCATACCTCCCAAGAGATAATTTCTTGTGGTGTTAGTTGTAAAGTGCAAGCAGCGGTTCTGTACTTAAAGAAAAAGAGAAAGAAAAAGAAAAAAGACAAACCGTGTCTAACGATCTTGTGGATAATGTTTTAGGGGAGTTTTTGATCTCTACAGGTAACTGCTATTGTTATTGTCGTTGTTATTATTACAATTTCGCACCTTGTTTTCTTTTCTTTTTTTTTTTTCTTTGTGGCAAGAAAGTTAAAAGATTGAAGATGAAAAATATAAAATAAAATAAAGTAAAAAAAAAAAAGGAATACAAGCTGGAAATATATTCTAAACGAAAATAAAAGAGGGAGACAAAGAAGAAGGAAAAAAGAAAGAAAGAAAAAAAAAAAGAAAAAAAGAAGGATAAAGATAAAGAGAAAGCTCGGTGTGTAAATACAAGATTGCTTGAGTATATTAAGAGCATTCTTTTTGTGGTCCGACAGGTTGAATCTGACTCATTACAAGGTAAACCCATTGAACATTTGGCTAGCACATTCCTTGAGTCGCTATAAACAATCACACATTTGAATATATATATATATATATATATATATATATATTGGTTTGTATACCTTGATTTGATTTAGAAACATCATTATCATCATTTTCCTCTTCTTCATCTTTTTTTTGTTTGGTTTGGTATTTTATACATATCAATCAATCAAGGTAGAAAAAAGAAAACCAAGGTGAAAAAAAAATTAGCTAAAAGGCATATGACTATTAAAGATTGAAAAGAAAAAAAGAAGAAAATAATATCAATATTCTGCTGATGTCAGGAGGGAAACAAATACGTATTACAGCACTTTTGGTGCTAGACACAATTTTTTTCTTACTAGAAATTATCATTGGTTATATGTCCCATTCTCTAGCTCTAATTGCCGATTCATTCCATATGTTAAATGATATATTCTCCTTATTGGTGGCCCTATGGGCCGTCAAAGTGGCTAAGGAGAGAGATCCTGATGCTAAATATACTTATGGATGGAAACGTGCAGAGATTCTTGGTGCTTTAGTCAATGCTGTGTTTTTAATCGCATTATGTTTTTCTATCTTCATTGAAGCATTACAAAGACTGATTCAACCAGAGGAGATTACTAATCCTAAGTTGGTCATGTATATCGGTATCACGGGGTTATTATCAAATTGTATTGGCTTACTCTTGTTTAGTGAGCACGACCACGGCCACAGTCATGGTCACAGTCATGGCCATTTCGATTTTCCTAGCGAAAACCAATTAACATCCCATTCACATTATCACCCTTCAGAAGATTTAGAATCTACTGCCGTCGACGATAGTGGCGATGAACACTCACACTCCCATTCCATAAATAGTAGTGTGGACACATTCGCTGTCACTGATAGAACTCTTCAAATGTTGTCGTCCGAACACACACCCCTACGGTCAAGAAATCATCCCACCGCCACTAAACAAAAGAAACAACGATCATTAAATATGCATGGGGTCTTTTTACATGTCCTTGGTGATGCCTTAGGCAACATTGGTGTTATCGTCGCTGCTTTGTTCATCTGGAAAACAGATTATTCCTGGAGATTTTACAGTGATCCAGTCGTCTCTTTGCTCATTACTGGTATCATCTTTGCCTCTGCTTTACCGTTGGCCCATAAAGCTTCACATATCCTGTTACAAGCCACACCAAAGAGTATCTCTGCAGAGATTATTCGTCAAAGAATTGAACAAATCCCAGGTGTGGTGGAGGTCCATGATTTCCATATTTGGAATTTGACGGAATCTATCACTATTGCATCTATTCATGTTAAATTGGATTTACCAGCAGAAAATTACATTGAGACTGCCAAATTAATAAGAAATTTGTTTCATGAATACGGTATCCATTCAGCTACCGTACAACCGGAATTTGTCTCTGGCAACGTTAATGAGACCACAAGAAGAAGATTTTCCATCATTGCAGGTGATGTAAGTGGATCTGGCATATCCTTAGTTTCTGGAGACAGCACTACAAAAATGAACAACAGTCACCAAAAGTCTTCTGTTAAGGACAGCACCTATGGGTCCACTTCTGCAGGTCGCTGTGTTATTGATAATGCTGTGAATTGTAGTCAAGAAAATTGTATGAACGAGTGATTGAGGTTGCTCGAAGAAAGTTTGGCTCTGATCCACGTCTAAACTAAAATTTCTATGTGAGATATATATTCAGATATGTAAATATAATTATTTTACTTTATTTTATTTTGTTTTGTTTTGTTCTTTCTTTTTTTTAGTTTTCTTTTTTTACATGTTGGTTGTTAGCGGCTAATTTGATCTTCTAATTTGATCAAAAGTGAAGGGCCAGTTGTAGAAGAAATTTCTCTAATACATGCAGTATATATACATATATGTACTATTACAGTATCCACAGATCTGATATTGTAGATCTATGTATAGTGTAGTAACAGAGCAGTTGTATATAAATGTGTGATTCAATATTTGTTACCTATCATATTAAACTTTTTCCTAGATCGCCACCAAGAAAATTGGAGATAAAATCTGATTTAGATTTTTTGACAACAGCAACAGCAACAAATAATAATAATAATAATAATAATAATAATAATAATAATAATAATAATAATAATAATAATAATAATGCTAAAAAAAAGCAAATTAATTTGATCTTTAAATCATCAAGAAAATTACGACAGTATCGATTAATACGATTTATATTCAACACATTCAATGAATTATTCTTTATAAGATTGAGTGTACTACTATGGAAGCAATGTAAGGATGATTCAATTACATCGAATATACATTGGTTACGAATATTAAAAATGATAGATCAAGGGTTTTATAATATTTTAAACATAACAGATCTATGGTTTATTGTCTTTGCTTTTCCAATTGTTTCATATGGAGATTCTTTATGGTTCAACATGAAGTTATTCTTTGGTAAAAAGATTAATAATTTGATAAAGGGTTGTCCGCCATTTGGTAAATGGTTTGGGGATAAAGTTTTTAAAAGATTGGATTTTATATTTTTACCAATATATTTATTTTTAATTAACTCAAAATTACTAAAGTGGAGGTTAAACTCTTTAAAGAACGATCAATCATTCTCAGAGACAAGTGGATTATTTAAGTTAATATATCTGATTTTAAGAATTAAATTATTACTATTTGATTATGTAATCAAATCAATTTTTTCGATATTTCGCAAACCATTGGATTATTTTATTCATATTAATAACCTATTAAATTATTATTTGTCACATCAAAACAGAATAAATTTGCAGAGTATATTAATGGTTATTCAAAGTGTTATAATTATATTATGGCTGGAATTGAAAGACTATTTTGGGAAAGAATCTGTAAGTTAAATGAAATATGGTATATATTTTATGCATTAATTTATTGGATACAGTAAGTTATAAAAATAATTTAAAATATTTGTTCTTTTTTTTTTTTACGTGAAGTTATTAATATTTACTATTTCACACTATGCATTAGGTTTTGTACATTTCTAGTTCAGAAGTTTTATTACATTTACAGATACGTAAAATATGTGAAAAAGATAAGTTGAAGTTATTTTTTTAATTTTTATAAAATTATTATATGTTCTCCCATATATTTGATATTATAAGAATATTACTTACTAATTAATTATATCTTTTTTTTTCCTCTTTTTTCCTTTTGTTTTTTATTCGTTGTTGTTGTTGTTGTTGTTATCACCGTTGTCGTTTTAATGTTTTTATGCCGGTTTATTTGTTACATTAATGCTTGGCAGTTGGAGCATCACCAGTCAACTTTGCAACAAATTCTCTTGCCATATCACCAAACCCAACCATGAATACAGTTTGCCAGATACCTAATCCAATTCTTGGGGTAATACCACGGTATAAACCTTTGACACCATTAGTTTGTAAAATGTATTTGAAAGTCTTGCCAACGGTCAAATCTTTAGGCCTATTTGGATCGGGAGTCTTGGACTGCATTTCAACTCTAATAACTTCAATTGGTTGATTCCAAGCACTTAACCCACCACCAATAGCACTAGCGAGGATCTTTTCGAAAGCGTTCAATTTGTCGTCTTTGTTTGTCTTCCCAGTAACTTTTCTAATACCATCTTCTACCAATCTAGAGAAACCAAAACGAGACCCCCAATTTGTCATTTGTCTAATAGCCACAGCATTAACACCTCTGTATATGCCTCTGATACCTTCTTTAGCCCAGATAGATCTAAATACATCCCATGAGGATTGAGTAGCGGCTGCCGACGCAGCGCCAAGTCCACCAATTGCTTTTTTCCTAGTGATTTCTACTGTCTTCATACAAGTACAGAAACCCATAGTCAAATAGGATTGTGCAATACCACCAGTGATACCACCAAGGATACCAGATCCAAAGTTGCCCAAGCCAAGTTTCTTATATCTGTATTCAGCTTCAGAAGCCACAAATAAAAGCACAGCACCTTTTGTAGACGCCTCAATCCAAGCCCATGGAATCAAACCTTGGTAGAAACCGAAGACACCGCCACGAGACCAGACAGTTTTGACAGAACTGGCAAAAGACAGGTTTCTGTTGGCTGCCATAGTGGTCTTGATGACTTCTAATGGTTGACCAAGAGTGGTCACTTCCGCCATATTAATACCAGCGCCTAAAAGGATATTGGAAAAGTTAATTTTCTTCTTAGTAACAGGTTGTTCGTTGCTCATTTCTTTGGACTAATTATTATTGCTATTGCTGTTGTTATTTGGTTGTATTTTGAGTCATCTTGAACCTTTGAGAAAAGAGTAACTATCCCTTCCTTTTTTTCTTAAAAAAAAAAAGATTCTTGAAGAAGGTCACAGGTACCTTATATAAATAGAATGAAAGAGAAGGTGAGCAAGTTTGATGCAACTGTTATTCAACTCGATTGATCTTCCTATTAGTTGTTCCTTCTTTCTGTGTATTGTGTTTCTTGCATTCATTACTCGATGAATTCCACCGGAAAAACAGAAAACAAAGAGCAGAAACGAAAAAGAAAAAAAAAATAAAGAGATGTTCTTTTTATTTGCTTTGAGACAGTTTTTGACACGAATTGGTCTTAGTTAGTAGTCTTTGATGGAAACACCAGGAGATGAGCACCAGAGTTCGTAGTTGATTTGTATTATGTTATCTCGTATCTGTCTGCAGCATTTCTGCATACATGTTAATAACGTGGTTTTTTAGGAAGAAAACAGAGAGTGTCTGTGTATGCGTGTGTACATATCTATGAATCTGTGGAGTGTTTATGTGTGGAAATATATACAAGGTAACTTTTGAAGGTTGTAAAAAGTACACAAATATACGTATATATAAATATATAGATATATAGATCTACAATTTGATATTGTTTGGCAGATACTTGTAGATATGACTAGGAAATCCAAAAAAGGTTTAAAAGGGAGGTCAATTGGTAACGATCAATCACTAGAGAATAAGGAATTGATTGAATTAATAGATGCCAGAAAATCACAACTTAATAAGCAAAATAAAGTATCAAAAGTGGTGAATGACCATAATAATAAAAATAAGAGCAAGAAGAAGAAGAGTAATCATGACAAAAATAAAGATCAAATGCATGGCGCATTCTTAAATGAGACGCGACTAATGGAACAATTTAGTACCATTTTTCAAAAATTTGAAATTCCAAAAGTTTCTAATGATGAACAAGTGAAACTAATACAAAATAATAAAAGAAAGCATAATAACGATAATAATGAAAATGAGATTGAAACTGAAAATGGGAAGAATAAATATGATGCAGTTATTGACTCTGTTAGACCTGATAAACAAGAAAATGACGAGAAGTATGAAGCAAATAAACCTGAACAACTTTCAAAAAGAAAGCTACGCAAATTGAACAAACCCAATCTAATTGATTTGAAGAGTCAAGTAATACACCCAGAAGTCATTGAATGGTATGATTGTGATGCACGTTATCCATTATTGAATGCCACAATTAAGTCTACTAAAAATGTTGTCAGCATACCTTCTCATTGGCAACTGAAAAGGGAGTATCTATCCGGCAGATCACTATTGAATAAAAAACCTTTTGAACTACCAGATATTATGAAACAGACGAATATAGAATCCATGAGAAATGTATTGGCCAATAGGGATCAACAACAAATGCAAGATAGTTCATTGAAAGAGATGACAAGAGCAAGGGTACAACCAAGGCTGGGTACTCTTGATATCGATTATAAAAAATTATACGACATTTTTTTTAAATTGGGCTCTACATGGAAACCTGATATCTTATTACCGTTTGGTGACTTGTATTATGAGAATAGAAACCTGGAGGAAGAAGGTCAATGGGAACGGATGAAAAGAACTGTAAGACCCGGCAAAATTAGTAAAAGCTTAAGGGAAGTTATGGGCATGAAAGAGGGCCAGTTACCACCGTGGTGTCATAAAATGGAGAAATTGGGGATGCCGCCAAGTTATCCTAACATGAAAATAGTTGGATTAAATTGGGATATTCAATTTTTGAAAGATGAAATTTATGGTAAGATACCGAAAGTTAATAAGAAGAATGATTTAAAAAATACCACATATTTTGGTCAAATATTAAACTTTGAAGATAGTACTGATGAAAATGAAGATAAAGATTTGGATACGGGTATTGAAGCTAATTTAGAAGACGATCAAATAAATAATACAAAATCAAAAGATGGTGATGTTGACAAACAATTAATAACTGAAGTAGAAGTTGTTAAAGCTGTGGATAATAATAGTGTTCAAGGAATTGAAGCAAATATTCTATCAAAAAGACCGCTTTATACTGTGTTGCAAGAAACCACTGATCAGACAAGTAATGAATATACAATGAATAAAAAATACTCTATCACAAGACAACCCTCTCAGCTTCCATCAGAATCGGATGATATTGATTCAATTGCAAAATCAGAACAAAAAGTCGAAATAGCAGAAGATGAAGAGGAGCAACAACTCAGAAAGTTTAAATTTTGATCATTTATGCATAATGTAGAAACTTGTGAGAGTTTCTTTTTTAAATAATCTATAGGTCTATTTTTAAAAGTTACATACTTCAATCAATAGTTTTACAATATTCTCTAACTTGTGTTTCTGGTTCGATCTGAAAGAAACAGTCTTTTCAGACCATATGCTTTGTCTTCTTCAAACTATGTTTTATATGTAGTAAGATTAGACTTATTTACACAAAACCAATGGAGATTTTTCTTTCTTTGAAACGAATTTCAAAAAAATTAAATAAAAAAAATTAATAGAAAAGCAGACTCTTACACATAGACAAAGAACTAATCAACAAGACCTAGTATAAGTTATTTGTTACTAAACTCAATCTTTCTAAACCAATAAAATATCCTCCCGCCTTCCTTGCGCTAATAGTAATTACGACTAGATACCCCCTTATATATTGTAATGACTTCCATCGGTAAGAAAAAAGGTGAAAAGAGAAGATTTGAAAATGATACTTTAAATGAAACAACACAACAACCATTGAAAAGTGAAAAGAAACGAAAGAAAGAAAAGAAGAAAGATAAAAAGTCCAAGAAAAGTAAGAAGATTAAAACTTTAGAGGGTAAACTTGAGCCAGTTGACGAAACCATAGATATAGCAGAAGTTAAAAAATTTTTAAAGGATGAACCAAAATATTCTTATTTAAATATTATACAAATTGAGCATGCAGCCACAAAATTTATTGAGATGTACAAAAAAATTTTGGATATATCACCTACTTTGGGATCATATCAAAATTTGGTGAAAAACAAGGCAAAGCTTGATTTGGATATAGTCCCTTCTTTATCAAGATACATGCTTAAGGTAGCTGCTGAGTTGAAAACTCTGTATATTTTAAAAAAAGATCCAGTTTTACAAAAGCTTCCGAATTTTGAAGAAAATTTCAATCCAAATAATAATGATAATCCAATACTCCCAGGAATTTTAAATAATGATGTTCAGTTATTAATAAACTTACTTGATGAGAATGATTCTCAGGATATAAAAGAATCATCAAATGTGAATAAGAAAGAAAAAGTCTTTACCAAAAATGAATCATTATCTTGGCCACCACCAATTCCTGAGATTAGAAACCCTACTATTAGAGCACGTGTCTTTACTCATAAGTCATTGGTTAAAAATAAGAATTTTTTATCAGAAAATGCTAAACTTAACTCACATAATGAAATGTTAGAATTTCTTGGTGACGCAGCTTTATACTTTGCCGTTACTAGAATTATTTATAAAAAATTTCCATATTTTGATGACGGTCAACTAACTGAATTAAGAATCCAATTGGTTAATAATGAAAGACTGAAAAAATTCTCTTTAGCATATGGTTTGAGAGATAAATTGAAATGTGGTCCAGGGTTATTAAATGATGATACCTATAAACATGGCAAGAGAAAATTGGAGGCAGATGTATTTGAAGCCTATATCGGAGGGCTTGTTGAAGATAATCCAACAAATTATGCAGAACTGATTGAGAATTGGTTAGAAAAATTAATGGAACCAACTATAAAAGAATTAACTGCCACTAACATTAAATTACAGAGTCCAGAAACTACTAATCTTGATGCAAAAAGACAATTATATTCTCTTATTGGATACGCTGCATTAGGGTTGTCATATCGTGTAATTAAGCGTAGAACTCCCGATGATCCATCATTTGTTGTGGAATGTAGAATAGCTGATGGTACGGTGTTAGGTATTGGTAGAGGGAAAAATGTTAAAGTTGCTGGTTCCAAAGCTGCAGAAAGTGTTCTTGCTAATAAAGCGCTGGTAGAAGAATACGCAAACAAGCGTGCAGCCATCCCGAGATCACAGACAATCATAAGTCTTAATAAATCTAATAAAGTAGTTAATTCTCCTAAAGATACTGGGAAGAATAGTGTTGGGTTGACGGAAAGCAATGATAGGCAAATAGTAATGGGGGAAGCTGGAGAATTAATTTTGAAATAAATATAAAAGAGGTTGACGAGATAATGGAAAATCTGGGCCAATTGAAGAAGAACGTTATCTAATTCACATTTGCATTAGTATCAGTAAATATTTATCATTATATGTACTTGTATGTATACAAACATATATACATATATATTATAGAAGTCTATTAAGATCATTAAGGTCTTGTAAACCATTCTTTTTACTCTTACCAATAAATCTCCCTTTCATTTTTTTCTTTGTTTTATTACTGTCTTTTGTCGAAAAGAAATCAGGGATGGTATCGTAGTTACCATAAATAGCCTCAATGTTGTTCTTATTTTTCTTTAAATTTTTCTGTACTTTAGCACTTTCTTTAGCAAACCACTTTTCAAATTCTATAGCTGCCAACTTTTCCTCTGCACTTGTCACAATATTGGAATTTGGATTTGAAAATGCTGCAGTAATTTCATTGACTTCAATTTTATTAGGAGTAATATATGGAAGAATTCCACCTGGATTACCTGAACTAACGAATTCTGTATAATTATGAGATTCGGTCTTAACATTTTGAGCACTCTTTTTTTTGTTCTTCTTGATATTTTCTTTGATCTCCGTTAAAGAGGTGGTAAGAAGTGATGGTAATGTATCAAGAGTACTTCTAGTTGATTTTGTTTTCTCAAAGTTTTCAGAATTTTTCTGAGGTTTCTTATTCAAAGTTTTCCAGACAGGTTTGTTTTCAATATCTTTTTTTACTTGTTTATCTTGTGTTAACTCATGTCTACGTTGCTTTTGGTTACTTTTTTTGAAAATACCAAAACTTCGAGAATTTAAAGGATCCTCAGCAGGTGATATATTTGGACGTGAAATTTTTATATCTTCAGAAGTGGTATTTGTTGTCAAAAGTGATGGCAAAACTAGAGCCTCCCCTTCTTGAGCATGTAAAAGAACTTCACCTTCTTTGATTTGTGGCTCACTAGGGGTTTGTATATGTGGTTTTGGTCTCGTTTCAGATGTTTTTCTTCTGCTTTTTCTTTTCACTGTGATAAATTCTTCACTTGTGTCATCCTCAATTATACTATCAGATATTTTTCCTATTTTCCAAATGTTACGAACTTCTTCAGGAACTTTTGTTTTACTTGATGGTTTTCTTTGTTTGTTATAAGTTTGTGAATCAGGTGGGGAAACAATTGATTGCTGTTTGGGACGATCCAAAACTGAACTTCTTCTCCTGCTGTTAGCAGTACTTGCTACTTTGTTGTCTATATGTGGTGGTGGTTTAATGTCAAATACTGGTAAAAATTCATTATTATGTGATATAAAATATTCATTAAATTTTTCCAAATCTTTTTTAAATAAACCTATCGAGTCAAAGTCAATATTATCATACCAAGGCTTTTTTTTAGTTTCTGAATGTCTATTGTTATTAAGAATGTACCTAAATTGTCCTTCTAAAATCTCCCAAAGCCCAGCGTCAAAATATTTGTCTATGATTGAAATCGATTCATCAAAAAATAAATTGTTGATGGACGTTAATATGTACCAACAACATGATAATACTAATAAATGAGCTTTAGAATTATATGCATTAATTAAAATCGTAAACACAGTATCCTGATTAATATATTTATTCAACAGGAATTCTAAATAGCTCCTTAGAGGTAAAAGAAGTAATTCATTACAGTATTCTAGTGTAGTTAATAGAAATGAAAGGCAATCAGAAAATTTCTTACCATGCAAAATAGTTTCAAGGGTTTCAGCATAGGATGTACCGTAAAGATATGATGAAATTAGGTAGAAATGTTCTTTTGAAATGTGAGTTAATGTTATTTTAAACATGCCATTTGAATTCTTTTTACACCAATTAATACTTGTTGCTAATTTAAAATAGATACTTCTAGATGATAAAATTAAAGCGTGTGTATATATTGTTCCATCTTTCAATTCAATAATTGTGTCCACTAATGAATTTTCAGGTGTCATGTCTTGATGAAGAACAGATGTAAAAATTTTTTGTAAATAATCAGTAAGTCGTTCAAAATGCAAAGCATTGTTAACAAGTTCCAAAAGAATCATATTTGATCTTTGATTATCCGGTTTTTCATCTGTGTAAAGATAATGAATAACATCCTTAATAGCTGATGGATAAGAGCCACCCACTATTATTGTCTTACAATTATTCATGATAGTGGTAGCTGACGCTAGACTAATTGAATTATTTTTGGATGTTATGGTTACTCCATTTTCGATAGAATGCATTAAGTGAGGACAACGAATTTTTAATATTAATTCATGTGCATAACAGAGAACTTTATTTGATTCTTTTTCGAGAAAACATATATCAAACTTAGGGTCAGGTGTAAATTCTTTATTATTCACATATGTTTGAGATTTTCTATCATATTGACAATATTTTGGAATAAGTGATGAACAATAATTTTCTTTTTTGAATTCTGTAGTCATATATTTATCATTTTGGTCAACTTCTACGTATGGAGAATATTTAGCAAAATAGTTAACAAATTCATCTTCTCGATATAGTATTGGTATATTACTTTTATCTTGCTTAATAAATAAAAATGATCCAAAGGTAGAATTACATGAAACTTTGACAACTCTACCCGAATTTATTTTATTACTATGCAATTTTTCGAACATAAAATTATTATTCAAATTTTTTGTCCTTAAAATTTCCCCTAATAAAGTAACTAAGATAATGTCACCTTTGTAACTGACATCAAAATCTAAACATGAATTAAAATTAAAATTGGGTGTCCAAACCAAATTGATTGGTAAAATGTTATTATTAAGTAAGTTCCAACTTTGGGGTGATTCATTTTTGAAAGTGATTATTCCAATTCTACCACATTCGTACTTGAAACAAAGATTATTACCATATTTATTTGAACATTTCATATCGACAACTTTATTTGGAATTTCTCTTTTGGTGAAATGAGTGAAAGGATCAATTTCTTTAAAATTTTTGTTTTTTGCTAAAGGGATTTTAAAAGTTTTGATTGTATTGTTAACAAGCACTGTAAGTACATTATTTTCTGATCGTATAAATGTGGCATACTCTGTACAAAGAATTTGTTCAATTGTTAAATGTTTTAAATTGATAATTATTGGTTTAGTGACAATATAACCTTTATGACCTTCATAATCAAATTCATCTCCATTATGAATAACATTATGGCTTATCTTCCCCATTTGACCAACATTTAGTCCCCATAGATAAACTTCCCCATTGTAAGATACGGCACATGAATGAATATTTGAACAAGAAATCAGTTTAATGTTTTTATTTTCTAAAAAATTAATCCTTTTTGGTATTGAACCAAATGAATTTTCATCAAATCTTGATTTACTAGAGTTATTTGTTTGATAACCTAATTGATAGTACGAATTCCAACCCCATGAATAAACTGAGGAAGAAGAGAATTCCTTGCTGGATGGAGATAAGGATGAGGATGAGGATAGTAAAAGAGTATGATGATCACTAGTAGAGATTGAATTTATAGATATATCAGATGGAAGATTTGACAATTGGGTGAATTGAAACAAATGAGTATTATTTGAACCAGTACCCAATCTGCCTCTAGATGCATTCCCAGTGACATAGATTTGATTATCACTTGTTGTCACTAGAGAGTTATATTTATTCATATGGATGTCATTGAAAGTAGTATCATTTAATGGAAAAGTATTATTTGTCAATTGATTAATATTTAATTGGAAGAAATTTTGTCTATCATCTTTATTACCTGTACCTAAGTTATAATGTACATTCGAACCTAAGGTTAAGATATGGGTACCGTAGGACTGTGCAGGGGGTTGGTGATTGCTTTCATAGAAATATGTGTTAGAGAGTTTGTTTGTTGACGTATTAAATGGATAATCATGATGAATTAATTCTTGGAGATCAAATTTTGAATCAGAATATGCCAGAAATAAGGGCCATTTGTCAGCAGAAGAAGTATTCTTCTTATTAGCTTGTGAGAAGATATTATTGTACAATGTTAGATTATATAAATCTAATGGGCTTAAACCATCTCTATCATACAACTCAAAAATATGACCGCCAAAGTTATGTGAGGGATACTCCATATCCATTTTCCATTTTTGATATAATTTAAAAGCTTTTTGAAATTGGCCAGTAGAGAGTAAAATATGGAGTGGTGTATATCCACTCTCTATATCATAGGAATATGGATTTACATCTTTCAATATTTGGGCTATTGACCCCTGATAACATAATATATAGGACAAAGTCCTGCCAAAGATATCTCTTTTATCATCATGGAGATTAGTAATGTTTTTGTTCTGTTGTTTTTTTTTTTTGGTGATAGTACTATTAGAAGTATTATTAGTTGATAAAACCATAAGGATCTGCGTGTATGTATACGTTTTGGAATATATTATTATCTATTGCTAATAATTAAATAAAAATGACATTGTATCTGTTTACTTCCTCACCCTATTTGTGTTTCATTGAGTTAATTTTAATTATATATTAGCTTTTCATTTCTAAAACGTCTGTCGTATTTTTAATCTTTACAGTCTTTTATCTTTTTTTTTCTTTCATCATTCGAATTTCTCCGTTGTTGATAGATTTCTTATTTTCATATTATTGGAATGTAAAAGACAGATGGATAATTTATTGGCGGCAAAAAAAATTCAAACTATGAGTAAACATATATATATATGCATGTATATATATTTATACTTATACTTATACTAACCTCTCAGAATATAATATATTAACTAGAACGAAGAGGGATAGTTCCGACAGTATTGAGTTAATTAGTTTGATTGTAATGTATATATAATGTTATTTCCCTAAACTCTTTTTTCGTATTTAGAAAATGGTGTTGTGAAATGGTTCAGGCAAAATCATGTGTGTGTCTGTGTTTATGTGCTACACTTTCTAATGTATTTTCTACTTTGACTCCAGTTATATTTATATTATAAGGGTAAAAAGGGAGTGGAAAAAGGGAGGGCGGTTAAATATATTTATTTCAAATTATATATATATATATATATATACGTATGTATGTATGTATGTATGTGTCTGTGTGTTTATGTGTAGGGTAAATAAGAACACCATTTAGTTTCCTAATTGAAAATTGACAACATTACGTAACTCCGGGTGTTGGGACTACAAAGTTCTTTTCTTCCCTTTTTTTTCTTTTGTTTACTCAATCTTGCGTTGTGAATATTATTATGATATCACAATATAACCATTATAATGCAGTCTTCTATTTAATTTTTCTATTGTGTGCCTTTCAAATCAGATCTCGGTGGTATCAGATGTATGTCTATTGTCCATGATCTCGTTGTGTGTTGTTTTGCTTTGGTGATTTCTTCCTCCTTCCCTCTTTCTTCTTCATTTTAAATAGAATTATCCTCAAATCTGGTTCTGCGAATTGTTCAAGTACTTTTCTCTTTTCTGTATGTTATTTTATTTTATTTTATTTTATTTTTGATAATGATCTCTTATTTTTTGTCGAGCTGAAGAAAGAAGTCTTCTTTTTTGTTCTTTGTTTTTTTTTTTTTTTTTTTTTTTGAAAATTACAGATTTATGTCACATACCATTCCTTTGATAATCGAATATATTGGTAATTAAGAAGAAGGATATGTTACAGAATCCATTTCACTTTCCCTTTTCCTTCTCCTTCCCTTCAACAGGTATAAATACACAAATTTAGGTCATACTAAAAATATGAGTTCATTTAAAATACTTGAAGATAAAGCTGCAGGACATGATGGAACTTTGACCGACAACGATGGATTATTGATCTTTAAACCTTTAAATGAACAGGAACTACAATTCTACCAAAAGATTCAATCAAGATACCAAAATCGAAACGTAAATAATACTGAACATAATGGGTTGTATTGTGGTGAAGCTGATGATGAGAATGATGATGATGAAATACCGTTACAAACTTGGATGCCTACGTTTTTGGGTGTTTTAAATGAGGGGAAACAAATGGATACCCATGGCAATCATTCTTACTCTAGTACCAGTGGTAATATGACTATTATACCAGATGATTCAGATATTCATTTACAGACTATACAAATTGCAAATCCATTAAACAATGATAGTAGTGGTGCTGGTGAAAAAAGATATCTTGTGTTAGAAAATTTATTGGCTGGGTTCAATAAGCCAAATATAATGGATATTAAATTAGGCAAGATATTATATGATGAAAATGCTTCGCTGGATAAAAAACAGAGATTACAGAATATATCAAATACATCAACTTCTGGATCACTTGGTTTTAGGATATGTGGTATGCAACTACAAAAAAATTCTGCTTTTAATTTAGATCCAAAATATTTTGACACTAGAAAAACTACAAACGGTACCACCGACAATGAGTCCATCGAGTATATTCTGGTCAATAAAATATTTGGTCGGTCTAGAACAATAGATAACATTAAAGATGCTATTACACTCTATTTCAATAATCAAAATTTATCCAAGAGAAGAATAAATATTTTAATAGATATGTTTTTAACTAGGTTACAATTGTTCTATAATACCTTATTGAGTGAAGAAGTTAGAATGATTTCAAGTAGCTTATTATTTATTTATGAGGGTGATCATAACAGATGGGACCTTAAGAATGATGAAGATGATGTACTAAATAATGTATTTATTGAAGATGATTCTGATATGGAAGATGATGAAGGTGTTGATGATACAGCGGAGTTGATGAAAAATTCTCAGAAGTATCCTTTAAGTTCTATGACTTTGATTGATTTTGCTCATTCCAAGCTAACTCCAGGGGAGGGTTATGATGAAAATGTGATAGAAGGTGTTGAAAGTTTAATTAACATTTTCATTAAAATAAAGGAGGAAAGCACATGACTATTTAGATGAAATATACTAAGGAACAAGACAGTAAATAAATAAATAAATAAATAGATAGATAGATATAAGGTTGTACAAATTCATAATTCAACTTGATTTTACATTTTTTATATTTGTTTATATGATACATGTTGGATAATTGTGGTTACATATATTATATGTAGTATATAGAAAGATGGAAAAGATAAGAAAAGAAAATACTCTGTTCAATTTTCAGCAACTTTAATTATCTTACCAATCGCAATAGTGGTACCTTGGTCTCTTAAAGTAAATCTACCTAATTGTGGATAGTCTTGGTAGGTTTCTACACAGACAGGAGCTTCAGTTTCAAGAACAGCGATGATTTTCATACCTTTCTTAGCAAATGCTGGTGGTCTCTTAGACTTACGGTTAGTACCTTTTTCTAATTTGTGTAATAATTTAGTGATAGTGACTTCTTCAATAGCGGTATGAAGATGCATAACACATGAAAAACCGGCAGAAATAATGGATTTTAATTCAACAATAGCAATTTGAGCAACAAACTTGGTGGCACTCTTAATTGGGTTTTTTGGAGAAGTTAATACGAACCCAGCTGAAATATCTTCTTCTTCAACACCTTTAATTCTTAATTTTACTTGTTCACCACAAATAGCCATGTCAACTTCAGCTTCTGTTTCATTATAAATGTTCTGAATTTCAACTGGAATTTTGTTTGGCATCAATAATGTGGATTGACCCTTCTTAATATGACCAGATTCGATCTTACCTTCCACAACAGTACCTAAGTCCTTCATCTTACCAGCAATTGGCAACATGAATGGAGCATTAATATGACGATCCATATGGTTCATGTTATCTAAGAATTCCAATAATGATGGACCATTGTACCATGGACAATCTTTTGGATCAACACGATCTTTCAAACCAGCACCACTGTAACCAGAGACTGGCATAAAAACGACATCTTCTTTGTTGTAACCAATGACTTTTAAGAAATTAGAGATATTAGTAACACATTGGTTGTAACGTTCCTCAGACCAATTGACAGTTGGATCATCCATTTTGTTGATGACAACGACCATCTTATTAACACCTTGAGTTTTGGCTAATAAAGCATGTTCTCTTGTTTGACCACCTTTTTCAAAACCAGTTTCGTATTCACCCTTTCTAGCAGAGATAACTAAAATACCAACGTCAGCTTGAGATGCACCTCCAATCATTTCAGAAACATACATCTTATGGCCAGGAGCATCCAAAATGGTATAACGTCTTTTTTCAGTTTCAAAGTAGGCTTTACCAACTTCAATGGTCTTACCATCGTTTCTTTCTTCTTTGTTAGTATCCATAACCCAAGATAAATACCAACCTTGTCTACCAGCTTCCTTAGCTTCCCTTTCGTATTTTTCAATAGTTCTCTTGTCTACAGAACCAGTTAAGTACAATAAATTACCACCCATGGTAGATTTACCGGCGTCGACGTGACCCATGAAAATTAAAGAAACATGGTCTTTACCACCAAACATATCCTTAACGACTTCTTCATCGACCTCGTCTTCTTGCTCTTTAATTAAGGCATCGACACCACCACTAATAGGTTCAGTAGAAACAGGGGCAGTGGATGAAGTAGAAGTAGCAGCTTGAGTAGTTTGTGCAGAGGAATCAGTCTTCTTTTCATCTTCAGAGATCTTCAAATCAGCCACATTTGGTAAATCAGAAGTATTTTTACTAGAAGTTTCATTGTTAGCAGTAGTAGAGGTTTCTTCGGCCTTTGCAACTTTCTTTTCTTCTTCCTTCTTTTCTGTGGTAGTTTTGGTAGCATTAGCTAACTTAATACCTGAACTAGATACCAATTTCAAAGTTTTTTTTGGTTTGTTAGTATCTTGTTGAGTCTTTTGTTTTTGGAAATCTTCCAAAGTCATAGCTTTATTTTGTTGGTTAAAACTTTGATAACTTTGTTGTTGGCTGTAGCTTTGATAGTTTTGATAGCCTTGTTGATAATTATTATTATTATAGTTATTTTTGTTATAGTTGTTTCTGTTATAGCTTTGCTTATATCCACCTTGGTTGTAGTTTTGGTATCCACCTTGTTGATTGTAGTTTTGATATCCACCTTGTTGATTGTAGTTTTGATAGCCATTTTGGTTGTAGTTTTGGTATCCTTGTTGGGCATAGTTTTGATAACCTTGGTACCCTTGTTGCGAATTATAGTTTTGATACCCTTGGTAAGATTGATACCCTTGTTGAGGGTTATAATTTTGATACCCCTGGTAGGTTTGATACCCTTGTTGTTGATTATAATTTGGGTAACCTTGTTGTTGATTGTTGTTATTGTTTTGGTTAGACATGATGCTGAGGGTCAATCTACTTAGCTTTCGATCTTCTATGATAAGAAATAATGGGAAAACTTAAATAAAATCAGAGTTTAGGTATCGATCTTACGAACAACAGTACTCTAAGCTATGTGCCTTACTAATATATAGCTAATCTTGCTAAAAGTCCTTATGGTTTTGTTTCTTGTCTCATCGAAGTAAAAAAAAAAATAAAAAGGTAATAGAAAAATTTTCATCAAAAAGAAAGAATGAAAAGAAAAGAAAAAGAAAAAGAAAATAAAAAAAAAAAAAAGAAAACGCAACGGGTGCATGGGTTTTGTGTATTCCAATCACATAGTTTTATGGTAAGTAACACATAATTTACTTCTAGAATATTAAAAAGAGTGTTTGTACCTTAACTATAGAGAAATACATTAGTAGAAAAAACACTAAATATAATCAGGTATAAATAGATGATCTTAACACATAGATATAGATGTATATATATATATATATATAGTAAAAAAGGAAGCATTAAGTATGAGGTATACAAATTTAATTCTTTTCAACAGGATTGGGATTCTTTTCAAATTCTAATTCAGCATCAGGTATTTCCTCAATGGTGATTCTCTTTTTTGGGACAGGTTTATCTTGAGGTCCATCCATCTTAGGGACATTAATTTGTAATAAACCATTGGAATATTTAGCTTTGATCTCCTCATCCTTGATCCTTGGTAGAATTGGGAATTTGACTGTTCTCTCAAAGGCACCATATTTAATTTCGCTTAATTTCAAATATTTCTCATCAACACCCAATTTATCCGTAAGATTACCTCTAACGGTTAGTTCATGTGTTGTTGGGTGATAATCGACCTTGAAAGCCTTTGAATTAGAACCAGGTAAGGCCAAGACAACAATATATTCTGTCTTCAAATCATACACATTGACTTCTGGTGTAAATGGTAAATCCATTCTTATTTCAGGTTTAGAGACCTTTAATGGGTCTGAGCCTGTAGTAGTAGTAGTAGAAGGAATAGCAAAAGGGCCAGGAATAAAAGCATTGGAATTGTTTTTTTTCAAAGGTGGTTTGCTTGTAGCTGAATCACTAACATTTTCAGTTTTGTCCTGTTTAATGTTGTTTTCATCTGGAGTAGCGTTTGGATTTACTTCTTCTGAAGTTTTGTCTTTCATAGTTTCTTTACCAGATAAGGTCTTGGACTCCTTTTCTTCCTGTTGTTCTGGCCTCTGTTCGGCTTTACCTCTTGGAACACCAAAAAACGTATCAAATAAATCATTTAAATAATCCCTTGATTCAGGTCCTCTTAGATATACATTTGGTGGGTTCATCATTCTGAAACGATTGTTACCATCTCTAGTATGGTAATAAGATGGATATTCAGTCCCCTTTGACACATCGTTGTTATCTTCATCCATCTTTTCACCATCTTCATTATTGTCATGTAGTTCTTCTTCTTCTTCTTCATCTTCGTCTTCGTCATCTTCACTGAATTGAGGAATGTAGTAATAATAATCAGGGTAGTTACCACCATGAGGAGCAAATGGGTGTCCATATAAAAAAGCGCCACCAGGAAATCCGTCATCGTCACGGTTCACATTTAAAGGACCTCCAGCAGCAGCAGGATTAAAAAACCCATTTCTTCCCATTGGATAAGGGCCATGGAATGGACCCATACCAGGATGTCTTAAATTTTGAGGACCATAAGCGTGCCTTCTTTCATATGGGTCTCCATTATTTGGTCTAACTGGTGGATTTCTTGGAGGGGCACGGTCAGATAGAGCATTAAGGACGTCAAATAGAGATAATGATGGTTGATAGAAACTCATTGTTCGTAAAATTAAATCAAAGTAAAGTAAAAAATAACTTGTTGGTTTTTGTTACTACAAATTAATTGTTGTAGTCTGTGTGGATTTTTTTTCGTTCCTTCATTTAAATTAATAGTAGACAAAACCTAACTCAAGAGTATTCCCATATAATGAAAAAATGAACTATATCTTACAAAATTACCTCTATATATAGTTGACCAAGGGAGAGGATGTTTTTAAAAAAATAAAATAGAAACATATAATTTTTTTTAAGTGAGATCAACTTATGGCTATTGTATCAGGCCCAACTATTAGTGGTGCCTTATTGTCTCCTTAGTCCCCCCCCCCCCCCCTTATTTTATGTTATCCCCCTAATTAACAGTGGATATTTTCTCGAGAGGCTTCCAGAATTTTCTTTTCTTTTTTTTTCTTTGTTTTGTTAGTTTTGGTTCGTGTCAAAGAGAGGAGAAAAGCAAATGAAAAAAGAGAATCTCCGTTCTGCTCCGTTCCACGGCCGTCTCCGCGGACTTACAGTCAGAATATGGAGGTGGTCAAGTGTAAAGAGAGAAATTCAGTAAGTGACAATAAACTGTCGATTATGACTATACTATCATCTGATCTCTATATGTTTCACAAAAGGTGTCATGTCTAGTATTCAAATGAATTCAGGTATGTGTTAATTCATTTCTCTAACGATGTTTTTTTCTCCAGCTTAATTTTACGTAAAGTTACTCTACTAAATTATTTGGTTCGTGGTTTAGTTTTAGTGATTATGATGGCTGATGATGAAGAACAAAGGTAAATCTTAAATTATTTTTAAAAAATAAAAATTTAGACAATTCTTTATTTTTCTTAATGTTAGATTTTTGTCTTCTTATCAAAACCATGATTAACCTTTTGATAAAGATTTCATACTAAAAGATGATCTATATTAAACGAAAAAATAGAATATTAACTTAAGATAATAACTCAATGGACAGTATGTTATCAAGCAAGACTAAGAGTAGAAATTGGAAAACTTAGTTAGTGTTGTTAAATAATAGCATATATTTTCTAAGTGAGATTTTTTCAATGAGAATAAAAAATCCTTATTGAAAAATGTTTTTATGAAATTTAATGTTTACCCACTTGAAATTTATAAAGTGTAAATATACTGTAGTATTCGAATACATACTCTTTATTAACTAAAGTAGTATTTATCTAACAAGAAAGGTACTTTTCTATATAAATTGCAAATAATTGTATATTGAATATTTCATGGTTTTGTATACTCTTTGTAAAGCTTTTTTTTAGCATAATATTTTTTAGAAAGAAAATTTAAATAATGCAAGCAGATTGTAAGTAAAAAAAAAAAAGAAAAAATTAGTTTTCCATAAATATTTGGTTTATTTTTGAGTATTTTATGATATTTGGTGATTTATTTTGAACCTTAAATAGTATTAATATCTTTTTACAGTTTGTATCACATTTTCAACTTCTTTGCTTTTGATTAAAAAAAGTAAGGAAGAGTAATGATATGACGTGTTAGTACTGGATCTCTACCAAAGATAGTATCATTTTTGCATATTTAAAAAATAAAAACACTATCAATATAAAGAACATTTAAAATTAAATAAGACATAAGCTTACCATTTGTTTATTTGTAGAAAAAATTGTATAAGTTAATTTATCTATTTATATTTTCATTTTTTCTGATAAAGGGTCTTCAATTATTTATTCTTTCATGATTATGTAATAATGTCTATGTTCTTGCTAAGTGTAAATGTGTATTGCATATATATTTAGCTAAATTAATAGCCTATTTTTAAGAGAGTATTTTGCTTTATTTTAGCTTTTACTAATTTTACCAACTGATCTAGATTTAAAAGTTTTTTTACTGTATTCGCCTTGGGATAATGATAACTCTGAAATAAACGTCACAATAAAATTACATAAATTTATACACACCATAGATATAAACAACTTAAACTTTTTAATTGATAATATGCTGGTTTCTTCTATCTATGTGTTTCATATCTAGTCATGTATACTACATTACTCTTTGTATTGGCTATAGTCCATACATTGTCTGTAGTTAAAGGAACCAATCTATTTCTTTTTATATTACAGATGATTATTCATTTCATATTAGAAGAATATTTCGTACAGAATGATATTAATACTAAACAATAACAAAAAGAATGGTTCCTAGCGGGATCGAACCGCTGATCCCCGCGTTATTAGCACGGTGCCTTAACCAACTGGGCCAAGGAACCAGTTCATCTCCGGCTCTGTTGTGGAATAGAATAGTTATAACCATCAAGATTACATAAGATCCTGAATGAATCTAGAACCAATTAGTGTATTAATAAGCCATACATGTGCTACAACATTAGATGCTGCATAATAAAAAGATTGGATTACATAAGATCTTGGCAAATCTAGAATTTACCTATTGTTTTATTAAGTCCCACGTGTATTACTAATCACCATGATTAGAGAATTGGGATGCAGTTCTAATCCAGTAGTGCACCTAAATTAATATAATAAATTTTAGGGTTTGAATCAGTCAAGTCATTAATGTAGTAATCTGAATAATCGATCGAGCTCCAGAAAACATATAAAAGGACAACGTTTTCAGGAGATAAAAGATCATCTTCCATAATCGTTTCTTGTAAATAATTTATATATTATGTATAAACAAAATAGAACAAGCAAGTAACAAGTCAAGTAACTTCGAATAAGTACATTAGCTCGATATAAGCCGCTTAATATATAAGACCGTTTTAGTAATTATACTATCGACTATAGTTGATTACTGTCTCGATTATTTGAATTACTATTAATATTATTTGCGCTTCCCTGGAATACACAAAGAACTTCACCACACCATACTACAACAACTGGTAGCGTTTATTTCATCATGTCCTCGAATAATTTAAATATGAACGAATTTTTAGACGCTATTGATGCATCTACGGCTACAGAACATCATACCACCGCACCAACCACTACTCCTGCTCCAACTACTAACCTAACCGCTGACCCTACTTCTGCTCCTGCTCCAGTCCCATCCGATTCCAAATACTACAGTACTGCTCCAATGCGCTTCTCTGGTCGCTATGATTTATTTAAACTACCAGATTTCCTTGTTACTGTCGAAGCACAACTTTATGCTCGAAACCTCCAAACAGATGTGGATCGTATAGCTTTTTTTGGCCGAAACTTAACTGGACCCGCTGCTCAATGGTATGTCCAATGGATCCGTAATCATGACCAACATTCCTATGAACAATTCCTTGTGGATTTTAAAAATAAGTTTATTGGTATGATCGACCCTCATGCCATCCTCAATGCGTTCCAACGCTTGAAGGAAGCTACCGTTGGCATTGACGCTTATAATCAAAAGTTTTCACAACTATTAGCTTTGATGCCTCCAAACATTTGGACTCCCAAGGGAGAATTACTTTTTTATTATCGCGGTCTTACTCCTGATACTGCCCGTATGGTAGCTCTAGCTCGCCCTACCACTGTTGATGCTGCTATGGAAGCTGCCAGTGAAACAGTTTCCATCACCAACCGTTCATTTCCTACCTTCACCACCTATGATATGGATGGAGACATCCATATGACCGCTGCTCTTAACCCAGTCCCTATGGACTCTACTACTGATCATCATCCTCAAGTTGCTGCTGTTTATCGTTCACACGGAAGAGGGGGCAGAAAGGGAAATCACAAATCTTCCCAAGCAAACAAACAACCAATTAAGCGTCCCTCTCGTCAATATTGTATTGATCATGGTTTATGTTTCTATTGTTACAAGCCATTACACCGCTACAGTGACTGCCCTAACCGTAAGGCGAGCAGTCCCAAATGAAAAACAATTCCACAACAACACCGTCACACTAGCTCCCATCGTGTCCGCTCCCCATCCACTCGTAGGCAACAGTTGCCAAATTAAAATGTTTATTAAAGAAAAACCTGTCAATGTTTTAGTGGATACTGGTTCCCCCACATCATTTATTAGAGCCGATATTGCTGACAACCTCAAGTTAACACGTTCTACCGCTCCGCCATTCCGTTTTAGAGGTGTTGTATCATCCGAATCGTCATACACTAACGAATCCACCGAAATTTTACTTGAACTCGATGACATAAAAATTAAAACACCCGTATACATAACTGATGCTATTACTTTTGAAATCATAATAGGACACCCGATTATATCATCTCACCCGCTGCTCCACAAGATATTAAATAACAAGAAACCGGTCCCTGAATACATTGTATCCGTACTTACCGAGAATGATACCGAAGAATTAGATGTTGAAAATGCTGCTGCTGTGTTTGCTATAAAGATTTCTGAAACAGATACAGATGATCGATTTGATAAACTACCTCGCTGGTTAAAAGAGAAATATTCTGCTACGGTCCGCGATGATTTACCACCTAAGAAATTCGCTGAACCTCCAAAGGTTGAACACGAGATCGAAATTAAGCCGGGTGCACGCCTGCCTAGAAGACAGCCATATCAGACGACACCAAAAATAGAACAAGAGATAAACCTGATCGTTGCCGACCTTCTCGAAAAGAAATTCATTGTACCCTCCAAGTCACCCTGTAGTTCACCAGTGATTCTAGTTAAAAAGAAAGATGGTACATATCGTTTATGTGTGGACTACAGAGCTCTAAATACTGTGACAATCAAAGACCCGTTTCCATTACCTAGAATCGACAACCTATTGGCCAAGATTGGCTCTTCAACCATTTTTTCAACTTTGGACCTCCACTCAGGGTATCACCAAATACCTATGAAAATGGACGATCGTTTCAAAACCGCTTTTGTTACTCCTAATGGAAAGTATGAATATACCGTCATGCCGTTTGGTCTCGTTAATGCTCCAAGCACGTTTGCTCGTTATATGGCTGATTTATTTAGGGACTTACCATATGTCTGTGTTTACCTCGACGATATTTTAATTCACTCCCGTTCCGTTGATGAACATTGGAAACATATAGACATCGTATTGCAAAGGTTAACT